AAGGTCCAAGGTACAGCATAATAAAAATTAAACGGCAAGTTTAATGCTTCCGACTTGAAAATCCGTGGAAATATTAACAGAAATTTTATGGATTTGCGCATTAATTTAATTTTTGTAGTGCGCTGTAATGCCGTCTATGAAAGTACAACCTTATTGTATCTTAATTGCAATATTTTACAACAGTAATGAAGTGCAATGTAAGTTGTAGTTACTCTGATATAAACAATAGGTGAAAAAAAACGAGAATGTTCGTCTTTCAGTCTCGGAAAAATCCTATGTATTGAGTATCATGAAGGCTACTTACTTCGATTTGTACCTATAACTTGTGTCACCTTCCCTAGATAAACAGGCAAAATTAATTTATTTCGAACAACACAATTTTGTTTAAAATAAAATAAACCGATCCCATACAGAAAGATAGAATTAGTTAAGAGTTTAGTTTTCTGTATTACGGGTATTTTCAATATTAAGTAAGACACGGGTCTTAACGCGACGTTTATTAGTGAGTTACATTATGTATTGAAATGGAACGCGAAAGTTTAGTGTAAGTAATACATTGTATGCCACCAGCACCTCTTGGAACTTATTTTAACAATCAAATAAGAAGTTTTCAATGTTCTTAACACAGCTCATTGTGACTCCCCTTCAGTTGGTAGAGTTCTGCACGAGTCATTGTGTGCTTACGTCGTAAACTCGAGTTAGTTGTTTTTGTAACACCACCTGTCTCATCTTGTCAAGTTACCACTTACACTTTATTGTTTGTTTCGGCTAATAATATTAAGTTTTTAACAGTTGCTTTTATGGATTCATGGATATTTAAACGTTCTCGAAATTACTTGGGCGTAATCAAAATGATTTATTTATACCTACGAATTTACATTTTACGACTAACTAATAGGTATTTTAAAAGAAAGTCTGAAACTGTGACTCTACTAAGCTGTTTTTGACCCAATCTGCTTTACTTTCAAAAAATTTTCGCCGACCTTATTGAATTTTATTGAGCTTAATGCTCAAAACATTACCATTAATCGCAGCAGCAAAACATTGCTTGCACAAAATATGTAGGCAAATAACCACTGCCAAGTAATTTCAGACGAAAACGCAAAATGCCGTACTTAACTAAAAAACCAGGCGTTTAAATTCGCGAATGATGATTGTTTCTTTTGGGTATATTACAGCCAAATAATATAAACCATAATAAATAAATAATAATAATAATATTGTCAAGGTTTTGAAAACATACTAGGAGTTTATTTTCAAAACCTTTGAAAACATGCATACCAAACACAATTTTCAAATCTTAAAAAAATTGTCTATATAAATAATGATAGACTAAAACAACATAATTAAATATATTTTTTATTTTCCATAACAATTTTTAATTCTAAAATGCCTTATTAAAGTTAAATGTACCTTAGTAAGCACCTAACTATCGTAGGTTCTAACACGATCCCCCATCAATGTATTGAGGAGGCGCTGAAACACCATAACGTCCCTCAATACCTCAGGCGAATCATAACCGCTTACCTTGACGGACGAGAAGTGGTGTTCCCGACGTGTGACGGCTGGGGAAGGAGGCTCGTGGCGTGCGGTGTCCCGCAGGGGTCGGTGTTAGGACCGCTCTTGTGGAACATCGGCTACGACTGGGCCATCCGGGACCTAAGAATGCGTGGTGTAGGAGTCGTGTGTTATGCTGACGATACCCTGNATCCCACTGGGGCATGTATCCTGGAATTACCCTACTTAAGATTCTTAAAACTGGAAAATGATTGCATTGCATCCTGCATTTGTTAATAATGAAAACAAAATCGTTTGGCTTGTATGACTATGATGCAATGGAATGAGTAAAATATGCAAAAAAACATTTATCGAGTAGGCACACCACATCATATCATTAAGATATCGGGATAATATCGCCTTACTGATCGTAACTTTATATTTTTCATTTATAATAGTAAGCAAGGTCCAAGGTACAGCATAATAAAAATTAAACGGCAAGTTTAATGCTTCCGACTTGAAAATCCGTGGAAATTTTAACAGAAACTTTATGGATTTGCGCATTAATTTAATTTTTGTAGTGCGCTGTAATGCCGTCTATGAAAATACAACCTTATTGCATCTTAATTACATTATTTTACAACAGTAATGAAGTGCAATGTAAGTTTCCCTAGATAAATAGGCAAAATTAATTTATTTTGAGCGACACAATTTTGTTTAAAATAAAATAAACCGATCCCATACATAAAGATTGAGTTAGTTTAGAGTTAATTTTCCGTTTTCATATTTTCCTACATAAAATTAACGAATAAATTAAGTAAATTCCTTAAGTAAGTAATACATTGTATGCCACCAGCACCTCTTGGTACTTATTTTAACAATCAAATAAGAAGTTTTCAATGTTCTTAACACAGCTCATTGAGACTCCCCTTTCGGTTGGTAGAGTTCTGCATGAGCCATTGTGTGCTTGCGTCGTAAACTCGAGTTAGTTGTTTTTGTAACACCACCTGTCTCATCTTGTCAAGTTACCACTTACACTTTATTGTTTGTTTGGGCTAATAATTTTAAGTTTTTAACAGTTGCTTTTACATTCATGGATATTAAAACGTTCTCAAAATTACTTGGGCGTAATCAAAATGATTTATTTATACCTACGAATTTACATTTTACGACTAACTAATAGGTATCTTAAAAAGAAAATCTGAAACTGTGACTCTACTAAGCTGTTTTTGACCCAATCTGCTTTACTTTCATAAAAATTTTCGCCGACATTATTGAATTTTATTGAGCTTAATGCTCAAAACATTACCATTAATCGCAGCAGCAAAACATTGCTTGCACAAAATATGTAGGCAAATAACGACTGCCAAGTAATTTCAGACGAAAACGCAAAATGCCGTACTTAACTAAAGATTTAAACCAGGCGTTTAAATTCGCGAATGATGATTGTTTCTTTTTGGGTATATTACAGCCAATTAATATAAACAATAATAAATAATAAAAATATTGTCAAGGTTTTGAAAACATACTAGGAGTTTATTTTCAAAACCTTTGAAAACATGCATAGCAAACACAATTTTCAAAACTTAAAAAAAATTGTCTATACAAATAATGATAGACTAAAACTATATAAATTGATCATATAATTTTTATTTTCCATAGCAATTTTTAATTCAAAAATGCCTTATTAAAGTTAAATGTACCTTAGTAAGCACCTAACTATCATAGGTTCTTTTAGAAATAATGTATAACTATAAAAAGTAAAAAAAAATACATGGCACTTAAGAACGGAGAGTACTTTCTCCGATAAATTTAAGTAGGCCTTAAAGTAGGTAAGTAAGCCCGTTTTCACCATCAATCCATATGAAAACAAAATTCCTGATGTGTTACCATAGGGATCACCTAAAAATTAGGGATTGATGCAGGTGAAAACGGGCATAAGTCTTTAAACCAAAACTTATCGACATCTCGTAACAATTCCTAACACCAAGATTAAAAAGATTTAAAGCACGAAATACACGAGAAAATAGATTGTAGCAAAGTTTCCTACAAGCAAATGTTCCGAGGATTCGCATATCCTTGTTCAGTTTGACTCCCAAAGGCACATATTTCATAGTATGTAAATATCACGTCAATGGAATAGGCGCTGTTCCGCCCCATAGTCGTCAGGATTAGGTCTCGACAGCGCGTGTCCATAAATCTAGTGTGTGGCGAGCCTAAGCCCCCGGACTCGCGCGCTAATTACAGTAAAAGCAGTATCAACGGATCACTCTAATTCAAGATTAGATAAATTAATTAAGTATTCAAACTCCTTTGGTTACAGACTCGGTAATTAAGCCAATGTAAAGTTAATATTTATTGACTCTATGAGTGAATAATTGCCACCGCTATCTCAATCAACGCTACGAATGAACTATTTTAGGTAACGTAGACATGACTAATTCATAACTCATTAATTCCTTAGTCTTCTAATATAACTAGCGACCCACCCCTGCTTGGCACAAGTACAATGTATTAACTATACTTAAAAACCTTCCTATTGAATCATTCTATCTACCTATTTAAAAAACCGCATCAAAGTCCGTTGCGTAGTTTTAAAGATCGATCTTTTTTAGCTATGTAGTGATAGTGATTATAATGATGGTATTTTCCTGAAAATTATTCGACATAAATCTACTACATATCCTACTTCATTCATGAAAATTAACAACAGAGAATCTCTACCCAATAATGATTTCTTGTCTTGTTAATTAATATGAGTTAGTACTTTATATAAATGTTTTTAACCTCTCAGACAGGAATTTCAAAACAGCTTGTATTTCCAAATTCCTGTCTGAGAGGCACTCTAAAATATTTTGTCTGCTATCGATCAGGCGGCTTAAATTGTGCTATTCTTAGCTTTAACTTTTAATATTTCATTAACTCATCTTTCTGTAACTATTTGTAGAGGACAATCTAACCCATTTCACAACAAAGTAAGTTTCGTTAAATCGTACTTTAATTTAGTAGTTAAGGCTAGATCAAAGAAAGATGGTACAAGGGGACTGTGTGAGCGTAGAAATGAGATTTCATTTAACTAAATACTTGTTTTATTTTGTGTATTGTACAATTTAGCCGCTCGCTCCAAACTACAAAGCCAGTGGTCGCATGCCCTCCTAACCTTGATACTTACGAATAGTTTATTCACTTTGATTCTTATTGTTTACCAAAACAGTAATGATAAAGAAACACACAAGTTTTAATGTAATATAATTGTATAAAACATTGAAAAAATAAGCACATAAATAACAAATAATAACTTAGTTTACTTATACCAAAAATAATTTAACCTTTTTATTATTTACACATATTTTAGGTAGGTAAATAAAATATTAAATCACAGTTTGTAAGTTACGATTTGCAAGAAATGGCCAGCTGCAATAGCCCCCAGCAATTGGTTGAGTAACGACCATGATTTATGAAACATTGACAAAATCGTAACATCGAGACCATTCTGCCTATCTCTCTCGAATGCAATTAAATCCGCGATATTCAAGCTTCTAGTGGCCTTTCTTGTACCCATACTTCTTATGATGCTCGTGACCACCCTTCTTGGCGTGGTCGTGGTGATGGTGATGATGCTCATCGTGGCCGGCAGCCTCCTTGTGACCCTTGTGCTCGTGGTGATGGCCTCCTTTCTCGTGGTGGCCCTTCTCGCCGTGCTCGTGTTCGTGGTGGCCCCCGTGGTGATGACCCTTCTTGAAGTGTCCTCCCTTCTTGTGGCCGTGTTCCTCATGGTACCCTCCGTGCTTCTCCTCGTGACCGGAGTCTCCTTCCTCGTCGAAGAAGTGTTTGTCTTTCTTGAACTCATCCAGCTTATGAATTTCATGATGTCCCTTAGTCGAGTGACCTTTGTTGTAGTGTCCCTTTTCTTCGAATTTGTGTCCTTTCTCACCTTTCTCGCCCTTGTGGTGCTCGTCGTAATGACCATCGTGATGGTGATGCTCCTTCTTGTGACCACCATGGTCATCGTATTCGCCTTTGTGGTGTTCTTTGTCGTGGTGTCCCTTCTTGCCTTCCTCGTGATGATGATGGCCCTTATAACCCTTATGTCCATGTTCTCCGTGGTCATGGTGATGATGCGCATGATGCTCTTTACCTCCACCCTTCTTGTACTCATGGTTATGGTGCTGTTCCTTTTTGTGATCACTGGGGGACGGTTCCTGGTCTGATGCTACCGGTTTCTCTTCGAGACGTTCATATTTAGCTGGTGGTAAACGGCGCGTGTAAGCTACCGTAACGAGGGTTAACAACGCGACCGCCAAGGCTAACCTCATGCTATAACTGGCCCGCGGCTTGTCGTGATGCGATGTTCACTACTTAGAGAATTAGCGGCACCAACGATGGAGCAGCAGTTTTATATAAAAAGTTGTGTAAGCTGTGGTAATTGACGCGTCGCGGGAGTCTGACGAGTTGCGGCAAGATCTGCTGCTGCTTATCGTACATTGACAAAAAATCCTTTGGACATCTTTTAATTTTGTTTAATTATGCCGTTGATTCCATTATGATTTATTATTTTCTTTTTTTTTATTTATTTTTTTTCACAGTTTCACACACACCAGGTTAAACTTTAAATGCTTTGTTATATTTTGTAAATTTTAAAAGCTCGTTAGAATACTGTTGTACACACGACCGCTCGTCTAAAATCCTGAACTATTTGGCTAACATTCCGCCTGCATCACGCTTTGTCAAATGCAGCTTCTAAATATAACAGCCGTAGGCATAATTTGAAACTATTTCAGAGAGCTACCCAGGTAATGCTAATTTTACTTTGAGCTAGGCTGATAGCTATATCACTGCAAATTTTAATTCTTCAGTTGAGCGTGAATTATTTTCAAAAACTTTTTTTTAACTATAATTTCTACTCTGCTGCCGAGCTTTGGAATGAGATTATTTAATTATTAAAATTCGTTAAACACACTATAGTGGAGGGTCATAGTCCAGCAGTGGACTGTAAAGGGCTGTTGATGATGATGATGATGATGTTAAACACACAGGGGTAACAGTTGCAAGTTTAAATAGCATTTTTCTATTAATACTCGTAATATGGCCTAGTGGCATCGTTAACCAGTTCGATTCTCAAATCTCAGCCAAGTTAAAAAAAATATTATCGTTACAAAAGGTAAAAGGTTTTCTTAAAAAATATTATCATTTTATTTTACTAACTGACTCATGAATACACAGACACAAAAGTAAACAAAAACAGTGAATTTGGAGCACTACTATTTATGTTAGCCTGACGTCATTACTAATATTTTATCTAGGCATAAAAAACCAACCAGACTAACCTATTAGTCTATTTTATAAATAAGCTCAGCTACTGTTAATGTTTTTGTTTGCCTAAAAATAATACACACTAACACTCTTGCATAGATGTGACGTTATGCTATTAACAGAAAAAATGGAAAAGAAAATGTTTACAATATGCGGAAAACTCTTGAATTTTCTAAGGAAAATTCCACGCGTTTCCAACTAAGAAGCTGGCTCTAAGTTCTATATTTGCCATATTTGCCAACCTGTACCACTCTTATTACATAGCCATGTAAAAGAAAATCAGTACCTACATTTTATTATTGCGATATTTTTACAGAAACCTTGTGTTAACCTAGATTCAACTGAAAGTCTTTTATTACTATAATTAAGTACCTAATTGATTGTTGTACCGAAAAATTAGATCTAAATCGAACAAAAACAGAACAAGGACAATATAAAAGGTTTTCTCCGAGCTTAATAAATATTTAAGTCCGTGCCCAATAACTGTTAAACTAATTCGTGTTTGCCTACGAAACCTTAAAGACTTCTAAAAACATGTTAAAAAATCTGATTTCCATAATGATTTTGATTTTAGATTTACTTTGGTAAGTAAAATTGATTCAAAAGGCGATATAGGAAAATTTTACCTTTCTTTTCCTAGCTATACTAAAGCTGAAGAGTTTGTTTGGTTATTATACCTAGGCACTAATCTCAGGAACTGGGCCAATTTAAAAATATTTTATGTTGGATACTTAGCCCATTTATCGAGGAAGGTTACCATCACGCTACGACAGTTGAAGTAGTAGAGAATCAAGAATAATGTTGCGAAAGCTCCAAACGATTTTCACGCGTACCTACCTACCTACAAAAATAGTATTAATATAAATATATCTATAATGTTTTTCTAACAAAGTAATTAATAAGGTTTTAATGTCAATAAATATTAAAGCCTCATAAGTGCTATAAAGCCTTGTCACATTCTGTGGAGAGCGAATTTCAGTTCAAACAACAGAGACAGTGCATAATGTTCAATTCAATGGTGGAGGCTGGCTAGAGAGACGCGCACAACCGCAACAAGTGTGTTCGAACGCCAAGGATGTGCGTATGAAAAGCCTTTGTGAATTTGATAGCAGCTACTGCTTACCGACGAGTAACAATTCCGTTTTGACTGACATGTCACTCAAATGATGTATTCGTACTCGTACTAATCCTTAACTACTTAGGTACTCGTAACATATCTTTAATGAAGAGCAGAAACTACCGTAATAGCCTTTTGTTTTAAAATAATATGAAATATTAAAAATATGAACTATAATGTTTATTCAATAATGAAATCACTCACTACGTAGAGGATCTCTTTCCGTGTTCAGATTAGGGATCAGGATTTTTTTATGTTAGAATTATTACACTGTTCCACAAGCACATAATTTATAACTCTGAAGAATTTTCAAACAACAATCTCAATCCAATAATACAGCAGTTAATAATAATGTTTAATCAAACGGATTTGCACGCCTGTCATGGCCTTTATTCAATGGTGGAACTGATTACATTATAAGACGGGACATTTAGATGTTTGATTAATCGAATTACAAATTTTAATTACTTTTATAGAGACACAACATGAAGATCACAGAGCCCAGATATGGGGCATTATACTCNTTATACTTGTAGGTACTTAGATGCGAGTATACGGGACTTCAGGAGTTTTCAGCTATCTTTACCAGACAACCACATAATTAGGAGTTTTGCACGTCAGGACAGTCATCAAGAAAAGAAGAAAGATACTTTACATCAGCCGAGTTGCACAACCAAACTTTAACCGTAACTATAACGTTATCCGGTGTTTTATGTATGGTGTTTGAGAGATTTTTGACTTTTATATAATTAAAGTGAGATGGTGCAACCCAACCATAATCGCTTATTTAATCAGCTGTCATCAGTCCTTGATGATGTTGTTGGGTTCTCCGACTTCAATCCAACCGTAGACGGTGACCGTGAGAACCACATGGTCAGTGAACTGTCAAGCGCGCGCGCAGCCAGACCGCGCGCCACGCGCCTGCGTCATTCCGACACGTTCTATTTAACCGGAATGGCACTTGTAAACAATTTTATTGACTACTATCAAACAAAAAAGGTAGGTCCTTAGGTAGGTACATATAAACAAAAAAAATATGATTCTGTTGCTTCAAAAATTGGGTAAGTGCCAGAACTAAGTAGTACATAAAAGAAAAGATCTAAGATTTTTAAGTATATTTATGTTTTTAGTCTCTTTTATTTGAAATATGGAAATTGTTTTTATCTCAGGTTTCATTAAATCTAATATTTTAAGTTACAAAAAGTAGGCATTCCGTTAGTCAAAAGGTTGCTCCACTCACCTTCAAAATGCTACTGAAAATAATACCTTTTAATTTTACAGCACAGTGATTTTTTGTATAGTTTGTGTAACCTACAAAGAGTAAATAACTGTTAATCTGAAATGGTTGAAGTATTTTCATGAATAATATTTGTACTTACTTAATGTTAAACTGTGAATGTACGCGTCCTTTAGTTAATATACGCAATAATTCAGCTCCACGAAATACCATAAGCCGATGGTATCGAGCAGTTAATGTTCCCTTTTGATGACTGATAAATAAACAATATAAAGTTGGTGTAACAGTTGGAAACACCAGCTGAAGTAACTTCGGAATCGAGGAGTTGTCCTCGCGCAGATTGTTTCTCAAGGGAACCGCAGGTAAATTCATAACAATAATAACTGTGATAACAGTTTTGCTACTCTCCAATGTTACCGGATCTGTGAAATGTAGAAACAACTATGAAAGGCAGTTACACTTTGCACTCTTAACTTAACTTTAATGTGATTATCGAGGAATTAACTAACTCTATATAACATCAGTTTATAGAAGTAAGTAAATAATTTTACCTACTTAAGTTTATATCAGCAATCATTAGTACCGAACTGTACCTACACAAAGCTAATTTTATTTTATAGGAAGCGCATGGCGTCGAGCCAAGTGTGAAGCTCTTCCCTGCTAAAGTGCAATACTCATTCGTTGCCGTCCTCGTTCGTTTACAACTGAAACCGCATATACAGCTAAACGTGTAAGAATTTGTGGAATAAAAGCCGACATTACACGCACTGTACGCAAAATTAAACCCACTTTAGTTTCCCAAAACGCTGTGAACAATATGTTTTACGGGCGATATGGGGTTAGGATAGTTTGTGAAATTTCTTGTAGGTAGAGCTAATTCACATAATTCAAAATCTCTATCCAATCGCTTTGCTCAGATAGAAGTCCTTTTCTTGATAAGGTAGGTACCTATGTTTCAGCTCAACTAATTTTGAAATCATAACTTCATAATAAGTAATTATTAACATACTATCACAATTTTCTGGATTATTATTTTATAAGTTTTAGTTCTTTTTCTTTCCAAGTTATCGCGTGTACTGTACCGACCATAATTCTACATTTTATGAGCCGCCATATCTGTCGGACATGGCTCAACGAACATCGAATATTTAAAGCTGCGGATGCGAAGCGGATTCATCTTTCACAATATTGAAGCTGCAGGTTGATTTAGACTCCTACGTCATAACTAAAGTAAAAAAAAATCTTGATTTCTTTAGTACTACATGAATTAATTTTATTTGTTTAATTTTTAACCACTTGCCAAGACTACATTAAGTAGGTACTCGTACCTCTTACGTGCAAGAGTATTATTTATCTAGCTAATTACCTCTTACTTATTCACATTATGTTCATCAAAAATGAACGCTACAACTACTACAACATGCTGATTGGTCTAATTCTGCATTTTAACTAACATTAAATGAAAATTGGAAATTTTCACAAAAGGTCGGTAAAAAGCAATCATACTTTACAAAGTAGAGCCGTTATTTTAACAAAGCAGAGACGGAGATAATATCCGCACGTATGTTTCGGACAGCACAATAAAACGTTTAATGCGGTGCACTATCGCTGTCCATTGAGAAACGTTATCAATTTGAGTTCGACTGCAAGTGTTTTCTATAGAAATCGGTCGATTGCAACCACGACTAATTCGTTGCCCACTAAAATGTAGGCCATTCTCGGGTACCGTCTAGTTTCTCAACGGCAAGTTACTTATCGGTCGGGAGCCGTTGCCAACTAACCACCGCCAACTATTTTATGTAACTTTGTTGTCGAAACGTGACGTGAAATTGATAAGTTTGTTTTTGCACCTCTAATTGCCCAGAAAATGCCGGCTTTTTTGGAATCGACTTTGAATTGCTCAGATGCTTTAAATAAATTAAACAAAAATCCTTTGTCAATATTTTTTTAATAACAACATCACTTTCAACGAAAACTTAACACATTGTGCTTAATTAGAAAACCTAGAGAAACTAGATAATAAGGACTAATTAATTTGGTTCTAATCGTATATGCTGGCATCAATAGTTTAGTGTCCCTTCTTGTGACCCCAGTGCTTGTGGTCCTCATGACCGCCCTTCTTGCCATGGTCATGATGATGATGGTGATGCTCATGGTGGCCGCCCTCATCGTGGTGGCCTTTGTGGTCGTGATGGTGTCCTCCCTTCTCGTGGTGTCCGCCCTTGCCGTGTTCATGATGATGGTGGCCATGGTGCTTGTGTCCCTTGTGGTGACCGCCGCCCTTCTTGTGACCATGTTCTTCGTGATGACCACCGTGATGCTCATGATGACCGCCGTCATGATGGTGATCATGGAAGTGCTTCTCCTTCTTGAACTCGTCGTGCTTGTGGACACCGTGGTGACCCTTGGTGGAGTGGCCTTTGTGATAATGTCCCTCCTCATGGTGGCCATGCCCTTTGTGGCCCTTCTCGCCGTGGTGGTGCTCGTGGTGGTGGCCATCATCGTGGTGGTGGTGTTTCTTGTGGCCGCCGTGCTCATCGTGGTGTCCCTTGTGTCCTTCATGATGGTGGTGTCCCTTCTTGCCGTGTTCGTGGTGGTGGTGGCCCTTGTAGCCTTTGTGTCCCTTCTCCCCGTGGTCATGGTGGTGATGGTGGTGGTGCTCGTGGCCGCCGCCCTTGTCCCACTTGCCGCCGTGGTGGCTGGCGGCCTCCTCCAGGTCCGCACTGCGCTTCTCCCGCGGCACCTCCCGGCAGCTGACGTAGGCCAGCGCCGCCACTGCGACGCAACATAAAAGCAAAGCCCTCATATTTGCACTGAACCAGCTGACTGACTGATGTCTGCCTTAGTGACCACAAAGTTTTTATACTAAATGCTGTTTTGTTTTGCATTGTATGAAAATTGTGTAAATTATCAAGGTTGCTGCTATGTTCAGGCGCAGATCTAGTAGTTGCGCAGCGTCCCGGCTCGGTGTCTCAACAAAGTCAAAGAAACCAGAGCATAAGTAAAAAATATCTACCTACTCGAATACTTTCTACCCGAAAGGTATTAGGTAGGTGCATAATTGAACCGTTTTACTCGCTGTGTTCGCTATTATTGCTTTTTTTATAGTTAACTCATTAATATAAGATATAACTTTTGTATGCCTACCTAGCTAAGTATTTGTCCATCTCATCTAATACCAACTAAGGTAGGCTCCAAAATTATTTTATCAATCAACGACTTTAGAAGCAATTCGTTCGTTCGTTCGTTCGTTTCAGCCGAAAGACGTCCACTTCTGGACAAAGGCCTCCCCCAAGGATTTCCACAAAGAGGCAATAGCTATTAAAGATCGGGCGTTTGGTGTAGTGGTTCACTACTATGCCGAAAGGTCCCGGGTTCGATTCCCGGCCGGGCAGAAATTGAAATGATGGATTTTAATTTCTGTGACGAGTCTGGATGTTAGGGGGCGTCCATAAATTACGTGAGACTTTTAGGGGGGGGAGGGGGTCAACGAAAACCTCACTAAATCTCACGTAGGGGAGAGGGGGGGTCTCGGAAAATATCACGTAATTTTTCTCGCAAGAAATAGAGTAAAATTGCCAGAAAAGTGGGTTATTGAAGTAAAAAAAAATGTTTTTTTTTTATGATGATAATGACAATTTATTCCAAACTGTCTAATCAAATTAAACTAAAAATGTCTCCATCTGCATTTGTAAACACTAAAGATGCTAATGTCAAAATTAAGAAAATTCGAAATTAAAAAAAAACGTCATCGGGATCGCTATTGCGTAAATAATTTGGCAAGTGCGTGTCGTGTCATGCGTAGTGTAGGGTTCCGTAGTTGTCTGTCGTTACCACAATATATTTCAGAAGCAAGCAATTACTTCATCTAAAGTCAATTTCATATTTTCTTCTAAGGAATTTTTACCGGTTAAGAAATTGTATAATACATGAGTCAAATGACTATTACTCTTAAACTAAGTAATGTATCTTAACCGTTATACACTCGCGAGCAAAAGTATGGAATCACTTACATGAAGTTGTTTCCACGCGATCTTGTGTACTAACGAATTTGTTAGTAACAAAAAAAGTAGCACCATTTTAAAGATTAAACTTTTAACTTTAAATTGATACCAAATTCATTTAAATCACACCGGTATTTAAAAAGATTATCCCGGCTGATGTGAAGAAGTAAGAAAAAAGACATGTACCAACTGTTTGATACGTCGCGAGTTGCGGCCTATTTACCCCCTATAAAAGCACGTGTATTCCGATTTTTGCGTTCACACATTGATCCATACACATCTTGGCTTCTTTTGACACTTTACCTGGGATTCTACACCTACAGATGCAGCACAAATCGTTGCACTGTTGCAAGAAGGGCTCAGCCAGCGGGCTGTCGCACGTCAGCTCCACATAAGCCAGTCCTGGGTTTCGAAAGTTTTAAGACGCTTTTGGGAGACTGGTGGCTTTATCCCGAGACCAAGTTCTCAACAGCACCGGTGCACATCGCAGAGGGATGACCGTTTTTTCATGTCAACCTCTCTATGAAATCATCATTTGACTGGTATCGACGTCCAGCAAGAGCTCAGAAATGTTTGTAGGATAGCTGTTAGCGAGTGGACAGTTCGTCTAAGATATGAGCAATAAAGTTTGACTCCAAATAGGCCTGCCACAGGCTGGAAACTGACAGCAGGTCACCGACAAGCACGCTTTCAATTAGCTCGCACTCGGAAGGCGAGTAATGTAGGCGAGTTTTGTTCTCCGATGAATGCAGACTGTTTTTNCGGGAAGCTACGGAACCCTGCACTGCGCGTGGCACGACACTGGTTTACTGATTTTTACATATAAATCTAATAGACTCGAAGCATAGACATTGCAAAATAGGCATTTAATTAAATATCACGTGAGATTAGGGGGGTGGGGGAGGGGGTCAGGCAAAATCTCACCAAATCTCACCAAGGGGGGCGGGGGGGTTGAAAAATGGCAAAAATTGTCTCACGTAATTTATGGACGCCCCCTTACCATGTTAAAATGTGTATGTATTTCAAAAGTATATTATTACAAGTAGTTCCGAATCAGTTAAGCTAGCACCCATAACACAAGCATAGTACAAGTTGCTTACTTTGAGGCTATCTGACGCTGATGCTCTGTAAAAAAGGGATTACTCAAAGACTCGCAATGTATGTGGTGATTTTGTGATATTATGAGCCAATGAAAGTGAACTACTATGTAGATAGGTAATGTAGTTTCTATGGAATAACGTAAAAATTAGGTTAGCTATTTTCTCCTCTACTTAACTCAAAGTTGTTGCTACGAGCAGTCTGCCCCTTTTGAAAATTGGGTGTGCTCTAAAGGTTCGACCAAACCAACGCGTGCAGCCCGCGTGCACGATGGCCATGGTGATCCTGCTGATTTCTACTGCTTGTTTTACAAAACCACACCCTGTATTACTGATACTGAACAGAAATTAGTAAAAAAGAATGTCTTAAAATTTTCTTTTTTAATTTTGTGTATTTTATTTTATCGATAATCTGTAAACACACCACTAATTTATCGTAACACATGCACATCACTTGTTGGTGATGGCGACTGAGACTTTCTATTTTTAAATATCTACTACAGCAATCTATTGTTTTTCAAATTCTTTTTGGCACTATTGCAAAAAAGCTGACGCCCACTAGGTTTATTATTCCAATTAACCTGCGAGACAAAATTGGTTTATTCTAATTAGTACCGCAAAACCTTTACTAAAAACTTAGGCTCAGTTGCACCACCTAACTTTGCCCGTAACTATAACGATAACCGGTGTTTTTTGTATGGATTTTGACAGATTTTTGACGTTTTTCAAAGTAAAATGGTGCAACCCAGCCTTAGTGTGCTTTTTATAAGGGAGTCTCTTGTTTATCTAAAATGATACGTACTGTTCGCTACTTTAATCTCTGTGAATATGGCAAGGATACAAAGTAACAGCCTGTGTTTACCAAAAATAAAGCAGGTGTTATATTTGTTCGTGCAAATACATGTAAGTAGACGAAACTAAGTGGTTTACCAGTTGGGTGGTAAAAAAACTATTTGTACAAGGAAACGTTGCGTCCTGAACCTTCTGTCTGCATTTTTCTATGCTTTAGGCAAGGTCTATTGAGGGACATTGAAATCGTAATAGAAATAAAACTATGATATTTTTTCACTTATTTTATTGATACAATCCTCAACAACAAAGTATAAGAGCACTACAGGATGCTTTATTATTGTTAATAAAATTACATTAAATACCTATTAAACTAAAATATATTTTAATTCGTACAATATTTCATACAGTAAATCACAATCAACTTTAAGTTGACGAAATTATTCAACTAAAGGAACATAGCTAAATATCATCCACACAATGCGTGTTTCACACTCTGAAGTTAAGTTGGTAGAATTTTATTTACGACGATCACATTTTTTTTTAAATTCCGTTACCAAATGAATTTATTTAAGGATATTTGATTCTTCCCTTGTCTTAAGATGATGGCTGTATAACAAAAAATATATTTTATTTAGTAGGCCTACTTAATAATTAACTTTAGTTAAAAGATAACGCCTTGAATGCCGTTATAAAAAAGGTGAAATAGGCCACTTGCAATAAATTCTCACGAGAAGATCACTAAAAAATATCATTTTTCAGCCGGCAAAGAAATGAGTCGCGTGCATACCTAGGCAGAAAAAGGAAATAATTAAAGGTATATAGAGATAGAAAGACATTATAATTATAAAATACCTAAGATACACAAACTTATCCCCTGGTACGTGCAAAAATTATGAATAAACAACTTAATACATTAGTAAAAAAAAACTTCAGAGTTGTTAACATCTTCATGTAATTTTATTTTTGTAAGCATTCACTTCATTCCGTTATTGATGTCTATCAGACGATGATCTTTGCTTTTCCTTGATAAGTTAAAATATATTTAAACTAAGTAGTTATTTAACAAAACAATTCATAATTTTATCTCAAGTTTTATTAATATTGTCTCTGGATTTTGAATTTAAAAATACGATATTTATGGAAGAATAAATCCTTATCTTCTACTTACGCTAACGCGTCAGAGCGCAGTTAAGAGCTTCAGAAAAGCTGCAAGATTTTTAATTTCTAAGCCAGAAACGGAGATAAAAAATTGAATTTAGTATCATTTAATTTACAATATAATTTGAAATTGGACAAAACAACATTATAATTTGAAAAATATTATTACACGAAATAATCACACTTCATAGAGATCTAATAGAAAGCGAACTTTCTGTAACCAAAATAATACAAGCCTCTTTACCAACCTTCCTGAATAGAGATTAGATTTCCAGATTCAGAATTACAAATACATACATAAAACATATTGATATCTTAACAATCATCGCAGCAAGCTCTTCACATAAGTGTCTTTTTACTTACTACATCTATGGTTATATTCCAGTATAGTTTTCAAAGTTAGTTAAATGACAAAATATTTTTATCAACCTGTCACCAATTGTACCGATACATCTCAGTCTATTTTTGTCACTTTTGTAATAGCAGTTTCAAAATATTAGCTCAAAACGTGCAGTATTATATCCGAAAAAAAAAATTTTTCAACACTATGTATGACAGTGGCATTATGCAGCCTCATGTCAAATAACATTTTTACGTGCGAATACTAAAGAATTATCACCAACGCTAGATTATAATGATGTAGCTAGATTAAATCAGCTAGTATCTAGTTAAGATGGAAGCCACGCTCGTTGGTCGCAGCCAGCAGCCTTTCGCGAAGCACCTCCTTGCAGGAGTATTCAGGCAGCTTCAAGTAATGCACGCACGTGTTGACTGAGGGGTAAGACCCATCGCCGGCGTCAACCTGCAAGTATACATTTTACGTTAAAATTCTCCATAGTTATAGTACACACAGTTAACTAAATGGGCAGCTTTATTGAAACGGGTCAGGAAAGAGATAGAGGAGGAGTGGGGGGAGAAAGAGAGTAAAACAGGAGGATAGCATTAATGTGACCGGCGATTTATAGAATAATACATGAAACGTCAAAACGTCAAATACCCTCAGTCTAAGATCGATCCTCAGTGCCCCGTCTAATCCTTTTTATAGATCTTGTTATCCACGAAGACGCGCCCCACCAATTTTTGGTCAAGGGAAGTGCGGGGTGCGGGGAGTTTGATCCGAGCAATCCGAGGGTCATTATGTAGTGTGCGTGAATAATTTAGCGTCTACCGCACTCAAACATTAGCGGAAGAATGGTAGGGCTGGTCTTCGTAGATGAGACGATCTACAGGGTGAAAACGATAAGTGATCTCACTCGATTATTTCTAAACTATACAAGATATCAAAAAAAACTAGTTACTGTACGGCTAGCACGAAAAACTTTCGAGTTCGAATCGTTTGCGTATTTAAAGATTTAGTATGAAAACTACAACTGCGTTCATGTGAATGTGTCTTAAAGTGAACTCAGTATGAGAAATGGTTGCACGAAACTTATTTTGAGGATAAAAGTTGTCACGTTATCGTTTAATTCGAAGGTTGAGTATCGAATTATGTCGAATACGTAAACGATTCGAAGACGAAAGTTGTTCATGCTAGAGGTACAGATCCTGAACGTGCTTCATGAGCTCACAATAATTGGTTACAGAATAAAGTTGCTTACCTTCCGCACGACGGTGAGGCGCGGGTGCAGGTTGGCGAGCCCGCCGGGCGGCAGGCTGCTGCAGCCCGTCGCGAATTGCAGGAAGGCTTTGCGCTCGCGCACCGACATCTCCACCAGCACGTCCACCAGGCGCAGGAAGCCCGGGCTGTTTGACACAAGTATACTTAATTAATTTCTGTTATAACCACAGCAAAGACATCTCGGGGACACTTCAGATAAAATAACTCTTTATTATTACGGCAAGTTTCACAAAATGTCAAGCGGTTCCAGTTTCTGTTAATAACACGGCAAATGTTGGTGACGATTGCATCATTACTCTTTATACTTCGGCAGCGGTCCCGGCAAAAATTTTAATTTACGGTTGATTGAAACAAAATAATTGGTGTAATTCATGGCTATAATTGGAATTACATATTTATTGAGAAACTGTGCTTTGGAATAACTGCTGGAAAAAGACCCCTCAGAAATTCCATAACAACCGATCCAACAATATTTCGTTGCCAGCGTCCAAAAAATATTAGTATCAAAACCCAATTCATCATTTCATCATTTCAGCCACAGGACGTCCACTGCTGAACATAGGCCTCCCCCAATGCTTTCCATGTTGATCGATTGGTAGCGGCCTGCAAAACCCAATTACGCGCTAGAAAGAAAATGTTGTGTTGCAACATACCTGTCGCGCGTGTAGCCCAGCTTGGGCTCGGTGTACTGCAGCAGGTGGTCGCGCGTCCACACGGGCCCGCGCTCGCCGCAGACCAGCAGGCGCAGCTCGGGCGGCGAGAAGGCGCGCAGGCGGCGCGGCGGGAACACGGCGCCGAAGCCGCGCCGGAACGCGCCCGTCTGCCGCCGCACGCCCTCGCGGACCACCCAGCGCGCGCTCGCTTCGGCGTATGCGCGAGCGTTGTGCGCGCCCACCTGGTCACCATGAGAACATTGTTAAAACACTACCGGAACATTTTAAAATAGTAATGCCCGTTTTCACCATCAATCCCTAATTTTTAAGTGACCCCTATGGTAACAAATAATATGAAATTTGTTTTCATAGGGGTCACTTAAAAATTAGGGATTGATGGTGAAAACGGGCATAAGACACGGGTCTTAACGCGACATTTATTAATGAGTTACATTATATACTCACGGCTTGACGTTTCGGCTGCGATTAACTCATTAATAAACGTCATGTTAAGACCCGTGTCATACTATTTTAATTGAATGCGCCGGAACGCGCCCGTCTGCCGCCGCACGCCCTCGCGCACCACCCAGCGCGCGCTCGCTTCGGCGTATGCGCGAGCGTTGTGCGCGCCCACCTGGTCACCACGAGAACATTGTTAAAACACTACCGGACCATTTAAAATAGCAAGACACGGGTCTTAACGCGACGTTTATTAATGAGTTATATTATATACGTACTCACGGCGTGACGTTTCGGCTGCGATTAACTCATTAATAAACGTCGCGTTAAGACCCGTGTCGTACTATTTTAATTAAAATGGAACGCGAATGTTTAAAAATGTTTAAAATCTTACACTACCGGAACCTACCCGAACATCTCTAGTTTCGCGCAAATTATACACCACAAGCGCATCTACTAGCAAAAACTTAAATTGTTAGCTGTAACTTCTTTTTGTGCTCTGTTACTCTAACCATTATCTCCTCTAGCTCGCTCATTGTCGATAAAATGAGTTAATGATACTTCGTTATAGCTTAATGACGTCCACTGCTGGACAAAAGCCTCCCCCAAGGAGTTCCATAACGACCGGTCCTGAGCTACCCGCATCCAGTTTCTTCCCGCGATGTTCACCAGGTCTTCAATTCACCTAGTGGGGGGCCTGTCCACACTACGTTTTCCGGCCCGTGTAATGGATTTGTTCATATTGATACATATCTCCGACTTAGCAAGCATTATTCCTCTCTCTCTCTTAACACAGGTTGTCTGCTGTACAGAAGCTCATCAAGCTGAGGTAAAAATATTTGGCTAGAGCAGCATTTACCTCGACGTGCTCGCCGCTGTCGCAGAGCGGCTGCACGGAGACGGCGGGGTCGGCATGCGCTCCAACGTGCGTCATGCTGAGCGCCAGCTGCTCGAACGTGGCGCCCTCCACCGTGAGCGATATCGCCTCGTACTCTTGGCACGTGCCCATAGTGCCCAGTGGGAGAGGAGCCCGTAGTTACCTCGATGTGCTCGCCGCTGTCGCAGAGCGGCTGCACGGAGACGGCGGGGTCGGCGTGCGCGGCCACGTGCGTCATGGTGAGCGCCAGCTGCTCGAACGTGGCTCCCTCTACCGTGAGCGATATCACCTCGTACTCTTGGCACGTGCCCATAGTGCCCAGTGGGAGAGAGCGGCCTGTAGTTACCTCGATGTGCTCGCCGCTGTCGCAGAGCGGCTGCACGGAGACGGCGGGGTCGGCGTGCGCGGCCACGTGCGTCATGGTGAGCGCCAGCTGCTCGAACGTGGCTCCCTCTACCGTGAGCGATATCACCTCGTACTCTTGGCACGTGCCCATAGTGCCCAGTGGGAGAGAGCGGCCTGTAGTTACCTCGATGTGCTCGCCGCTGTCGCAGAGCGGCTGCACGGAGACGGCGGGGTCGGCGTGCGCGGCCACGTGCGTCATCGTGAGCGCCAGCTGCTCGAACGTGGCTCCCTCTACCGTGAGCGCGGCCGCGCGCTCCGCCTTCTCCGAGTCGCTGAGCGACGCGTCGCGCGATATCACCTCGTACTCCTCGGCGGCGGCCAACACGTTTTGCAGGAACCTGGAAGTTTTAAATCATAAATATCGGTGGTTCAGGGCTGATTTTTCAATCGTCGGATTACTTATAACTGAAGAATAAGTTTGGCACATTGACAGTTTCAGTATGGAAAATATGTCAAAATGACAAGTTTATTCTTCAGTCAAAAGATACCTGACGATTGGAAAATCGGCCTATAATGGCTGAGAAGATTATAGAGTTAAAGAAACTAATTCAATTAGAAGATGGTAAAATATTTCTACTAGGAATAATTCAGAAAAGTTTACCTGTATCTAATCGGATCAACTTCTTCCAGATGTTCAGTCGTTAATTCTTCTCCACACATTATTCGTAGGAAAGGTTCTGACAGCGGCAAATCTACAAGCCGTCCATCTTGAAGGACCTGTAAAGAAAATCACATAATAATTACTTGTGACGTTCAATTAAAAAAATATATTATGTATTGAAATTTTTAGATTTTTAGATACGTACCTTTGCTAGAAATACTCCTAGGAACCAGAAATATTTGCAAACTTTATCACAGATAGCAGAGTCTTGAGGAAGCGGTGCCGGGAAGAGACCTCCGGCACGCGTCACGTAATAACCTGGTGGTTTTTCTGTAACAAACAAATCGATGTAAAATACAATGTTTTATTCTTTGAAGTTATCATCATATCATGGTGTGGTGTTAATTTATTATCTGAGAATACACTGAGAATTTCGTGACGTGAAAAATGTGACCTCAAGCAGGCCTGTTCATCTCCGCGAGTTTACATCGAAAACAAAACACGCACGATGGCCCACCTACAGGATACTATTCGACAAGGCCTCACATACGAGCGAACATTGACTCACGCACGCGTATTCTTGTGTAGGTATGACGGAAGAAAATAAAGAAATGTGCAGTATTTAGTATAAATAAGTAGTTAATATTATTCATGATAATTCATGCTAAATCATGTATTTCCTCCGCCATTTTCCGCAGTTTGGCACCTCACGTCACATCATTTTACCGAAGTCAGCCCTATAGCTTCAGCGCAGTGCCGATCACTGACGTTTGTCAACAAAATGGTGCTTGACTCTTGAGACAGGCTAAATTACACCATATTGTTAATGACATTGAGCATACATTTTTTTAAATACCTTCGAGAAGTAAAACTTCTGTACGTAGTACTTATTATTATTCTGTGCCTCAAGTCAATTCACGCACTGTCAGCTTTTGATATACGTTTTTATTGCACAAACTATTAATAATCCAACGGACGACGAGGTAGTTTGGGCCTGCCCAGCCCTGAATTGACAGTCAGAGACTGACACTGTTGGGATATTGTCCCCGTTGGAGTAGGCATAAGAAGCAGGGATGTTATGGATATCCGTAATCGTAACCGAAACTTTCGGATATCCGAAATAAAAAAATATCCGAAACCGTAACCGTTTCAAAAGTTTCGGATAGTTTCAGATGTATTGCATAGCATTATATGTAAAGGCATAAGAGCCTGATTTACCTTTATTTTATATAGTATCAATATTTTTTTTTATTACTTTCAATTCGATGTGAAGTGTGCGGCCATGAATGAACCGTGTTGGACAACTATTGCAAATTGCATTCTAAAGCACAGATATCCGTAACCGTTACCGAAACCGGTATAATATTATTCCTATATCCGTAACCGTATCCATAAACGAAATTACATATCCATAACATCTATACTTAATTCGACAAGGCCTCACATACGAGCGAACATTGACTCACGCACGCGTATTCTTGTGTAGGTATGACGGAAGAAAATAAAGAAATGTGCAGTATTTAGTATAAATAAGTAGTTAATATTATTCATGATAATTCATGCTAAATCATGTATTTCCTCCGCCATTTTCCGCAGTTTGGCACCTCACGTCACATCATTTTACCGAAGTCAGCCCTATAGCTTCAGCGCAGTGCCGATCACTGACGTTTGTCAACAAAATGGTGCTTGACTCTTGAGACAGGCTAAATTACACCATATTGTTAATGACATTGAGCATACATTTTTTTAAATACCTTCGAGAAGTAAAACTTCTGTACGTAGTACTTATTATTATTCTGTGCCTCAAGTCAATTCACGCACTGTCAGCTTTTGATATACGTTTTTATTGCACAAACTATTAATAATCCAACGGACGACGAGGTAGTTTGGGCCTGCCCAGCCCTGAATTGACAGTCAGAGACTGACACTGTTGGGATATTGTCCCCGTTGGAGTAGGCATAAGAAGCAGGGATGTTATGGATATCCGTAATCGTAACCGAAACTTTCGGATATCCGAAATAAAAAAATATCCGAAACCGTAACCGTTTCAAAAGTTTCGGATAGTTTCAGATGTATTGCATAGCATTATATGTAAAGGCATAAGAGCCTGATTTACCTTTATTTTATATAGTATCAATATTTTTTTTTATTACTTTCAATTCGATGTGAAGTGTGCGGCCATGAATGAACCGTGTTGGACAACTATTGCAAATTGCATTCTAAAGCACAGATATCCGTAACCGTTACCGAAACCGGTATAATATTATTCCTATATCCGTTACCGTATCCATAAACGAAATTACATATCCATAACATCTATACTTATAATAAATCTGTAGAGAGGTCAATTCTGTACATGAAATATATTTTCAAAATAACTATCAGGGGGTGATTAGTGATCGATACTGATGCCAAAAATGCAATCAGTAAAATTTTTGTCTGTCTGTCTGTCTGTAAGTATGTTCCTTATAGAAACAGAAACTACTCTACGGATTTTAACAAAACTTGGCACAATTATTCTTCGTACTCCTGGGCAGGTTATAGTATACTTAAGAATTCCCACGGCAACGGGAATTAGCGGGAAAATCCTTTTGTATGAAAAATCTAAACCGCTTAAGTTAGACGCTTGAAATTTGGCATGCAGGTATCTTAGTAAACTTAAAGCTTAGTTGCAACAGGATATTGCAAAATTCCCACGGTAACGGTAGTTAGCGGGAAAAAACATTTGTATGAAAAAATCTAAACCGCCTAAGATAGATGAAGGGGGTAAAACGGGATCCACGCGTACGAAGTCGCGGGCGGCCGCTAGTCCCTAATAAGAAGTAAACTTAAGAGCGTTTACGCGAAGCGCGGCGTTTCAAGGGGCATCATTGGAAATGATTCGCGCGCGGCGTTTTTTAATAGTTTCCAAATGTTTATAGCAAAACAATAACAATGAATTATATATTTTTTCAAAGTAAATATTTTAAAGAAGATGTTATTTTATTATATTAAGCTATTTTTATGTTGAATTAAAGAAGAATAATGGTGTAAAAATCACTTTGATTTTTGGGTATTTCACGTTTTTTTAATTTGTGATTTCTTATTGTAAAATGCTTAAATCTAAAAATTTTCTCAGATAACTATTTGCCCAAGGATCTATGCTATAGGATATACGATTTAATGTTTGTTAAATCGTTTTAACAGTATTTTAATAAAAAAATCAGCTTGTAAACTGACGCTAAAGTACTGTTTTTGCGCCAATCGGCGTAAACGCTCTTAAGGTTTAGTAGTGTACCGTCTGGCAGCGCCAGGTGGTGCGGCGCGGCGTCGTCGCCGGGCGAGGCGTCGTGCAGCCACAGCCCGAGCTCGGCGCGCTGCAGCTCGGCCGCCACGAGCGCGTAGAACTCCAGCGTGGGACCCAGGCCCGTGCCCTCTTCGCCCGCGAACTCAACCTCCAGCACCGACTTGCGGCCCGCGTGCACTTTCATCACCTGAGATAAGATACGCGTCACTTAATTTATAGCTGTAACAACTGTATACCATGTTTTATGCAAATAAACAATTATTCTATTCTATTCTATTAAGCTCAATACGAAAAAATAATTACTTGCCTAACACGTCTTAGAATAATATTTTCCGCATGGATGGCTGACAAAATTGACAGATTTTCTACCGCCGCTGTCTTTCAGGACCAGCCGATAATTATGTTCTTCCAAAGTGGCGATAGGGCAAGCTATTTTAGCCAATACTTCCGATAATTACGTCATAAGTATTTAGTTTTTTTCAGTGCAATAAATACGCTCATCGGTGACGGACACTTTCATTTAACATTCCGCTCCCGAGCAACTTATCCTACTTGTGCTCAACTTCTACATCAAAACTTAACTACATCAACATACTACTACATACTTACCACCAAGTGTAAGGGAACTATCTCCTACGTTATCAAAATGAAAAAATGCGTATCTACAAAAATATAAATAACAAAAATCTAACCTGCATTGCCGAACGCAGTAAGTCGGGGTTGCGCGGTATGCGCACGCGCTCGTGCCGCAAACGACCCATACGGAACTCCGTAGCTTCCAGCTCAGCGCGTCGCGGGGACACAGTGTTTCCCGCTCTGAAAAAAATAATCACGTAAAATAAAATGATATTCAAATGTTTTATTTATTATTTTTTTACATTATTGTTTATTGTTATAAATACCTTTGCCTGTCAAGTGCGCGTTCACGCTGCGCTTGGAGCCACACGATGGTGCGGGAGGTGCCGAAAGCGGTGCACGCGAAGAACATCTGACGCGTCTCCAGCGGGAACAGAAATGGGCACCAGTCGTTCAGTTGCTGACACCTGATGACATACAATTATCTTATTGATAGCCTTTACCAAGTGAGATTGAGATATCTACGGGTATCTCTACAGATTTCGTGAAGAGCCTAACGTCATCAATTGGCTTTTTGTGTTCAGATTTGGAGGTAATTTCTTTTCCCAAGGATTGCAATTAAAAATTCACTATTTATATCAAATGTTGAGTAATGTTTATGACACTGTCATTTTCACTTTTACAGTTTCTCAGCTACAGAACATAAAGCTAGCGTAGTGGGTATTTTGAGGAAAAGTATAATAAAGACTTACGCCCGTATTCACAAAAATTACTATGAGGTCTCACATTGCGCGTGGACGCACTGGGTGACACATGAACCAATCACAGAGCTCTATTCAACGCTGTGCGTTCGGTTTTCTGCTTCACTTAAGCAAGCATCATTTGTGAATACGGGCGATTGTGTTGTATTGGTTGAAAATGCAAATCTACTCAATAACAGTTTGTAGACCACTGACCAGTGCGGCGTAGCGGCGGCGGCCAGGGTCAACGGTTCCTGAAGCTGCTGGTGCAGCTTGTTGGTGAGCTTGGTGGACACGAAGGGCTCGGGCGGCAGCGCAGGCGCCGCGGCTCGCAGGCGCCGCAGCACGCGAACGCAACACGTCGCCATCGCGCCTTCCGCACCCTCCACGCCCGCTACGCCACGCTCTGCGCAAAAAACAATGGTTAGTGTGATGTACTACTACACAAATAATGAGTGTGCGCTATGGCAACACTGTCTAAAGCCTGGTCCGTGAGCACGTAGAATTTTGTCCAATGACCCCTAGCTACCCATCCTTATCGCTCGCGCGTAATTATATTGCTATCGCGACTATGCGACTGGCACCCGCAGTGAGTGTGCGAGCGCGATAGCAACATAATTACGCGCGAGCGATAAGGATGGGTAGCTAGGGGTCATTGGACAAAATTCTACGTGCTCACGGACCAGACTATAGTACGGTGCGGTGGGGTGTCAGTCGTAGTCGGACCGCCACACAGGACAGACGTCAGTGCTTGCACTAGCTTACACAGTGAACATATACCAGTGTTTTATTTACGACATCACAGTTAGTAACATGACGACATAATAGGTCATCCATAAATTACGTCACACGTTAAGCGGGCAAAGGGGGTCGATGAAGTCGACATTGTGTTACATTCTAAGGGCAGATTTTTCAATCGTCGGATAACTTTTAACTGAAGAATAAGTTTGACACATTGACAGTTTTAGTATGGAAAATATGTCAAAATGACAAGGTTATTCTTCAGTTTGATATCTGACGATTGTAAAATCAGCCCTAAATGTCGTAACGTCACAGGTAAGGAATTTACGCGAATTAGCTAAGTTTTCGAAAAGATAAGTTTTTCAAGCAACTTTAAATTTTTAATGCAGTTGTCACATTTAAGTTTCATTAGCACTAAGTAACTAATAATAAGATGGAAAAACCCTACTATTTTTCTAAACTTACCAGGATCGCAAGGTTCATCATCTTCGCTGTCACTTGATGACGCGAATGTCTCCATGCCTTCCATCTCCTTGTAAGTTAGACTGAAATAGAAGTATTTTATTATTCATACTTTTCAACACAGAAGTGAGTAAAAATCTCTCTTCTCTTCCTCTGACATTCAAACGACACTAACCCACGAACGTGATGACTGCCAGTTACACGGCAGGTAAGTAGCGTTAAAGTATTAAGCTGAAGATTTAGTAATTTGATTACTTACGTGTAAGTTGTGTCGCGATGCGTGTCATGGGCCGGCAGCCGCGCATTCAGCGCTAACACAGCGCGGTACAGCGTCCAGGAAGGCCTCTCCAGCGGCATGGAAGCGCCGCCAGCGCTTAGCACCAACCGCAACGCGGGAAGACGGGATGCGCTACCGGTAGCTCCGCTCTCGGTTGCATTTCCACTGCCGTTGGTAGCGGCAGCGGCAGGCTCGGAAACCTCTTCGGCGTCAGAATCCTCGTTCAGGGGGATATCGAGATCTATGTGAATGATGAACAATATTATTACCATTTGTCCTTTGATTTTCTGTCTCAAGGTGCTCTGTCACGATATCTATGTCTCGAAAATTTGCCCTTTAGCTTTCAATCTGCTACAGGGTGCCAGTTGCTTTAACTACATTTCAAAATTACTATTTATATCAATCCTCAATATGATAGAAAAATTTAGCTTAAATATAATAAAACTTTAACCCAGTTGTTACGGATATCCCTTTTTTCTTACGATTCCTGTAATTTTGCATATATCGGCTATTTAATGCATCAAGGCAACAGGAAAAATACAAAAAAAAATATTGGCCTTACGGAAACGCTGGAAAATGGTGTTTGATATACGGAACGCTAGTAATATGTACGGCCACTTGTATGAACTTAGAGATAATACCTACTCTTTGCGACTTGCGTAAGTTATTAAAGTATTTGCATAAAATATGGAATATTCATTAATAAATAATATACAGAGTTAATTTGATTATTTTTTTAAATTTAATTCCAGTAGTGTGAACTGTATAATTATGCCCAAAACATTTTCTGGGATAAAGGGTAATATTATATTTCTTACAAAAATTTTCATTTGTATCAAAGCGTGAGTTTTACAAAAACTGTGTATTTTGACTGAATTTGAGATGCGAAAATATTTCTCCTCTGTTTATGTGGCGGAGAAAATCTTTTGGTTTTCACAGTTGGCTCAATTTTCAATGCATTTGAAGCAACTGTTACCACACTAAATCATCTCATTTACAAACAGTAATTTCTTCATATCTTCAAACATGACTGACCCTGTCTAGAGCATAATTGGCAATCTAAGCTAACCGGATGCAGATTGCAGTCTTCTTCATCATCACTGGATGAAGAATTCTCTAGTGATTTCAATGTGGGCTCTCATTTGTAATCCAGGCAAATCTATTGGCACTTTATTTTCATCACCAGAGTTCTCTTTGGTTAAGTCGACATTACAATTTTCCGGATTTTTCGGCGGGAAAATTGTGATTGAGTTAGGGATACACTCATCTTCATTTTTCTCCAATTCTTCAATGATTTCATTTAGAGGAAAGGGCCTCGAAGGCAGGCGCTAAAAGAACAAAATACCGCAGTTCATATTACTAGCGTTCCTTATACGGATCACTAAGTTTAACGTTGAATTAGTAACAGTTACTATAAAAATGTTTATATTTATGTTATCAATTTACAAGAAGCAGGCTACAAACTTTCATATTTCGGCAAGAAATACTTTAGTATAAATACTTATCATGTTTGTATTCACTTTGAAAAAGTCATCGTAAAATTTACGAAAACAACAAAATGCTTAAGATTGAAATGTGACACCCAATGTAGAACAAAACACTTCTGATGGACAAAGGGACCCCACAGGAATCGTTTAACATAAACAATGTTACCAGAAACCACCCTCATTGTTAATGATAATTTAATTTTTATGTTGATCCGTATATCAAACGCTAGTAACAAGTGGGTTAAAAATAACCTAGTCTAGTCACGGGACTATTCCCACCTCTCTTACCCACCGCTTCAACTACTGTGTACCCAGGATCTACAGCTTGATCACCAATAAAAACCCAACCAGTGAAGGTTAATTTTGTCCCGGGGGAAAGTTGAACTGTCATTGGACCCGCAACGAAATTAAACAGAAGAACATAGGAGGACTTCGAAGTTAAGGTTCGACTTCCCTCCGTTGCAAAGCAGATGACAGCTGACAAACAAAGGTTTAGTAACCTTTATGAAAACCTAGTCTAGTCAATAGAAAATGTACACTCATAAAACAAATCATTATCAAATCAATAAGATTACTCACCAACAGTCTGGTTAAGATTAGTGCGGCCGGGTCTCGGGTCGAACGCAGGTATAAGCGCCGAGAACTGCCTCTTGAGCACAAAGTCATCGTCCCAGGGCCGGCGCGGCCGCAAGCCGTGCCCGCCGCCGCCGCCGCGGACCGCCTCTAACGCTTCCTCTTCCATCAGGGATAGGAGGTTACGGGATACCTACAACGGAATTTCATGTTAGTCTTATCTTAGCCTAAGCTCAGACCACCGACTTTTAGTTGGCCAATAGTTGGGTCGTCGGGCTGTTGATCAGTATGGAGATGTATGAAAGTGCGTACATTACACCGATTTGGTATCGGCTCATTCTTCATAGAAATTTAAATCGGGCCCAACTATCGGCCAACTAAAAGTTGGTAGTCTGCGCCTAGGCTTACGGTTTAAGAAATGTATTTCTCAAAAACAGAAAATACATTAACTTAAATTGAGAAACACTGGTTAGAAAATTATTATACATGGAGCGGATTAATGTTGCAGCATTTAACAATATTATCATCATACATTTTAACAAGTTTAAATTTTGAACATAAAGACGTTACCAGTCACGGTCTATCACACTTTAAAATAATGTTTAAAATGACTCACTTTTATTGGAAGCGAAACGACAAATTGGACGTGTGTCAATAACAAATAGACGAAGAACAATAAAATACTTACGACTTCTTGATAAGTAGGTTCATTCTCCTTGTCACTATCAAGTGCGTCGTCCCCTTCGTCGTCGTCTTCCAACTCAGTAAGGAGAGCTGGAGCGCGACATGATTCAAGGAAATCTTCTAAAGATACCTAAAAAAGGTTTTTGGTATTATTAATTATAATAATTGTAATTGGATGCCAAAGATGTTTTTAAAAAGTTATAAGTCGTTGTTACCTGTTCACTCTCACTGGATGTGGAAGTAAGAGAAAGTGTGAGAGCGTTCTGAGCATTCGGTGCCAATGAAGGATAGCTTTGTGCAGCAGATAGGAGCCCGCCAGGGAAGTTGCTTGACAAAGCCAGTCGTACCAAACTGAAACAAGGCCACATACACTTATTTTCTCATTTTTATCAAGCTAAGTTAATAAGGTGTCCAAAACAGTTCNTATTCTGAGGGTGCCAGTTACTTTTACTACATTTCAAAACTAATATTTATATCAATCCGCAATATGATAGAAAAATTTAGCCTTAATATACCCTAACATAAAACTTTAAAAATAACCTAGTCTAGTCACGAAACTATTAACTCCTGTGTACCCAGGATCTACAGCTTGACCACCAATAAAAACCCACCCAGTGAAGTAGGTATAAGTTTGTCCCGGGGGAAATTTAAACTGTCATTGGACCCGCAACGAAATTAATCAGAAGAACATGGGAGGACTTCGAAGTTAAGGTTCGACTTCCCTCCGTTGCAAAGCATATGACAGCTGACAAACAAAGGTTTAGTAACCTTTATGAAAACCTAGTCTAGTCAATAGAAAATGTACACTCATAAAACAAATCATTATCAAGTCTATAAGATTACTCACCAACAGTCTGGTTAAGATTAGTGCGGCCGGGCCTCGGGTCGAACGCAGGTATGAGCGCCGAGAACTGCCTCTTGAGCACGAAGTCATCGTCCCAGGGCCGGCGCGGCCGCAAGCCGTGCCCGCCGCCGCCGCCGCGGACCGCCTCTAACGCTTCCTCTTCCATCAGGGATAGCAGGTTACGGGATACCTACAACGGAATTTCATGTAAGTCTTATCTTAGTCTAGGCTCAGACCACCGACTTTCAGTTGGCCGATAGTTGGGTCGGGCTGTTGATCAGTATGGAGATGTGAAAGTGCACACATTACACCGATTTGGTATAGGCCGATTCTTCCTATCGGCCAACTAAAAGTTGATAGTCTGCGCCTAGGCTTACGGTTTAAGAAATTTAATTCTCAAAAACAGAAAATACATTCACTTAAATTGAGAAACACTGGTTAGAAGATTATTATACATGGAGCGGATTAATGTTGCAGCTTTTAACAATATTATCATCATACATTTTAACACGTTTAAGTTTTGAACATATAAAGACGTCACCAGTAACGCTCTATCACGCTTTAAAATAATGTTTAAAATGACTTACTTTTATTTGAACTCCAAGCGAAACGACAAATTGGACGTGTATCAATAACAAATGGGCGAAGAACAATAAAATACTTACGACTTCTTGATAAGTAGGTTCATTCTCCTTGTCACTATCAAGAGCGTCGTCACCTTCGTCGTCGTCTTCCAATTCAGTAAGGAGAGCCGGAGCGCGACATGATTCAAGGAAATCTTCTAAAGATACCTGAAAAAGGTTTTTGGTATTATTATTTATAATAATTCTAATTGGATGGCAAAGACGTTTTTAAAAAGTTATAAAAGTCGTTGTTACCTGTTCACTCTCACTGGATGTGGAAGTAAGAGAAAGTGTGAGAGCGTTCTGGGCGTTCGGTGCCAATGAAGGATAGCTTTGTGCAGCAGACAGGAGCCCGCCGGGGAAGTTGCTTGACAAAGCCAGTCGTACCAAACTGAAACAAGGCCACATACACTTATTTTCTCATTTTTATCAAGCTAAGTTAATAAGGTGTCCAAAACAGTTCTATAAACATACCTAGGAAACAAGCTGGTGGAGTGGTTAGGCCTAGAAGCACGCTGCGGATCTCTGCCGCGGCCAACACCCGAGCCTCGTCCCACGCCCAGCGATTCTAACAGTCGAGTAGCACCCTAGAAGACAAAAATCATGTTAACGCGGTCAATTCATTTTTCGATTATCGTAAAATAAAACAGGCCTAGGAAATGTAATCATTACCTGTTGAGTTAAATCAGGTTCACTAGCACTCATAGTACCGGAGCCAGCGCTAGACTGACTATCTTTCTTGTGGTCGCCATATTGCCTCTCGCCGCTCTCGTTGTCCTCACACTACGACAATAAAACAAACAAAATTTAAAAACTTTTTTCTCTTTTACAGCTTCGAAACTCCATCACTAAGCTTCCTCTCAAGTTATAAGTAAATCTGGTTAGTTTGTTCCCCAACCGAAACAGCTCTGAAGCAGTAGTTTCTATTTATTCGATAAATAGAAACTGATTATATAAAATACATATAAAACAACATAATTATATTGCGCTTCTCAAATGAGGTTTAGGAGTGCCGTAAGCTACTTTCTCCTGCACCTTGCTTATTTCCGGGACAGTTATTTAATGTAATTATTAAGAGGAAGAACCTTGGCATAACAATATATTTGCGATAAAAAGAAAATCTAACGTTTACCGTTTCGATATCATGACATTATTGCAGTCCGTTCTCACAAACCTCGTGCAGACGCCCGCTAAAAGCACAATCACGACCGCTCGAAGCACGTAACCTTGACCCCTACAATCACGTACCCACGCCCGTTCCAATCACCTACCCACGCCCACTCGACGCAAGTATTTCGTGACGCATTACGTACCTGTAACGCCCTCTGCTCCAGGGAACATAGGGGACATAGGACATTAATGCCTGTTTTCGCCATCAATCCCTAATTTTTAAGTGACCCCTTTGAAAACTAAATTCCTGTTATGTGTTACCATAGGGGTCACTTAAAAATTAGGGAGTCAAGTAAGTAATTCGTACCTGTATGTGCAGGCGGTTGGCGTTGTTGCGCAGCGTGTGCAGCAACGAAGCGGGCAGCGCCAACAGCTCGCTGGACAGCAGCGCGTTGGCGCTGTTGCGCACGGCGTCGCCCTCGCTGTTGCGCGCCTCGTTCTCCTGCGCACAACCACGCTTAGCACACGCACACAACGAGCTGTTACGTTACAGTGTGGAACAACACGCCAATGTCACGTGAATATTATTATTTTTTTCATACAGGTATTTGCCACCACCAATCAATGAGGGCTATCGTTTTAGCGCTCACCAGTTAGCGCCACTGTAGAGTAAGGTCCTGTCACTTGCTAGTAGCGAAGACAGTAGCACCAACTGGTGAGCGCTAAAGTGGTAGGAGGACTTTCGCATTTGCACTCATCAAGATGGCGCCACTGTAGAGTAAGGTCCTGTCAATCGCCAGGGGTGCCAACTGTTAAGTATAAAAACGATAGCCCTCATTACTTTTTTAAACTGTCATAACGAGACTCCCGTAGATTTTGTATGACAATAATCTTACTTTACAGGTAATTTAAAATTAATTGAGTTTTTAAGACCAGAATGAAGTGCCTTTTTAAAAGAGTTGTGGTATTATTGGTAAGTGGTGACAAATACCCAATTTTATCACATCATTGTAACACGATCTTACCACCTGAAGATACACGAAAGTTTATTTTAATGGAAAACCGTTGACTGTATATTTTTAGTTACATTTGAAGTGAAAAAAATAGCATGCCCAACTCTAGGGCAAGTAATTTTAATTTGTTATTAACAATAATTAAATTATTAAAAATCATTCATCTTGTAAATATTTAACAACTTTTATTCTTTTTTACTGACCTCTTGCGCATTAGTTTCAGGGACTGGTTCTTTAGCAGGATACGGTTTGGTGATGTCTGTGATGCTGGTCGGCCCCATCTCCATATTAGTAAACGATGTATTGCCGAGTTCCGACATACAGTTGTTGCCTTCTGCTCCAAGGGTTAGCGACTCCACTATTGTTGCTAGATCTTAGAAAAAAGATGCACATGTCAACTAAAATAATGTATCATGAAAGCTGTGTCACAGAAAAGCTTTAATTTGTCTTACCAGTGTTGATATGGTGTGTAGAATTATTGATAGCAGAGAGATCAGTGGCGTGCATACGTGGCCGAGTCATGTTGCTCGCCATCTCTTCGCCCGAAATGTTGTCCGCGGATGACGCTTGTTCCGTCGACGCCACAGACACCTTGAGTAATTTGTACATTATTAATACCGATTTCGACGAACGGAAAAGCGATGAGCGTCATCCTACTCTAAATTAAATTCTCCTTACCTGTTGATCAACAGCTGTGGCATCAGGAAGACTTGGAGTAGAATGGCTTTTGCGACTGTGACGCGCGCCTTCTCCGCTACTCGTGCCGCCACTGACAACTTTCAGATCGAACTTTCCTTCAGCACCCATGCGGTATGAGTTACGGCCTCCATGATCCCACCTAGTGATAAAGAATACAACCATAACGATAAACAGATTTGTCATTGAGCCATGTAGTTCGTGACGCTAATTAAGCTTCGTTTTGAAACAAGGAATTTCTTGAGCAAATCTATAATTACCACATTATGTATTTTGAGTTTTTCTCAGGTGTCGGTTTTATGACAAAATCAAATATTTCGTGGAAACGTCATTTTGGGCAACAGAAATCAAAATCTCAAATTCTGAAAATATAAACTAATAACAAAAATAACTTGTTGAAACAATCAATGTAACATCATAGAACACGTTGGTTACGTGACATTAGTAAAACAATGTGCTCTTAGGGCGCCTTCAACTTTTGCCGAATAGGGCAGCGCGGAGGCAACGCAAGCGCGCTTTGTAGAAGAAGAAAAAAGACAGCAACGTACAAAACAAGAGCGTACATATACCTGACATCAACCCATCCATTGTGCAAGTCAGAGGTGACGGTGCCCATAGCGGGGTGCGGGCCGTCCTGGTCGCGCCACTTCCAGTCGGGGCCGCGGAGCACGCGCGCGCCCGCGCAGAGCCCCCGCGCGCCGCGCGACCATCGCCGAGCCCGCGCCCCGCCGCCGCAGCCGCCAACGCTCGCCGTGCCTGCGCCCGCGCCGCACTGTTTCGGCGCAGTCTCGCATACGCTCACCACCTAATAGACATGTTGACAACACCAGTCAATGAGGGCTATCGTTTTTATACTTAACATTGGCACCCCTGGCGATTGACAGGACCTTACTCTACAGTTGCGCCATCTTGATGAGTGCAAATGCGATAGTCCTCCTACCACTTTAGCGCTCACAAGTTGGCGCCACTGTCTTCGCTACTAGCAAGTGACAGGACCTTACTCTACAGTGGCGCTAACTGGTGAGCGCTAAAACGATAGCCCTCATTGACGTACTTTTTAAAACTGTCAAAATGAAACTCTCCCATAGATTTTGTATGGCACTACAAGCAAGTGACGTCACTATTTAGTCAACTCAATCAAACTACTTGTTTCAATTACAATGCGAACAAAAATCGTAATTTACAGGTAATTTAAAATTAATTAAGTTTTTAAGACCAGAATGTATAAAGTTTTTTAAAAAAAGTTGTGGATTCGTATTAAAGGGGTACAGTGTCAAACTGTCTATTATTAATGACAGATACAATTAAAAACTGTGATCGATGCATGAGTGGACAGAGCTCGCCAACCCTCTTTGCATTAAATCACAGACCTATTTTATCCTTTCTTTTAACTGTAACAACTCATAAACTACGTCTTTCACACTAAAAGAAATCCCCACAATAGCGTCTTTTGAGGGTTGTCATCTTGCCAGCGCAGACGCTGACTAGATGACGACGTTCGAAAAACGATAGTGTGGTGAGGCCTAAGCCGCAATAGAAGTTTAAACTTGTTGACTGAATCAAATGGAAGATATAAGATCATAAAATAAGATTATAAATTAAATTAAAAAATAAATAATACCTTTCCGTATATCTCAAAGCCAGACAACGACAGATAATGACTCTGTCCACTGGCATTCTTGCCATTTTGCTGAATGCGCAAGTATCTGTAGGGTGCATCAGCGCGAAGCCTCCATGTCGCGGTGCTACCAGGTTCTTGAAGGGCTTGCTCGTCGTTGTGTGCAAGAAGAGTTATCCACGTGACACCGTCCATAGACATCTGTCACAGATATGATAACGTCAGTATTACACGAGACATTGAAAAGTATTATATGAAATAAGTTATTAAATGAACGTAACTTACTTGGAAAAGCCAATTTCTAAGCGCAGAGCGGCCATAGCCCCGTGCGTGTCGCAAAGTGTAAGCCGAAGGTATGATATTCAATCCAAGGTCCAATGCTATAAAAGCACGCTTATCGTCATTTGTATGCACGTTCAGAGGTTCCGGAGACCTAGACAGAACGTCTTCTGCGCGTCCATAAGGCAACTGTCGACCATCAGATGACCAGACGCTTACGAGCCCGTGAGCTCCAGGATTGACCCATTCACAAGTGCCACCATTGCTGCCGATGAAGTAAAGGACACCGTTTTCGTCAAAATCGTGCTGTAAATAAAAACAGAAAATGTATTTAGTGGCTAGAAGGTTTCAAGTCTATTTACACGTCGCAGTTAGTTACTTACATCATATACGAAAGAAATTGGAGCTTCCGCTTTTATCTTCTGCACAAAAGTGAAGGTAGATCTCTCCATGTCATACCACTGACGCGCGAAGTACTTGGCTAGGAATCGCTCTAGCTGTCGCACAGTAGTCAACGCCTCGACTTTCAAATTACGGCCAGCGTTATTGCCATTATTGGACGCAGATTCGTCAGCGGTGTCGTCAGTTGCACGTTCAACACGCAATCTGCGAGGGCAATAAAAACATTTTAATCTGTGACTATCATAAAAATGCGGGGTGTTTGCGAAGCTTGTACAATTCTATTCATTTATCAATCAATCAATCAATCAAATCAAAAACATTTATTTCTTAGAAAGTGGTAGCAAGATATTAAATAAAAACAGGTTCAGCACCTTCTGCCACTAGTGGCGTAGAAATATTTACACTATAGCATTAAGTATACATAATTATTAATTATATAAACATTTCATATTATTTCATTAATTAAATATTACATGGGTATTATTTTTTTTTAATACATTTCATTAGTTAACCACCACCAAAATACTAAGTTTATCACAATATTGTATGGTAATATTTGGCATGTATGTTTGGCATTTATGAATAAAAGTGCACGTTTAAAATATGTGTCTACTAGCCTGGGTGGCAATTTTGTATCAACCCGGAAAGGGATCGTAACCATATTAACTCGAGGCGGTCAGTATTTTTTGTATGAAACTCCATACTGCAAAACTCCATACTGCAACGCACACTTATCCGCACCGTAACGTAAACGCCTCGCCTTGCGATTAACAGAGCGCGAAAGGCGATACGGTGTTGATCCCTTTCCGAGATGATAATAATTAAGTCTGCTATGAGCTTCAGTGGTCATAAGGTTGCGATTCGCCTGGCAAGATCTTAGGTACCTGATGCGCTTGGTGAGGTGGTGCAGCGTGCCCTGCGCGGGCGGCGGCGCGTCGCCGTGCGGCGCCAGCACGGGCAGCCGCTCCACGCTCTCCAGCACGCCCACCAGCCGCGCCGCCAGCACGCCGCCCGCGCCCGCCTGCCCGCTGACCCACGCGCGCACTATGCGCGACGCCTGGCAAGATCTTAGGTACCTGATGCGCTTGGTAAGGTGGTGCAGCGTGCCCTGCGCGGGCGGCGGCGCGTCGCCGTGCGGCGCCAGCACGGGCAGCCGCTCCACGCTCTCCAGCACGCCCACCAGCCGCGCCGCCAGCACGCCGCCCGCGCCCGCCTGCCCGCTGACCCACGCGCGGACTATGCGCTCGCGCTCGCTTGCCTGCCCTGGTACGTCTGCGCACATTCAAATACAAGCCTTATGAGAGGAAGCGAAGCTAAATATCGTTGTTGTCAATAAAAAACTAAGCTCGATAAAATAGACGTGGTTCTATTTAAGTCGGCCGTTTGGTGTAGTGGTTCAGAGCGGACTACTATTCCGAGAGGCCCCAGGTTAGATTCCCGGCCGGGTAAAAATTGAATAATGATGAATTTTAATTTCTGTGATGGGGCTGGGTGTTACTTATTCATTTATTTATTAGGTACTAGCTTTCCGCTCGCGGCTTCGCCCGCGTGGAATTTTGTCTGTCACAGAAAAACTTTATCGCGCGCGTCCCTGTTTCAAAAACCGGGATAAAAACTATCCTATGTTCTTTCCCGGGACTCAAACTATCTCTATGCCAAATTTCATCAAAATCGGTTGCGAGGTTTAAGCGGGAAAGCGTAACAGACAGACAGACAGACAGACAGACAGACAGACAGACAGACAGACAGAGTTACTTTCGCATTTATAATATTAGTTGGGATATACTACAGTTGACAATCGAGTTTTGTTAATAGATACTTAAGTACACATGGTTAGTAGTTAAGTTACTATGTATAATATGTATGTTTTTACAAATAAAAAGTTATATCCGCTGTCTAGTACCCATAGTACAAGCTTTGCTTAGTTTGAGACTAGAAGCGTAGTGTAAAAATTTCCAGGGATATTTTATTTATTTCTTGTTTTTTAACTTGATTCACTTACCGTTCGGCTGAGGCGAAAGCACTTGAAGCAAAGATGGCGCCAACCCTGAAGACTGCAGCTCGTACGCAGATAGGAGCTCGTCACCACACAACAGCTCGGTCAGCTGTTCCAATGATTCCGCCAACTCTTGCTGCCAGTCCTCTGCATCGGACAAACATGTGAATTAATTCTCTCAACCATCTTCAATCATTTGTATGATCTCTACTTGCAAATATTTGTACTAAAATAGTTGTAGGATATCTTCCGGACGCCATAAACACTTAAAACATTATTTTTTACTAACTTGTAGGCTGCGTGGCGAGGCGCTGCATGCGCGCTAGTAATGCTCTCAGGCGCGCCACGGGCGGGCGCGGCTGACGCGTGGCGGCGCTGGCCAGGTGCCTCGCGTACAAAGCGCGGGCTCGCTCGCACACCTGCACGGGAATATAGGTATTAGCGAACATAGACATAGCTTTGACATTCGATTGAAGTTTACGGGGACCTTAGGGAGAAGCCACACGGTGCGGTGCGGTCGGGGCGCGGCGCTGGAGCGGTGCCGCTGCGGCGTCCTGCATATAAACATCAATGATATGCCAGACGGTGCGTTCCGGTGGCAAGTGGCAGTGATGCGGCAAAATGTCATGTGGATTCTCCCTTAGAGGTGACACTAATTGCATATAAAAATCAATTATATGCCAGACGGTGCATTCCGGCGGCAAGTGGCAGTGATGCGGCGAAAAGTCGCGTGGATTCTCCCTTAGAGGTGACACTTATGTTGCTATACTTCTAGTGGTATGAAAATAAAAACTAACCTGTGCTTTCAGCGCTTCTGTTTTAGCGGATAAGCGGGATCGATTCTGACTCGTGCTTGCGAGATCGGCAGTCACTGGCCGACGGTTAGCCCACCCACTGGCTAGTTCTGGACCTATTTATATCGATTTCGATTAATACATAGTACACAAATACAAGTCAAGTCAATCAAGATATTCGGAAAAACATTACCTAAAAATGTTTCAGCAGTGAATGAGTGCTTCGTCCCTCTATTTGATTCGAATATAAATCCAGGAAGATCCTCTCTTAAAATTGTAGTTTGCTGTTGACCGTCAGTATTGTGTATTTGTAGTTCTTTTTCTCTGTAATACAAACATTATTTTTTTACATAAAGATATAAGAATGGGTACAAGAATAACACCAACTAAGAAAATTAAATGAAACTTACTTTTTACAGGACAGTGCCCAGTTGCCAAGTATCAATTTAGTGGAACCAGGCTTGGAAAGAATAGGCTGCGGCACAACGTTTTTCACTGATGCTCTTGCTCTTTGCAGCTTGTCAATAAATTCTCCACGATTCTCTGTGAATGGATAACATGATTTACCAATCTGAGGACCTACTCCAACACTTGCTGATAAGTGCGTCATAGCCTGTTAGGAACTTATCTGCCAGATAAGCTACAACTTTACACATGTCATGGATATAGATATCTAAGAGATGAACTCACTGGTAACCAGCAACCTACACAGTCATGTGTAATCTGGCCAGAATGGATTTACAATATTATGCTGACAAAGGTGAGAGTTTCTTTCGCCACTTCTTCTCAGCACATCCCAGAAGTGGTAGAAGCGCAAGCTATATTTGGGACGTGTAAGTGCTTAGAAAAAGGCCTAAATACTGATAAAGGTTACTATATGAATGTGGGAGTGTAAAACGGAACGCAAGGGAGTGAATGAGAAGGAATGAATGAATGAGTAAGACACACATGACAGAACAGAAGACGGTTGAAAGACGACGGAGCGAGGACTTTCCTTTTCTTGTGGTTTATCCCGGCAAAATACAAATCATCATCATCATCATCATTTCAGCCTTAGGACGTCCACTGCTGAACTGACCAATGATTTCCATGTTGATCGATTGGTAGCGTCCTGCGTCCAGCACTTCCCTGCTACCTTTACGATGTCGTCGGATGAAAATACAAATAAAGCTGGAGAAATACTACCGGTTTTCAATTCCTACAGCTTGGGCTATCCCGGACGAGCCCCCAAGCTGCACTCCCTTGCGTTCCGTTTCATACTCCCACATGAAGTTAGCGAGCTGGCCATTCGATAGGTTTAAACTGCTTATTAAACTGCTAAAGTCGCTGACATAGCCCAAAGGATTAGCAAGCTGAAGTGGCAATGGGCTGGGCACATAGTATGTAGAACTGACGGCCGATGGGGCAGCAAGGTTCTGGAATGGAGGCCGCGTACCGGAAAACGCAGCGTGGGACGTCCACCTACAAGGTGGACCGACGACATCGTAAAGGTAGCAGGGAAGCGCTGGACGCAGGCCGCTGCCAATCGATCAACATGGGAAGCCTTGGGGGAGGCCTATGTTCAGCAGTGGACGTCCTGTGGCTGAAATGATGATGATGATGAAACTGCTTATTAGTTAGTGACTGACCGGTGTTGTCAGTCTGGTGCTCGGGGCTGCCACTGGAGTACATAGTGGCGAGCTTGCCGTCGAGCAGGAAGCGGAACCAGCCGTTGCTGCCGGTGCTGAGCTCCAGGGCGGCCGCGTCGCTCCACACGTACAGCGCGTCGCGCCCGCGGCATAACGACCACTCGCCCCACGAGTATGCCACGCCGCTGGAGAGGCATGACGCGTCTTCGCTGCTCCCTGTGTAACATTTTTAATTAGCAAATAATTGTTAAAATTACAATAGTCTCCTTGACCTTTTCAGCTAAGAATTATGCTTGAAATAGGACACGACAGCAAATGATGAGCTATTCTTTCAATTGCATAATTAAAGTCCGGTAAAAATAAAGCAATATAATCATGCGTGAGCGATAAGGATGGGTAGCTTGGGGTCATTGGACGAAATTCTATGTGCTTGGCGACCGGACTACAGCTGCATCAAGCTCTTAATTTTAAAGCTTATAATTTTCGTGGCGAATCAAACATTTTTGTAGTACCAAAACTCTCCTATTCAAAAACATTCAAAGTGACGCTAAGTAGGTCATTTCCTGAACAGAATAGGGCAAAAAAGATACATAAGGTCGAATATTACATGTAATCTGTTTAAAACTATGTATGTAGTCGTTCCTAGTATGATCGTCGATCACGATGAAATAGCACAAACAGAATACTCAAGTAAGACTCATCCTATATCTAACCACTTGACTAAACGGATTATACTTTCATAAATCCGCAAGCATCTCATTAGATCTGGCATATCAAACTTACCAGCGGCGACAAGGGACTCCCCGTCCGAGGAGAGAGTGGCAGCCGGGGCGGCCGCCAGCGCCTCCACCTTGCTGAAGACGCCGAGCCGCGCGAACTGCTCCAGGTACACGTCCGCCGCCTTCACCATCAGCTCCTCCGCGATGCCCAGCACGATAAGGTGGCCGTCGTCGTCGTCCTATTAATTAGAAGTCGTTATTTTCAAATGAGGGGGATCCTCCTACTGGGTACAGACTCCTCATCCCAAATACGGGATACATTGTTAGATAGGGCTTTACTTCACCACTGTTCGTTTTTGAGCTACTCTGAGCTATTTAAATTTCAAATAATTCACCGAGAAAGTAATGAAATAAATGTCTGGTGTGTGTATATTTTTCATTAACTAATTAAAAGTATAAATATAGCAATAAATAGAACGTAAAAACACTAAGCAAAACAATACAATCAAAGGGATATTAAACACATAACACTAAAACAAAATTATTAAATGCAGGTAAATTTCGATGGTGTGATGTTTTTACATTATGCGTTAAAAAGGAAATGACAGTGTAAAACAGAGAAAGGAACTAAGAATCGAACAGGATATCGAGATATAAGTATCGAGAGTATTAACTGAACATAGCGAAAATATTGTTTGTATCGTAAGCAGGAGAGCATGATATTCTTTCATGGAACAATTAAGTGGCGCTATGTTATACGTACTACAATGCAGTAGATGATTTACCGCGTCTGGAGCGTCAGCCTGATCAATGTATGTCAAAATGCAACGCAAACACAAAAAGTAATTATTTCAGGGCTGGTGTAATGTCAATACAGTATGTTAGGACGTATGCGTGTAAGGCCACAGAATAATAATAAGTACTACTTACAGAAGTTTTGCTTCGCGAAGGTATTTAAAAAAATGTATGCTTAATGTCATTAACAATATGGTGTAATTTAGCCTGTCTCAAGAGTCATGCACCATTTTGTTGACAAACGTCATTGATCGACACTGCGCCGAAGATATAGGGCTGACTTCGGTAAAATGATGTGACGTGAGGTGCCAAACTTAATACATGATTTAGCATGAATTATCATGAATAATATTAACTACTTGTCTTGAGACAACTTAAAAAAGTACATTCTGTGTTTTTATGATTGTTTAGGCAGTTAAATACTGCATAGTATTTAGTACACCATTTTCTTTATTTTCCCATCATACACAACAATACGCGTGCGTGAGTCAATGTTCGCTCGTATGTGAGGCCTTGTCGAATAGTATCCTGTAGGTGGGCCATCGTGCGTGTTTTGTTTTAGATGTAAACTCGCGGAGATGAACAGGCCTGGTAAGGCTAAGGACAGGCGTGGGACAAGCCGCGCAGGTACACACATCACACCATCGACGTTACCGCTGGCGGGCGGATATAGCGGCTGCGCAGGAGCCGCGGCTGCGCCCGCCTCCACACTGGCGCCTCGCCCTGATTCAATAGGTCTCACTAAAGTTCATGTTACTTTATTATAAACTAAACTGCATTTATTGGTAAATCTGTAATACGTTACATTGTATTCAGAGACAAAATTTCTATTTAGTGGCGGTTTTAATATTTTCTTTATACATATACGTATGGAAGAATAAAATTAAATAAACAGAGCCTATCGGCCTATATTCTTCTGATGGTTTTCGGTGGCGACTTGCTTAGAAGAAGTGCATCATTTGGTGGGGTCGCAAATAGTGAGAGCATGCACTCACTTGGAGCCTTGATCATGTTGCGCAGAGTGCGACGACCGCGACGAGTTGCGTGAGCAATGCGGTAGGGACGAACATTACTATTGGCACAGGTGCCTTTTTCTGCACGACCAAGAGCGCACTATGGCTACAGAGCTGAATGTCACTAGGGCGTGGCACTCAGTTGGTTTTCGAGCACGGCGGCGACGAGCTGCCAGAGCAGTGGTAGGGGCGGATAAATATTGCTGTGGGCACCCATGAAACATTTTCTGCAAGAGCGAGAACGCACCACTTTGGCTACCGAGAGGATGTGACGGTATTTGCAGTAAAGGGCGTGCACTTACTTGGTTGTCGTGCGGCCACGGGCTGAGTGAGCAGCGCGTTAGAGGCGGATACTGCTAGTCACCGCACAGATGCCTAATACGCTATTTTACGCAAGAGCGAGAACGCACCATTTCGGCTAAGGCTTCTTTCTTATAAACGAGCCGACGGCAACTGTTGACTCGTCGACGACAGCCGCAGCGCAGACAGGTGGCGTTAGCTGCAGTTGTAGCCGTATCTTTGTACAGAATGCGACAAACTACAACTGTAGTTAATGCCACCTGTCGGCGGCAGTCGTCGACGTGACATCAGCTGCCGTCGATGAGTCGATAGCTGCCGCCAAAAGATGGCGACAGCTGCCGTTGCCACTGCCGTCGGCTATGAGCCGCTCGTGTATAAGAACATTAAGGAATTGAACGTTATTAGGGCGCGCACTCACTTGGTTGTCGAGCACGGCGGCCACGAGCTGCGTGATCAGCGCGGCGGTATGTGGCTCGCGGCGCACGGAGATGCGGTGCAGCAGGCGCGCGGGCGCGTAGTGCACCATCTTGCGCACCAGCGACAGGCAGGCGCGCCGCACGCCGCCGCCGCCCGCGCCCAGGTAGCGAGCGCAGAACACCGGCACCAGCCGCCTGCGCAAAGTATGTCCAGTCACTAGCCGGCCTTATGCTTCAACCAAACCAACGCGTGCAGATCGCCATTGCCGGCGCGATCATAGTCATGGGTCGCGCGACCTGTCACTGGCCTTTGATCGCGCCGGCGATGGCGATCTGCACGCATTGGTGTGGTTGAAGCTTCATGCACTTGTTGCAGAATATACATTGGACGAGAGTAACGAAACGGCAAACGATGACTACCTTGTGGTATAATATTTTAAGTAATAAATTTCCCACTAAGATTACATACAAAAACTCTACAGTAAGAGCGCTTTCACATTAGGGCGTTAGTAGCGCGACAGCAGCACGGCAGCGGCGTTTTTTTAATATGAAGGGACGCATCAGCCGTCACATTGTATGAAATTTTCGGCAGCGCGTCTGTCGCGCGTTTGTCGCGCTGATAAATCGCCTAAATGTGAAAGCGCTCTAAAATAAAAAAAAATCAATTGAATGATTGAAACACCAAATCTCATTCAATTAAAAATTAAACTTACTCTAAATAAACTGATGCCATTTCTTTGTCTCCTGTCTCAGGGAAATCTTCCTCGTTGGAAGGTGAAGGCGAGTCATGACTGCCGACAACCAACCACTCTCCTGGGCACTGCAGAATAGCTGCCACTTCTCTATGACCTAAAATAATACACATAATTAGTAGGTATCCTATTAAATATGTAACACGATTTAAAATATTACATATTTTGTCTCATGCTATTATACCTTGATCGTGTCTTTCTCGAGCTTTGTCGAGTGGTGTTTTGCCATCCTCGTCGCGGAGGTCGGCATTAGCGCCATATCGGAGAAGTACTTTTGCGATCGCCGGGCGACCAAAGCACGCGGCATAATGTAACGACGAGCTGCGCTGTCCACGATTCACGTCAGCACCTACAATAAAATATACCTTAGGGTTATTGTTTTAAGGACGAGGAAAGTATTTCAAATGCTTCAATTCAACATGCAAAAATTCAAGCTTTTATATTTTAAACTAGCTTTCCGCCCGCGGCTTCGCCCCCGTGGAATTTTGTCTGTCACAGAAAAACTTTATCGCGCGCGTCCCTGTTTCAAAAACCGGGATAAAAACTATCCTATGTTCTTTCCCGGGACTCAAACTATCTCTATGCCAAATTTCATCAAAATCGGTTGCGAGGTTTAAGCGGGAAAGCGTAACAGACAGACAGACAGACAGACAGACAGACAGAGTTACTTTCGCATTTATAATATTAGTTGGGATGGCAAAGGTCTGCGTAATGTAGGTATCACTTCATAACCACACACCTTTTTCGCACAGAAACTCGACCATCTCGCGCGTTCCAAAAGCGGCCGCCCAGTTGAGCAGCGTCTGCCCGACGTCATCCGTGAAGTTGACGTCTACGGCACCGCTGGAAACGGCAGCGAGTAGTGCGTCCGTGTCTTTCCCGCGGATGCAGTCGATGAGCTGCCGGTGCGACTTGTCGCCGCGGCCCGTGGCGCCGGCTGCGCCCGCGCTCGCGCCGGTAGCGCCGCTCGAGCCTTCCCCGCTCGCACCGCCCGCTGCGCTCGCGCCGGCGCCTGATGCACCACCGCGGTTCGAACCACTGCCACAACGAACACCGTACAAATCATATCGAACATTCCTTGAAAAAAAAATTATTAGAATTTGAATTTTTTCATTAATGTTATTATGGCTGATGTTCTTATGCCCGTTTTCACCATCAATCCTTAATTTTTAAGTGACCCCTATGAAAACAAAATTCCTATTATGTGTTACCATAGGGGTCACTTAAAAATTAGGGATTGAAGGTGAAAATTGCCATTAGTGAAACTATCTCAATAACTAAATAAAATAATAACTGTCAGCAGTTTGTGAAATAAACATGTACGTATAAAACCAACCTAGAAACAAGAAAAATAGTATTAACTTGACTTTATCAAAACAATTACTTATTAATTACATTTATCATGTTATGCATGCGACGCAGAAGCAGAACTCATTATATTAACGACTAACGTAGAAAGAAAGAAGCATTTCATCAATATCTTTCTACTTATATTTCTAATTGAATTCACGTACGAATGGAATACATAGAGATTTTTAGCCTGAATAAATAAAAATCTAGCATCAATCAATCAATCAACGTCAGAGTAGAATAAACATTTTGACACTCACATCTGAATGGCGTGCCGGCCTTCGCATAATAAAACCAGCAATAGATCAACGAGTCGCATGCACTCGAGGCACCATCGTTCGTCTGCTTGAACTGCAGACTCTATAGCGGAGCATAGTTCGAGACGTACTAAATCCTATGAACAAAAAACAATATTTTAAACATTGTGGTACTTCCTAACATATTTTCATCATCATAATGTGAAGAATTCGTAAGTACTGATTCGTGAAACACTTACGTGAGTTATTTGTGCAGAGCCTCGACACAGGGTAGACAGCAAGCTGACTGTTGTAGAAACAGAGGGTGCTAAGCACTTATCATCGCCGCTTTCAGTGCTTCCCAAACGACGCACTAATTCTTCAATAAGCCCTGTAATAAAAACATTCTTATAAAATGTATTATAGCAATGAAATAAGTGACATTTGAAAAGAAATACCTACTAAAATCAAAATAATTTCGCCCAATATGAGACGCTGCTTGTTGTTTCAACTTATAGAAAGCACTGGGTGATTTTATAATGACAAGGCTAAAGAAGGGTGAGAAATAGAAAAAACATGAATAATACGAGGGGTGTTTAGAAAGTAATGAGAATGGGATATTTCTAGCCATTACAAATATATGAAAAAAATTTGGCAGGTAGCTTAATTCTTCACTAGAAACTGGTAAAAAAATCATTTAAGTTCACCATTGTGTTTAAGAATTACATTCACCTGACCACGAACGTCAGATGATTTTCTTGACTTTCCAAAAAGGCCTAAAAAGGACACTGCTTCGACAATTCCTCAAATATCAGGTCCCTAAACTACTTTTTAAATCGGAAAAAGATCTATCAACGTAGCTGAGAGTCAAATCTAGAGAATATGATGAATTTTTGAGCATTTTGAAACGCAATTTTTTTTGGCTGCTACCGCTACTTCAGGGCTGTGAACGGGTGCGTTGGCCGCAGAAAACAAGGTCTTTCCGACTGGTCGCGTTTAGATGAATGTAATTTTCTTCAACACAATGGTGAACTTAAATGATTTTTTTACCAGTTTCTAGCTACCGGCCCAATTTTTTTTAGATTTTTGTGATGTCTAGAAATATCCCATTTTCATTACTTATTGAACACCCCTCGTATTCCTAAAATTCGTAACCGTGTATATTTTACCGTGTTCAGCGAGGGGCGCGGGGTCGGCGTGCGCGCGCGCGAAGCGGTCGGCGAGCGACGCGAAGCAGCGCAGCGCGGCGTCGGCCACGCGCGCGTCGCCGTGCCGCAGCAGCGCCGACAGCGACGACACCGCGTCGCCCACGCGCGCGTCGCCCGGCTCCATCTTGCCGCACACCCTGAACATTCACGAAAGTATTAATAACTGGGTGCTTAGTGTGGGTTTACAGCTTAGTGTGAGTTTACAGAAAACGTCCCTACTAGTGAGCGCGTTAAAAAAAATATGAAAATTTCAGTTTTTGAAAGTTTCCGCTAGGGGCGCTGTACAATAAACTCACACTAAGCCCCCAGTCTGTTCACATACCCCCGTATGTGAACCAACATGCCAAAGTAAAACCATTTATCATCGGTGACTAGAGTAAAACTATACAGTTATTGTTCATATACTGGAGATAAAAGTAAAACAATTTAATTTAATTTAAATACTTGCGTCACAAATGTCAAATATTATAGTATGTATAAAAATTTAATTTGGCCACAAGTACTTTTATTTATCATAGAAAGTTCGTAAAACTTCACCGAACGGAGCAATTAAAATATTAATATCTTTCATTAAAACTGTTGGAACCGTGAGACCTTGAATTTGTACTGTTAATGAACATAATTATATTTCTTAGCAAAAAATTTTAAAATTCAAGCAGTGCGAGATAGTGTCAATACCTAGAGACGACGGCCATAGCAGAGTGAAGTGTGTCTTTGTGCACTGCAGTGCCATAGTGTGTAATAAAGTGCAGCACAGCCGGCAGACCGCCACCTTCCCACACTGCACCCGCCTCACGAGTGCACACTAACTCCAACACCTAAAAATATATAAACGTATTTTAACAAAAAATATGTCTACTTCAAATATGCTATCCAAACACATAAATAACCTATTAAGATGCGATTCGAAATCACAACAAAATTGTTATTACGAAAACATAGGTCGGGAAAAACAAACTCTGATAAAAGGTTACGACGCTGCGGACTAAGATAAAACACGCTTAATCAGTAAATACCAAAATAACTAATTCGTCATATTAATATTAATTACACTATTGGAAGAAAAACTAAATGAAAGATGAGTAATTGATGATAACAGTAATTTGATTAATTAATGAGTAAATGCAAAAGTGTGAACAACGAGAAATTAACATTATTTTAGAATCATTTTCTTTACTTACTTTAATACACTGCTCAGCTAAATCTTTGCTAGTGCGATTATTAGGATCTACTGTAAGCAGCCTGCTGCAAATGGCCTTCACAGCACCGTCAATTGCGACAATGCGTCGTGTGCATTCAGCTGAAAAATCAACATTAATTACATCATTGGACCATTGAACATGGTACATCACATCAGACTGTACATAAGATGCCAAGGTAATGTCTGTACATGACTTGCAAATAGCAAACTTCTTCATAAAATCTTAAGTTCATAGTCAGACACAAATAAGATAATAAAGGTGTGCATACTACTACGACAATACTGTATTTCTGTTCTGTTCTGTTCATTTATATTCGCCACTAAGTCATAAGGTCAAGGACTAAAATAACTTCGAACATTTCGTTTTCCTGGTTGAAAAACTCCCTGCCTAAAGTTAACAAGTACCTACTGTTGTTAGGCAATTACAAGTAGAATATGGATGTTGAAAGCAAGTTTTAATTAGTTTCAGTTACTTACCCCCTTACTAATAAAACTTACACGCTCGTTGAACAGTGTTTTAAAGTGATGTTTAGTATGGAAATGTCATTTTAAAACAGTGGTCAACAACTGTGTAACTTTTTATTAGTAGTAAGGGGGTAGGTAAGTAATTTGAAGGAATAAAATATTTTTTAGGTAAATCCTAGCTTTGTGCATGTTATCAGGTTTGCTAAAGTAAGTAAATAAATAATGTAAATCATAAATATAAGGTCTCAGTTTCTGGGTACTTTATGAATAAACACACACATAGGCTATTTTATGGGAACTTTCACCCTTCAGCTGAAGAATGTCTCAATAGTCCAGTCATTATAGTAAGTTCACCTCGGAATTCGAGATACCCAGCTGTAAGTCTGTAAATACGTGTATATTGACACCCTAAAAGTTGTCTCAAAACCTACATATGGTAGGGTGTAAGCAACTATTAAATTTCAAGGTCAACGGTCACAAAAATCGGTTTTTTGCGCTTTTTTTAGAAATATCTCATTTCCTATGGGTTNCAATGTTAAAATAGTAGTAGTTTTACTCTATTAAACGCCATGGTCGTTTATAATGTTATTTACCAAATATACACACAATACTCACCAGAGACATCTAGGTAGTAAGTGATGGCTCTTGCTGTAACTTCCAAGACATTGTCTGGAGCACATTCATCAAGGAATATTTTACAGAGTGCTGGTAAAAATGTTCTTGGAGGACAGCTGTAAAAACACTTGGGATATAGTTAAGAATATTTAAGATAAAGTTTTATAAATAGTTTTGGGACCTAGGGGAGACCAAGGAGTGTGTTGTGAGTCACAATCAACAATGTCACAACTCTCCTCTGTCACAACTTTGTGACAGAGAAGAGTTGTCATATTGTAGATTTTAAGCAACTTATTGTCGCTGATAGCAGCGAGCTCGCAACAGCGCGTATTAGCTCGAGACTTGAACGAAAAAACGCGCACTGTTACAAGCTTGCTATTAGTTAATATGTTTCTAAAAATCGATAACGTCACAACTTTCAGTCTCCCTACATATACACAATAAACTAATCAATAAGTCATATACCTCTCAAAACAACGGTCCACATTATCAGACATAAGCAACAACATGCACAACTGCTCCAAGGCAATGAGCTGCATATCCCGCTCATCGCCCTGACCGGTCAGCAGCCATTCCAGCAATGTTTCTGGATCCACCTCCGCCATCTTAAATATTGAAAAAATACTCAATATTAAATCACATTCCAAAACTTCATATTTTATTTAGCCACATTACATAATAAAAAGAATAATACATTCTTAATGTACTCTACATTGGAATAATAACCACATCTCTATACATTTGTATAAATTACATTCTTTCATTCAAATAAATAATGTTAACTAAAATTGCACATATCAATAAAAAAAATTATACATATTTTGAACGGCCATAAATGGATGACGGTACCAATAAGAGCATGGCCGGTTTAGAGACAAAAAAGAATACATTTATCAAAGGTAAAACTGGAATTTACCTTTGAGGAGATTAGTGGTCCAGATTACCTGAAATTAAAAAATGGAAATGTGCTTATGATTTACAATTTTCTGTCAATTAATAAACATAAAATTAGTCTAACTAACATTCCAAAACCATTTTTTAAACTAGAAGCATAAAATACATCACTGGACTTGATATATTTTGTTAATAGCATTTTACAATCATTTTCAAGTCAATATTTATTTCATCTCACTGGGAACTTAATAAATGTTAATCTAATTAGATACATAATTTTATTATTTATGAATATTCATTTACAAGTCATTTCATTCATACTACTGAATATGTAAGTAAATGTAATGGGCACTATTCAGTGGCGACGTAGCATGGGTTGGCACCCGGGGCGATCCAAGGCACCCCAGAATAGTCTAGTGCTCCACAGGATTTCGATTCGAAGATGACAGATGTTAGTACGAATGAGCTTATGCATACCAATCGCCCGTATCATGACCGTCATTGTCATGCAGATGGGCCAATGAGTACTAGCACTATTTTAAATATCTCATTAAATGGTGGATATTACATTATGTATCTACACTACAGCTATTTTTTATTGATTGATTGACGTTTTAATTAGAGATNAGTCAACCCAAAAAAAAGATAAAAAAAAAATTAAGCCACTAGGTCATGAAATTTGAAAAAATCACAAAATTAACGATAACTTCTAAACTACGAAAAATCGTAGAACATACATGGGGGTGAAATCGATAGGTCTAGTCCTCACCTATCACCTGCCTTCGGCTTGACACCTTACAAGAAACACCCTGTATATCACCAGGGGGATAAGTGATCGATACTGATGCCAAAAATGAAATCAGTAAAATTTTTGTCTGTCTGTCTGTCCGTCTGTATGTTCCTTATAGAAACAAAAAGTACTCGATAGATTTTAACGAAACTTGGTACAATTATTCTTCGTACTCCTGGGCAGGTTATAGTATACTTATAAATTCCCATGGGAACGGGCATTAGCGGGAAAATCCTTTTGTATGAAAAATCTAAACCGCTTAAGTTAGACGCCTGAAATTTGGCATGCAAGTATCATAGTAAACTTAAAGCTTAGTTACAACAGGATATTGCAAAATTCCCACGGGAACGGGAGTTAGCGGGAAAAAACATTTGTAGGAAAAAATCTAAACCGCGTAAGATAGATGAAGGGGGTAAAACGAGATCCACGCGTACGAAGTCGCGGGTGGCCGCTAGTTTCCAAATAAAATAGGCGATCTTTTTTTCACTGATGATCTATCTATGACATGATGCAGTTCAGTCAGATTACGCAGCAAGTAAACTAATTTAATTTTCGCTAATCAATCACACACTCACGATGGCAACCGAAATCGCCCGAATTGTAGATCAATTAGACAAGTGGCAAAATCTGACATTCTATTCGGATGGATTCGATTTTCGAAAAGTGATAGTCACACTTTCTACTAATAGACCCATTGATCGCGTTCGAAGCGTCCTGTGCGGCGCTAAACTCGTCACGACATGCAACGAGACAATTGGCCAACTATCCGGCCGCCGGATATCCGGCTATCCGGCCTAGCAGCTGGCCGGATATCCGGTATCCGGTATCCGGCCAAACAACTATCCGTTTCATCTCTAGTTTTAATGCAATCTATCTACTAATAATAAATGAAATATAATACAATATATTTTTTTTACAATCTATTCTATGTTCTTATGACAACAATGTTAGATGTATTAGAAATAGAGGCAATTTGTATAGTTTGATTTTTATGTAAGGTAAGGTAATGATTGCGTTAGAATGTTGCAACATATTATGACATAAATATTGCAGATGCCAATTTCTTTAAGATAAATTTAATTACAGAAGAATGAACATGTTAAAAAACTGAAATTAAGATCTTATAAAGGTGTTCAGATTGAGATGAGCCCAATCTCAAGTGGAACCTCTGCAAGATTTCCCATTAAGTTACCGGTCATAATATCACCACCCATTTCCTAGGTGAGCTGCAAAGGCACTTTTAAACTCGGTTACTGTTAAAGGAAGAGAAACTTACATAAGTTTGTTATTCCAACACAAACAATATAAATAGGTCTTATAATAGCCGTGTTAGAATTCGAATGGCGTGTTTTTTTATTTTTATTTTGAGAGATTAAAACAATCGAATTAGATCAATGCATAACGCATTAGGAATTAAACTCAACGCAATTATAAGTAGGTTACATTACAAAAAGACAACAATGCGCCTTTCTCTTTTGTGTTACAAAATCCTTTCTTTACCAAGTAAATGTGAGACGCAAATGAACCAGTTAATCATATTGACTGATTTTTTCTGGGGCAATACAAAAAATGGTCACAACAAACAATTTTGTTATCAACAAAATTTAGAATTTTTGAGGACATCAATGAAGGTTACGATTTCTTACCACAAGCAATCAATTCACCATATTATTGTAATTGTCAAATTTAAAACACTTTTAGGATAATTAAACAATCAAATGAATAGAAATACTCTGTTCGAATCAAATTCATACAGTAGAAATCAATTTATATTTTCACTCGAGAATCGCCATTTGCCATTCAACAACTTCACCACAGATTAGAGTAGAGAGTATAACTTCACTTCACATCATCATCTGTGCTTCACATTAAGCTGAAAGTACACTATGCCACAGATTAGAGAGTATGTCTCACTATGCGGGAAATTGGCCAAGCCTAGCCGCATCAATGTGAACAAATACAACCCACCAAGAAGAAACTTGCCAAGTTCTTATCAAGTATGTGTTCACATTGATGCGACTGGGCCAATTTCCCGCATAGTGTATTTTCAGCGTTAGTGAGTTTTTTTTTTGACCCGAGCGAGAGAGAATGACTTTTTTTTGTAGTCATCATGAAGCTACAGATAAAAATGGAGGCCACACTCCATTTTTATAAAATCTCTATTTCTTGACATAGGAAATTCATTAAAAATGATAAGTGTAAATACTGGTAAAACGTTTTAGGAAGAAATTTCTGTAAAAAATGTGAAAAATGTTTACAATTGATCCAATGTCGGAAATCACGAAATTAACACTTACGCGTGGAATCTTATGTCACTTCCAGGATACCACCTACTACCGCAACCACGCACTACAAAATTTTGCACCATTTCTTGTGATAAAACAATGATTATTTCTTGTAAACAATCTCCAACGAAATTAACTGCATAATAAACAAAATAGTAAACAACCGCCATGATGGGCCGGATTGGGCCGATGTTGCCACATGGTACCGATTCCCCAGGAATTGGGATTGTAATTCCCTGATTTGCTAACACATTAAGCCTAAATGGCCGACAATTTTGTGATTTTTTATTTAACTAGGTAATCTTAGTTTCAAATATTAATTATTTATTTGTTTAACTTCTGATTTGGTTAGTGAATTGGCTATTTCGAAGAATTTACAAGGAGATTTAAATAAGAAGATAGCAATACTACAGTTCACACTAAAAAGAGAGGTAGGGCCGCAGAGAGCGAGATAGATATAAGTAGGTATTTGACTCAAAGTTTTGTTCCAAGTTTGCCCTCCATTTTTATCTGTAGCTTCATGGTCTGTCCCACCCATGTCCTGTCGGTTGTCAACAGTTGTCAATGTCAAAATATTTAAAAATTCGGTCGGATATTTTTGTTTTTATTTTACTAATTTCCGACTTTTGTCGTGTTATTACTTGACTTAATTAACAAAATTAGGTAACAAGGTGTAATATGAAAAAAATGTGATCCCAAATTTTGTATTTACCTTTCGATTGTGAATGCATTTATTGGTTTTAAGAAGGAGGTTAATATTATCTCGTTGATAAACAGCCACAATTATTATTATAGAAGTTAATTAATTATGAGTTCGCAGAGTAAGTATACACCTAGTTATTACTTTATGCAAAAAAAGTATTTTTAAAAATGGTTTTTGAAGCCATCTTCAATGTGTACTCCAGTGAAGCTTTGACACGGGTTATGCTTCAAAAAAGTAATAACATTATTGTATGGTGTGCTAAATTACAGATATGTTCAACTCGACAGAGTTTGATGCCCTGGAGGCACCACCACACATGTATTTTCTTGAAATTGACGGACATAATATTATTGAAAACCCAGTGGAATCTCAAGCTATTCCTCTGAACATGATTCTTAATGTAAGTTTTTATGTTACTTAGCAAATTCGAAGGGTGTAAAACCTTTTCTATTTATAATCTTACATCCTGTTATGATTAATACTATAAATCTTTTTATTTCAGCCACAAAATGATCATATTTTGTTACCACTTGTGAAAGGCAGATCGCCATCTGAACAATTGTGTGTTTATGTAGGTAAGGGAATGGTGTTGTTGGTCTTTTTTCAATATTATACATTCTAAAACTTGACAAGCAAGGTAAAGGTTGCAATTAATTTAAAATATCAACTGTGTATGCAAAGCAAGTGTTGAAAGAAATTCATTTTCTTATGTACAAACTACAGATAAGTATTTGATATATTTTATTGTTCCGTCATTGAACATAACATTTTATTTCAGATCCTAATGATGTGCTTGATGATCAACATGTTCAGAATTACATCAATAATCAAAGACATTTATCAGTCAATGGAAATGGCTCCTTACCAACAACTACAGAAGCTAGTAGTCATATTGCAGAAACTAATGGAGTTTTGCAAAAACCCAGCACAAGTGATAAAACTTCTCCCAACAATTCAAAATGTTGTAAAGAACTCGAAAGTAAAGAAGATGAGAAAAAAACATTGAAAAAAGATCAAGGATTTGGTAAGTAAACTCCCATTTTTTGTGTAGAAATCATGTTATTATTATACAAGAAAAATATAAATGAAATGCNTGAAATGCTCTTGCTTAGATTTGTGTTTGTAGAGATAGTAAATAATCAATAGTCCAATATGAATGTTTATTGACAGTTCACTTTGCGGATCGCATTGTGCCTCCCCGAGCCATAGCCGTGTTGCCCGCGGCGCTGCAGATCCGGCGCGGGAGCGTGACGCCAAAACGTCTGATGCCAGAGAGAGTTCGATTTGGTCCAGTACAAGGTAACATCATTGTGCATAGCAGCTTCTAATATTTCCTTGTTATTGCATATTAATACAAGTTATAAGACTATAAATATGATGGCAAGTGTATTCCTCTACCACATATACATATTATGTTTACCTTATCCACAAAACTGCTATTAGACATGGTGACCAAGATGCTGATGCAAATAGTACCTTATCTGTTATGTCCCTTAGATCTGTATTTTTTGTGTCTACTCAGTGGATAGTCAAATTGTACAGAATCCTATAAAAAATGTAAGGTTTTATTAATTTCAGGGGTTACGAAGTCAGTAACAAAGTCTGAAGCCCGGGATATACTTTGTAATGCTGTAACTTCAAGGATCCCTGTATTCTTTCTAAAAAGTGATAACAATGTCACACATATTGATGTTTCTGATAGAGGTAAGTAACTTTAAAAATACGAAATTAATTTTTGAACAATCTTTTAGGATGAAATGACATCAAGTTTGTAAAAATTTATTCTTTAACAGATAAGTCCAATTGGTTTAGTTTGCTGCCTTTGGGAACTCAAAGTACGGCAAATGTGTGGTTATATGAAGATGGTAACAAGCTATATGGAATAACAGCGCACTCAGTAAAACCCAAGACACCCTTGGCCATAGGATACAGTAAACACTATGCACAGGAGCATAATCTACCTTCGGATCTACCAATATTAGACCTAACACGAGGTATACATCCCAAATATAATGTTCAATCATTGCTTTTATATACTCAACATCAAATAAACCGCACCTTCCGCGACGCGAACTTTAACGATTTTCTTCTGACACAATCATGGTACCCCAACAATATTGGTGTTATTTGAAAGCCCAATAAATGTACTTAAAGAAAAACACATTTAATTTCTTAATAAATTATTAACATCCCAACTAGTCCCAACTTCCCAACTAATATTATAAATGCGAAAGTAACTCTGTCTGTCTGTCTGTCTGTTACGCTTTCCCGCTTAAACCTCGCAAACGATTTTGATGAAATTTGGCATATAGTTTGAGTCCCGGGAAAGAACATAGGATAGTTTTTATCCCGGTTTTTGAAACAGGGACGCGCGCGATAAAGTTTTTCTGTGACAGACAAAATTCCACGCGGGCGATGCCGCGGGCGGAAAGCTAGTATACCATAAATGTGACTTGAAAAAATACCTCACTTTGGGCCCACCTATGGGATCAATTAGACCATTTTTTATGGTTATAAAACCAAATAATGATTTCACGTGTCCTCTTTAACAGATGGATAGCAATTAAACCCAACTTAACAGTTTTATAGCCATAAAAGTTGGCTCTAGCGTAACTACCTATTTTTTGAAGAAGTGACTCTGGATCCTTCTAAAGACACATTTTTGGGGTAAAAACCTTTCCTTTAATGAAATGAAGGTTAGAACTAGACTTTTAAATGGTACCGATATTGGTGGGAAGTGGGGATGCATACGTTTGAAAATGCTTGTCGCGGGAGGTGCGATTTATTTGACGTCGAGTGTATGTTTAGTAGCACTTTTTTATTTTATGAGAATATTAGTAAATTGTACTTATTGTAGAGTGGTTTCTTCACCATAAGGCCTCAGCCTCGAATTTAGCGGGCAGCAGCGCGGGAGCGGGACGGGCAACGCAGACCTTCTTTCTCGAAACAAGCGGGCAGCTCGCTCGGCGCTTCAGCGGCGAAGTGTTGTGTTCGGGGTTGTGTTGTCGAGATATTTGTTTTTATTCGCAAACGAAATGTCTGAACAACGGCGACAATTTTATTTCGATTCAAATTTATTCCTAACGCACGATTTATTATGGGCAAAAGAAGAAGTGTGCTGCCCGCCCGTTGCCCGCTCCCGCGCCGCTGCCCGCTCGTTGCCCGCTCCTGCGCCGCTGTTTTCGAGAACCGGTCTATTTGATTTTACGCATAAGATTCTGCCGCTCCCGCTCCGCTACCGCCGCCGCCCCGCTGCCCGCTAAATTCGAGGCTGAGGCCTAACAGCGGCGGCGAGGTTCGAACCCGCGTTTCTCGAATCTCGAACCAGTCAGTCCGACACCTTTCATCGTCGGACTATTGTTATTCTAAGAATATTAACATATTTTGTGGTTTGTTTTGCAGACCTACCAGAACTGCAGCGGCGGTGGTGGTGTTACGAATGCCATCGAGCATTGCCCACTGCGTCTCAGCTTCAGTATCATGTGGATATTTATCATCATAAGGTATGTGAAGATTCAGGATTGATTTTGATAATAAGTTAACATTAGCCTTTGAGTTTCTGTTGTTTATTTATTTTTAATAATATTTTTTGTGCAATTTTTTACCTGGCATTTGTTTCGTTAGGAAAAAGTAACATCGATGGGGCGATACCGATGCCGACAATGCACCAGAACATTTGGAAGGCGGTTCACGTAAGTTTGACTATTATTATATCAAATACCTGAGTCCAAAGTCAAGCTTTGCCACACCATCTAAGAGTGTTTCAGTTGTAATTTGTAGCTTAATTAATTGTCTAATTTTATTGTAGCTTGAAACGACACATGGCGCGCTACTGTACCAAAAAGCCAGAAAAAGTGTAAGTATTCAGTCTATACAATATGCCTTGTCTTTAGTCATTAAGGTTTTTTAATATTATCAAGATAAGAGTTAATTTTCATTATTCGTTTTAGTGATAATAATAAAACAAATACTATATCAGAAATAGGACAGAATGTGTCATTAAATGTAGATGATACTAGATTGCCATCGGATGAAAGTCTGCAGAACTTCACAAGTGGGATTGATTTCTCAACCAATTTGTTCGACACAGACAGAATGGCAGGACTTGACATATCAGGGAGCTCAAGATCCGAAACAGAATTCAATTCTTACGGAATACCTTTCAAGGATAACAATGATTTAGATGTGCAATTGGGACAACTTGCAGGCAACATTGGTAAATCTGGAAATGAGGTTTGTGCTTTTTTATTACATTATTCATTCACCATAGCTCTCGCAAAATATGTTTCTTTTTCGACTGAATAATTGTAAATTGTCCATGCTATTATTTCGACGCCGGACGCTGGTGGTGGGAAGTTTTACTCCGAAACAAAGTGATGACTTTAGTAGACTATATTACTTGTTACTCTTATATTTTTATTTGACTTTTGTTTCAGGATCAAGAAAAAAAGGAAAATAATTCAAGCGAACCTTTAACTATTTTAATATCATGCCTATACTGCAAGCAAACAATTTTGAGGGAGAAAAAACGGAAGCATTTAAGGTAAATAAAAAAATAATTTAATTATTTTGAATAGTAGGCAGGTAGTTTGTAATCGTAACCACTCATGTTTTTTTTAAATCCTATTAATTTGTTACAATAATAAAAAGTTACCCACTTATATGCCTCACTTATTCTTACAGGGAATGTCCTCAGAGAAAATTCGATTGTATGTGCGGCGTTGCATTCAACAGCTCAGAGAAACTTGCTCGTCATGTACAAACTGAGCATCGAGAAAAACAAGATAAAAACGCACCAAAGACTGTAAGTTGTTGTTCATCACTTGGTGCACAAGTCAACTTCTGAACTGTTTTTTAATTGAAAGAATTGACGTGATCACATCAATATTTGGGATATGTAATAGTCACGACTGTTTTTTTCTTTAGGAAACAAACGATGAGGCGAATAGTACGGAGTTCAAATGTGAAAAATGTCCACTAGTATTCAAGGTAATTCCGTTTCTTCATATTAATTTCTAAAGCAACGTTAATTTCATATAGATGACCCAAGCTGAACTGTCCCACCAAACTCAAAGACAGAGGGGCGCTACCATCGCTCAACTATATGGTTTCCAACATGGCAAAAATCGGAACCAGCGATCCGGTATTGACGGTGGCGCCCCACTGTCAATACCGGATCGCTGGAAGGACAGTTCAGTATTTTGGAACTATAGTAGGTACAGTGTCAAATAGACAACACATGACACAACCTTATTCCAATCGTAACAAAGACGCGTTCGTTGTGAACTTCTTGGCTACTTTGGGCGCCACGAACTATTCGACACTGACCGTATTCAACATCAACTAAGTTCACATTTTGGTTGCAAAACGGACTTCATGAGCGTGTGGGATGCGTGGGTCTCATACTATTTCTACCATACCAAACTTCTATCGTTTCAGCGGTTCAAGCGTGACAGATAGAATGACATTCAGGGGGCGTAGTGTGAGTTTACGTCAAACGCATACGATGTCGACTGCGTAAAAAAGTGACATTACAAAATGTATGACGGATTTTACAGCGCCCCTAGCGGAAGAACTAAAATCTTCATTTTTTTAACGCCGTCGCTAGTGACGACGTTTCATGTAAACTCACACTAAGCCCTCAGATTTATAATAAAGTGTGTATCGTTGTAGCGGCGAGGCATGTTCGTGAATCACATGTGGCGCGTGCACCGCGCGGCCGCCAGCGCGCCGCTGCAGCGCCGCGTGCGCCTCTACCCGTGCGGCGCCTGCGCCAAGCTCTACCGCACCGCCGCCAAGCGCGACGCCCACCGCGCGCACCACCACCCCGGTACACTAGCTCCCTCCACCATGGTCATCATTCCAGCGGCGAGGCATATTCGTGAACCACATGTGGCGTGTGCTAGGCAGCGTGCGCCAAGCTCTACCGCACCGCCGCCAAGCGCGACGCCCACCGCGCGCACCACCACCCCGGTACACTAGCTCCCTCCACCATGGTCATCATTCCAGCGGCGAGGCATATTCGTGAACCACATGTGGCGTGTGCTAGGCAGCGTGCGCCAAGCTCTACCCCACCCCATCATTTCAGCCACTGGACGTCCACTGCTGAACATAGGCCTCCCCCGATGACTGATGAACAGTTTTCAAGAAATTAAGCCATGCTTTGCTATTTGAAAAAAAAAAATTACGCACCCTGTACTTTTATTATATTACGAACGCAATACATGCACTCTACCCTATCCTACCACACAGTACTAATGTTACTACATAGACACAAAACAACACGAGTAGAGTCATTCATAATCTTCTATAAAATATGCATAACAAGAAGTCCTCCGTATAACACGCATTATATCCACAGGTGCAAACCTAATACGAGCGCAAACTATCGAGAGCGGTCTGAGGGCGTGCGAGCCGGCCGCGTGCGAGGCGTGCCCTCGCCAGTACGCCACCCGCGCGAAATTGCTACAGCACGTCCGCCAGCACCACCCGGACCTGGTAATAAACTCAACACATACTAGTAATTATTAAAGGGACTTGAGTGGGGGCTTGAGCTCAGATAAAACATTAAAAAGGTGTAAAATATCGCACGCGGTACGTGACCTACTCCACNTACGCCATGGGCGCGAAATTACATTAAACACGTACGCCAACATCACTCGTCGGACCTGATATTTTTTTATTGTACTTATAGGGCTGGCTAAAAAAGTTCAGAGCCGTTACACGATTGACTACTATTGAATAGACCTCCATACTCTTTCTTCTTCTTTTTGGACTGTCGAAAAACGTTCTCCCATTGACTTTGTATGGCAACACAAGCATTTGACGTCACTATTTTGCAAGAATGAAGCGTTCTTTTAGAATCTTGGAATTATTGCTTCATGCTATCAAGTTTTCGTTCTTACCACTTATTCCTCTACAGCCAGGATCTAAAGTGATAAACTAAAAAATGAATTTAGCTTTAAGAATTTAATTTAATTTCCGGAACTTACCTTTTGTCTGGGACTTCGTTCGCGTAGGTTTCGATAAAATAAGTAACATGGCTGAGCTAAGTACCTAGTAGTCGTTTCCAAATTTAATTATTTATTTATTTTCTTTTTCAGGCTCCACCGTTAAAAAATACTTCAAAAGTCAAACATCAACAGGTAATTCAATATCATTTTTTTTATAATTTATCGTATGATTACTTACTTGTATACTTACTTATAGCTTTTTTTAATTTGCAGGTGCAAAAGGAAGTTCCTTCGAAATCTAAGTCTCTACGAGGCAAACGTGGACACTTATGATTAAAAATATGATTATTAAAATGGTCACCAAAGAGAACTGATTTTAATTTATACTAACTCAAGTGAGAACTCTCTAACATTAATCCTTTATTTAAATAAATATCACTACTACTTTTTATCAAATATTACATTACCTTCCTATTTCAGGTGTAAACAGAACAATATTTTAAGAACGAAGAACCTTGCATGCTCTTTCAATATGGTGAAAATAGATTCAAAATGAAAGAAAAATATCCCGATATCGCAAAAAGCTGCCTTCCAGTAAATGTTAGTACAATTTTTTCCCAACATTTTAATAATCTGTTAGTTATTTAGTGCGGCAGCACTAACTGACATGAAATTCATTGTTTTCATAATTGATAAACAAGCCTCGTATTAATTAAATCAATATCGTAAAACTTAACACTCCAGTCAAGTATCTATTACTTTCATACATACGTCTAATTGTACATCAACAGCACATCAAACTACATTTTTGTTGTAATATCGCACCTATTACAATTACATAAGAAGCTAGTGCTTACTTTGATGTGCCGTCGTCTGTACAATGGTGACAATCAAAGGCAAATATTGATTGATGTCATTGTAGACTAAATTATATTATTTTTTCACTGGTAACCCTGAGTGTACAAAATATTATAATCATTATTTACTTCACAAGAAAACATTTATTCAGCCTCTGTATGGCTAAATATTGACTCAGTATAAAAACTTCTATGTATATTTAATTGTTCAATGAATTTTTTTCCCATAAATGTACCAAAGAACCTAATGACGTTGTTTTTTTTAATGTACAAATAGTGAAGTTTGTTAGAACCACTGAGAGTAACGAGATAATATTTATCTGCAATGCTGTAAATAAGTTCATTCAAGTATTCGTTGACCTATTGTTTATCCTTTCTACTCTTTTGTTACTTGTGTATTGTTTATAACTTCATTGTAGTGGTGACAAAGTAACACAATGTTTTAATCAGATCTAATCTAATTAGTTACATTAGTATGCCTGGTGAAGTGGTAGGCTGTATAAGTTGTATTAAAATGGATTTTGGCGTTCAAGAAGGCACAATCCCGAGGGATTTCATTGAATATGATTTTGCCGAAGATGCTTTGGATTTTGAGGTTAGTTGTGAAATATTAGATCATTTGATATTAAGCTAAAAATAAGGCAGGATAAAAAAATAACTGGTTTAAATCGAGTAAACAAGTTTTTTGGTCCTTCCTTCCCAAAGTTCATTGTATTTCTCTTAGGTAATTTATTATAACTGAGAAATTATTTTATTGTGCTTAAAATTGGAAGAGATATTGATTTTTGTATTCTTGAAAATCACTAACCTTATTTTAACTAACCCATGATTCATATTCCCATCATTTTTATTGCGTTTGTTTATTGTTTGCACAGTGCTGTTAGCTGAGTGGTATGATGATACCAGTTATAGTATTGCAAAATGTACTGTGTATACGTCAAAATTATTTTCATTGCAAGTTATAGGGAAAGGCAGCTTTTAACATGGACACATTTGTTACTACTGACATTAGACAATTTATTTATGTAACAAAAAAATTAAACACATTTACATTTTTAACCGGATGAACTTGCTGTCAATTACTGAAAACGTTTCAAAAGCTACCATAAATGTTACATCATGTAGAATTGCAACACCAGCTATAAATTCCACAAGTCGTAATTACTGCCATCTATCCCAATAACCGAGTACTAAAGAGCATTCTATAAAATTCATGCAGGTTCTAAAATTGCAATTTGCAACTTTACAAACTATTTTAAGTATAATAATTTATGAGTATATTTGTTTTCCGCGTTATACTTAGAAATACAAAAGATTACAAGCCAATACCTCATAATACGATTGTTTAGCTGTGTCTTCCAAAAACTACCACAAAAAAGTTAAAAGTTTATACAAAAACAAGTCACAAAAAACTTTATAATAGTTTGGTCGCGATATTAGAAGGCAGGTAGGCCCGCTTTAACTGCAGTCGTCACTCGTCCGTCAGTCATCTTCGTCACACAAAACACAAACCGAGCATAATATCGCGCTAACACAGTTTCGATTTCGAGGCGAGCGTGCGTAGATAGACACTAACTAGACTGGCGTTTGTGCTCGGATCGAGCGGATATTTTCGTGAGAATGCGGACTCGCAGTCTCACATATTTTAGTAGCGGTGTGTTACTTGTTTTGTGAGTGTTTAGTGAATAAATAAGTGTACGATGGTCAGTGGCAATAGATGCGGCTGCGGCGCATTTTGCCGTCGCTTGTTTTGCCGCGCGAGACCTCCCGAGGACGATGTTAACGACGAAACAGTACCTGTTACTTTGGTAAACTATAACAAATAACAATCTTTATTAAAACTTCTTAAAATTTTCATCAAATTGTAAATAATCAAATAAATATTATTCAAAGTTACATGCTTTAACTTGGCATCAAATTATGTTACTTACACAGGGAAACAGGAAAAATAAACAAACTTTATAGTTAATCCGGTAAATATCTTGCTTTCGTTCGGGCAAATGTAAGTAGGTATTTATGATTCAGGCCGGAAACTTGATTGTTATTTACTTACTCAACAAACAAAATTTTATATTAACTTTATAGTTACAAGTCTACAATATAGGGACTAATAAAAATAACAGTTCGTTATGCATGCCTGAAAACCGATAACTGTGTAGGTACAGATAGGTACTTTACCTACTAATGCAACTGTAACTGCAATATGTAGTGTAAGGTCACCGGTTAAAATTGTGTTCGCCTTTCTTTGGGTGTGCGTTCGTTCATGAAACTCGACATCGCACTTTATTTTCAGATATTTTTTGGCCTCCGTTCTAGTGATGTCATTGCAATATTTGACTAATCCATCTGAGATTAGACACGGGTGAATGAATCAATCATTTTAAAAAGTATTTTGTAGACCTAAGAGACTTGTTTTAAAAACTGAAAAAAAAAAAGAAATGGTTATTTTATTTCTGTCTGTGAATATTGTCGCGTTCGCGCGGGAAACTTTCAGCAGCATTAAACATCGATACTGTCCTATTCATTGACGATACCATTTTTTTATTTATCATTTTCGTCTTCATTTGTTATCCCTTATAAGTTTAAAGCACATTTAAACCTTTTTAACTACACAATAATAATAGATGAATTACTTGCTACAGACACGTAACTCTCACCCTCCATTCGTTAGGTTCGGGACCGGGATTGTGGAACCAGTTTAACAACATTGTTTTTTTTTTAATGTTTAAATGTCTAGCACGAGTCTAATGCCCGACCAACTGCAGTGAAACTCTGGGTTCAGTTTTGAGTCCCTGGGCATATCCCTCCATATTGTTAGAATTTTGAATCAGAAACGAGAAAATCCGTAAAAAATCGAAGGTACTTTTAAGCTAGGTTTTAGATCTTTCACTTAGGTACATTCAACTGTAGATGTTTTATGTAAGGAACATGATGAGATAACCTTTTGACTTAGGCCTATATTTACTTCACTGGCAAGTCACAGTTTATTGATTGAACTCTAACACTGAAAGGGAAATTGGGGCCACTGGCGGTGGTGCTACTAAAAATATTGATTGTTTCCCAACACGCGAACTTCCAATGTAAGCCCGCTTGCTTTGCAGGTGACTAACGCTCCTTTGTTTATTTAATTAATTAAAGTAGGTATGTACTTAACTGTAGTTAGACGTAGATTGTATAAGGATGAAACGATTTTCAATCGCGTCTGAAATTTTAAATAATAATGTAAGAAAGTATTCATGCAAATCTTGTAAAATTAACTTGTAGGTTTTAATGTTCTTTACGTGAGAAATTTCTGTAGTTAAGTATTAAGTATTATCAAATCCTTTTATCTATCTTCGTTATTACTACATTAAGTACCTAATGATCGTAACTTTTAAACAACTAAATCATTTGTTGTGCCTTTAAATAAATAAATAAATAAAAAAATTATCATGGCAAATAGAAAATTTAGAAATGACGTTCTAATAGACGCGTTCTTATCTTGAAGACAAGGCGTTGGCTTAATAAATAAACCCTGGCACCAATTACCTATGGCTAGTAACCTGTAGCTCGATGACCTCACGCTGTAACTCAATGTTGTCCGAGCTTGGTAATGAATCGTGCTGGGTATATTGAACGAGTGCTTTAGGCAATGACAGGATGCTACGATCGAAACCTTTTACGTATTACAGACTGTATTATTCTGTTTTCCCACTTTGCCAGCTACATAATCTACAGTTTGTTGCCTAATTCATATTCTTTGAGATTCAAGTAGTTAGATAAACTCTAGACTTAACTGATTCGTAATAGAACTCATTTGACCAGTTAGGATGGCCTTGTCATTAATTCAATAGTTTATTGTTTATGTTATTAATGAATATTTCATTCCTGTATCTGAGATTGTATGTAGACTTACGTGTTTTGTTAATTTAACACTATTTTAAACAATATTTAATTAATACCTAAGTAATTTTAATATCTGGGGGCACGGCNCTTCTCCCACGGCCAGTGGGATGCTAGAAGCTTGGTGATTCTAGCACCTGTAGGAAAATAAAAAAAAAGTTTACCAATACTGCGGTAGGTGTAGTTTTCGATTTCGTTGTAAAAAGATAATACCACCGATCAAAGGCCGAGCTGCATATTCATAAAATATAATAAAATTTTATTTTTATGTTTATTAATTTAACCTTTAAGATTTTTATATTTTACTAGCTGACCCGGCGAACTTCGTACCGCCTTAGCGTAGAGATTTTCTTAATATTTTTTTCCGTAAGAACCATCCTTGGACTTCCACAAACATTTAAAAAAAAGAATTATCGAAATCGGTTCAGCCGTTCACACGTGATGCCGTGACAACGCGAAACGGGTTTCATTTTTATATATATAGATAAGTATTCAAACATTTAGATAATAACGTTAAAAACATTTAAAAATCGAATGAGAACGTTTTCGACTTCTCCGCGGACGAAGTCGCGGGCAAAAGCTATTTGTAAAATAATTAGACTAAAAAAAAGTCTAAAAGTGCCTACCCAAAGTCATTATTCCACGCGGACGAAGTCGCGGGCACAGCTAGTTTTAAATAAGAATGTAGGAAAGCTTTCATGCAAATCCTGTAAAATTAACTTGTAGGTTTTAATGTTATTTATGTAAAAAAAAAAATATTTCTAAAAGATGTCACATGTACATTTATTCTGGCGGTCTCTGCACTAAGCTAGAAAGCTTGTAAATGTCTGTAGTTAATCAAATCAAGTACATAATGATTGTAACTTTTAAACAATTAAATGATTATTATTGTTGCTGGCAGTTTGGCCAGCAATCCTTTTTTGATATTGTTTATGGTTTTTTTTAACATTGTTTTAGATTTTGAAGTTGCTTTTTCTATTCTCTTGTGTTCTAGTGTTAATGTCTTGAGCAATATACTGCTTTTTGGCCCTTTTTTGGAGTGTTTCCTTGCTTCTAGCATAAGATCACCACACCGGCAGGCCTATCTATAACATACAGTCCACTCCATCGTCTTTTAACAATTATGTCAAATAGAAAAAATAGAAATGACGTTCTAATAGACACGTTCTTATCTTGAAGACTAGGCGTTGGCTTAGTAAATAAACCCTGGCACCAATTACCTATGGCTAGTAACCTGTGGCTCGATGACCTCACGCTGTGACTCAATGTTGTCCGAGCTTGGTAATGAATCGTGCTGGGTATATTGAACGAGTGCTTTAGGCAATGACAGGATGCTACGATCGAAGCCTTTTACGTATTACAGACGCTTCTGTTTACCCACTTTGCCAGCGACATAATCTACAGTTTGTTGCCTAATTCATATTCTTTGAGATGCAAGTAGATAAACTCGAGACTTAACTGACTCGTAATTGAACTCATTTCGTTTTATATGGCCTTGTCATTAATTCAATAAATAATTATTTATGTTATTAATGAATATTTTATTCCTACATCTGAGATGGTATGTAGACTTACGTGTTTTGTTAATTAACTAACACTATTTTAAATAATATTTAATTAATACCTAATTTTAATATCTTAGGTATCAAAATTAAGTAGTCATGACGAGTTTTCAATATAACTTAATATGCCCAGAGATTCGAACCTACAACCTTCCATTGTTCCGATATGAGAACTCACTCTCATAATCAAGTTCGGTCATTTGCATACTTTAAGTATCTAATACCCTTGCAGCATTTTGTGTTGAATCACATTGATAAAAAATTCTTTAATGTTGGTAATTCACCATGTTTATCAAACGACATGACTGGAATAAGATTCGTCACCGAATGACTCGAGTAGTTGGTAGATTTTAGAAGTAGGTAGTAGGTATAATGTTTCGTGTTGTATTTACGAATTGCTTGCTTACTTGATATTCTATAGATAAGCAAAAAACATTGAATGGGTGCCAAATTACATCCTATGAATGGTTTTCTGTTAAGTATTACGATTCTAAAGATCCTACAACGATCATCATCCTGTTATGCTATAAAGCGAACACAATTAAAAACGTTATGACCTCATTTCAAATTATCCTTTTTCAGACGCAGCTAGCGGAGGCTCGCGACGTGAAGTTTACACAGGTGCTGGCCGAGCCACTGAGCATAGGCTCCCACATCGTATGTACCGGCACACCCAGCGAGGATCTGCCATGGTGAGAATTACCGACTTGTTAGTAAACTAACTCGACAACATAATCTTATCTTATCGTTCGGAAATATTTATTGGATGTTATTTTGATAAACGGTATTTAAACGCTTTCTTTGTTGATTTATGCCAATGCACTAGCATGACTATATTCTAATATGTAACTGAAATATTTGTACCCTGCTCACTGCTGTCTGCTTGTTGATTAATATTAGGACAAAATAATAAAATTAGTGTGTAATTTGGGAAACATTACTTTCATATTGTTATTATTGATTTATTATGAACAACATCAAAACAAATGGAATAGGAAAATTAGAACGTTTCAGGCCTAAGTGCCTTTACGGTACCTACCTGATCACGAAAATTAAGTCACTGCCATTTATAGGGCAAGAGTATCGAGGCCACGCCGTACGTCTAGCCACTTACTATGCGGTCGCTAATTGCCTGACCTCTTCTACAATTAAAATCATCATCGCGCCTTGTTGCTGAATAGAATATCTATAAATAACTAATAAAACTTATTATGTAATTAAGTTGCATGAAATTCTCATGTTCATAAGTTATGGGATATTATCGCTCGGACAATGTTAAACATTAGATTCAGAAACTTAAATAAATTGTAAAGTCCTGTGCCATGTAGACTCCTGTAGAGCTCTGATATAAAGCAGATAGCATTTAGCAATAGCCGACAATGTAACCTACCCAGTAAAATGCTAAGTAGGTACCTATTTCATGTACAAGATCAAATGCTAGATACATTCACCTTCCCTCCAGTGCGCAATGCGGCAGACAGTCAAATAAATAGGTAGAACTCGTTAATTGAAGTCGCAACAAGAATTATTTGAATGATCTCATCACTTTGTTTGTCTGTTATGTATTAAAATTGCGGTTGCGGGAAGCACCTGAAATACTTGAAGGTGGCATTTGTCCAGCAGTCAACGTCCTTTGGTTTTATTGAAACGATAAACATATCCTAGAATAGGGATGTTTCCTGGGTCAAAAAGCAAGAGTTTTAATTAGTCCGTCAGTTAACTTATCAAAAAATACTCTACACGTATTTTTCACTTTTTCAAACTAATGAAAATTTAAAGAGATAAAGCGCGCCAAAGTTCCTAAGAAGAGGCCCGTGACGTCAATGCGTGCATAAAAGTGCCGCACGTTGTGACGTCGTACGGAACTTCAACGCACCATAACTATGTAATTATTTGTTAGATTGACAAAATTATTTTTTGATATTAAACATGACGGACTAAAAAAATTTTTTTAGGAAACTAGACTTATTCAAATTTTTAACGTTAAAGAGTTCTTGAACCAAATTTTTAATAACTTGAAAAAATCTTATAGGTTCGCAGTAAACATAGGAATGGGAGATCCAGACTCGGGGCACGGCGATATCGCGGTTCACTTCAACGTCCGCCTGCCACAGCGGTACGTGGTACGCAACACGCGCCGCCATAGCAAGTGGGGGACCGAGGAGACCACGGCGTTTAGGTAAATAGGTGAAGGACATTTTTGTTCTTTTGTTTGAGATGCAACCTAAGGATCACTCAATCCCTACTTTTTAAGTGAACCCTATGGTAATACATAACAGGAATTTTGCTTTCATAGGGGTCACTTAAAAATTAGGGATTGATGGTGAAAACAGGCATTAGCCATCTGAAGCACGGAATCTATATTTTTTTAGGACTATCAATCAAGTTTTTTGAGCTTGCTGTGTTAACCCATCAAACCCTAAACGGTCGCCGGAGACTGCGGCAATAATGGATTTCTATTGTATCTTGATTCGCGGGTACTTGAAGGGAAACAAATTATCAACAAATATACAGATTGTATAGGTCTAGGTACGACTCATTTGTTAAACGAAGCCAGCCGGCCAGGATGCGTGCAAAATCGATAAAATGAACGTCAGAATCAATAGTTTGAATTTCTTAATACTGAACCCCGTTTATAGTTACTTTGCCTGACCCTTGCCTCCTTCAGACACAATATCGTGGGAAAAGGCTTCATACATACAGCCCAGCAAGAGTTTGTTGCAAAATGATTCCTAAATCATGTTTATTTACGAGTGTCTCGCGGTCAGAACAATTTCAATTGTGACCTCTGTTTGTTTTTCCAACCACATGATTGAAGACGAATAAACTTTTCAGAATGATTGTGACAGGTGAACGAAGGTTAATATCTAATCGTATCGTATCAGTCAGAGTGATATTATTTATTATTAGTTTTAATTGTTGCTCAGATATCGATACCGATTATCATAGTTAAGCAATGAATAGTGGGATTAAGATACTATCTGTAGTAGGATTGATAAATTTACATAATTATTGCTTTTTTGCACGTAAAATATAGTAAGTATTGTATAGGGAGTGGTAGTCGTTAAAAAAAGAAACTTGCAAACCATAAGTGCGATGAAATAATTAAATTCTGTGAATCTAATTTAAAGCATAATTTTTACTGCTAAACATTACTAAGCAAAACAATAGCCATGAAAATCAAGGTAACTAATTACTAAGCGGTAAAATAAGTCATCAGAATCTAACCGTGGTACGGCTAATGTTTACAAAGAAAATTTAAAATATGTGTTTCGTCAGACACGCCAAAACCACGGCTTCGAATTAGAAACTACGCTATATTAATGCGTAGGTAGATAGCTAAGACAATATTTGCGTTAAGGGGAACCAGGGACAAAAGTCTTTTCCACCACAATCAGTCTCGAAACTTAGTCGCCGTCAATCTTAACGTACTCGCGTAACCTTGGATTGAAATTACACCTTAAATACAGCCATAGTTGTAGGTCCTTATGACTATCAAAAGCTANGTTGCCGTATCTCTACCCTCCTATAATGCTCTTAGTCAGACGGCTGACTAAAGGATAGTTGTTAGAGTATTATAACACCAACAATCGTATAAAAGTATAACTCTACACTAGTCTACACTCCTATAAGTCCCTTAGACAGGTATAGGTGTAATTAATTGCAATAATACAGCTTATACATCACGAGTGAACTGTACTAATGCTTTAAGTACACATTGGAACTAAATGTGAACTCTTAAATGGAGTAAAATGTTACTTGGGGTGTCCTGGAAGAGAATAAATGATAATAATACAGCACACAATGATTGTATTTTTTCGGGGATCGAACCCGGAGAGTAATCCAACCGCCTCTGTGGTCTAGTGGTAAGACCACCTCCTTTAGATGCAGAGGTCCCGGGTTCGATTCCCAGATCGACACTGTTGAAAGCTCCATGAGCACGGAGCAACTGATGAAATTGGCGGGCGGCGCTTGCAACAGTGCCGAAATATTGGAAACTCGAATGCACATGAAACATGGTAGCAATCTCGTCAATAATAATAATTATTCTAAGACCTATACATAGTCTGAAACAAGTTGGTCTACAATCATGTCTTCATTTAGAAAGTTGTGCCGTCAATTGGATTATGGTGTACTACTATTTTCCTTTCATTTATTACAGACCACCTTCCGGATAATCCGCGGCGCCGGCGAATGGTCGGTGTACGCGGACGACTCGATGATAGGCGAGCTGGAGTTCCGTGCCGCGCCCGAGGGGGTCAAGGCGCTTCGGTTCCGCGGAGACTTATATCCTGAACAGGTGTACCTGTGTCCTGCTACCAACTCGCCCGTTAGAGAAGAGTAAACGACGAAATATCGAACGATTGAACTATTTGTACGTAACGGAAAGCGCAGCTTGGGACGCCGATGACCTCACAAAGGTATTATAGGAAGGCGCTAGATGCAGACCGCTACCAACTGGGAAAATGTTCAGCAGTGGACGTCCTGTGGCTGAAATGACGATGATCAATTTGTGTGATACGTGGCAAGCTAAAATCAGTCTAAAACGTGAGTGAGTACGAGCTAAGTTGCGCATCAAGCTGTTAAGTTGATATCGAGAATGAGGCTAGGAAGTTATTATGTCAAATTTAGCAGCATACATGCTTGATTTTGCAGCCTCGATGGCTTGTGAACGAATAAAGATTACTGCCAGATGCAGTTACAAGGACTTACGACGCGCTCTCAGAAGCACAGATTGTTACTTGCAACGGACAATCAAGTTAATTATGTCTTCAATTACTTATCTGACTGCATTACAAATCACCTGAGAGCAACTATATTATAATTATGTACATACAACTTTATGTGCTTCAAGAATAATGTTAAATAAACTTGGGAAAATAACTTTCTATAAGACCATGACAGCAAACGAGAACATAGAAACCGATATAAAATCGAAATAATATAATGCATTTATTATTATCCGATAAAAGTAAATATTTAGGGTGATTAAACTCAAACCGTCCATCAGATTAGATAGGTCGTGCGCTAATTTATGCCTAATTTAAGTAGGCGCGCACACCATTGATTTTTAGTTGGCAGATAGTTGTGCCCGATTTTAAATTGTATGAAGAATCGACCAAATCGAATCGGCGTAGTGTGCGCACTCCCATACAGGTACTATTATTATTTATTCTGTGCCCATACTGATCAACTGCCCGACTAAACTATCGGCCGACGAAAAATCAACGGTGTGCGCCTACTCTAAGGCAAATATGTTTTTTTCTGAAATCCTTTCTATAATATTGATACTGCACGCNGGGTCTTGACCGACTCTCGGGAGCACTCGGATTAACAACTGGCCCCGTGGTGTCGCTACTCACCAACAGCTCGCCACAAAGCTGCCCTGCGGGGCTTATTATTATTATTATTATGTAATTTCTTAGAAACCTCGTTTGTAGTAATTTTGCCGGACGCTTGCTACCCTCAGACACAGTATCGTGGGAAAAGGCTACATACATACAGCTCAGCAAGATTTTGTTGCAAAATGATTCCTAAATCATGTTTATTTACGAGTGTCTCATCTCACGGTCATAACAATTTCAATTGTGACCTCTGTTTTTCCACCCACATGATTGAAGACGAATAAACTTTTCAGAATGATTATGAGAGGTGAACCAAGGTGATATCTAATCGTATCGTATCAGTCAGATTGATTTATAGTTATAATTTTATTGTTGGTCAGATATCGATACCGATTATCATAGTTAAGCAATGAATAAAGGGATAAGACACTATCTGTAGTATGATTGATAAATTAATTTACATTTATTGCTTTTTTTCACGTAAAAGATGGTAGGTATTGTACAGGGAGTGGTAGTCGTAAAGAAACTTACAAACCATAAGTGCAATGAAATAATTTTTATTCTTTGAATCTAACTTAAAGCATAATTTTTACCGCAATACACTAACTAAGCAAAACAATAGCCATGAAAATCAAGGTGACTAATTACTAAGCGGTAAAATAAGTCATCTGAATCTAACCTTGGTACGGCTACTGTTTACAAAGAAAATTTAAAATATGTGTTTCGTCAGACACGCCAAAACCACGGTTTCGAATTAGAAACTACGCTATATTAATGCGTAGGTAGATAGCTAAGACAATATTTGCGTTAAGGGGAACCAGGGACAAAAGTCTTTTCCACCACAATCAGTCTCGAAACTTAGTCGCCGTCAATCTTAACGTACTCGCGTAACCTTGGATTGAAATTACACCTTAAATACCAGCTATAGGCCAGCCATAGTTGTAGGTCCTTATGACTATCAAAAGCTAGTCTTATTGAGCGCCTTACTGTTATTTTAACCATCCAATGTGTGGCATTCCAGATTATTCCCCTTCAAAATGGACCGTCCGTTCACGATAGAGGTCCTCGTGGACGAGAAACAGACGCTGTGGGCAGTGGACGGCGAACACTACTGCAGCTACGCGCACCGGCAGCCGAGCCCTCACGTCGCCACTTGGGTGCAAGTGGCTGGTGTTAGGAACGCCACGCTGAACATTAACAAGACTGATATTTATCCGACGATGGCGCCCCCGCCCATTGAGGCAAGTTCAATTACATTGGCATATCCTTTACAATATAAATGTCCCTGAAAGCTGAACCTAAAAGTAAATGATCTTCGTATATACCATCCTAGACTGCATCCCACTTAACATCAGGTGCAATTGTGGTAAAAAAAACTGTCTTGTTATGCATTAAAAAATACAACTTATTATTTTTATAAGCAACTCGACACACTCGTACCAAGCCTTGTGTCGATCGAACATCTGTCCACAAAACTCTGTTTCCATTCCCAATTTAATTAGCTTCAATATTACAGGTTTACAGGTATAGCACTTAAACACTAAAACTATTATTTCCATTTTTACAGGTGCCTTTACGAGCATTTATTGATGCACCACCGGACCCATCCGAGCCGATTTGCTGGAGGGCTAACGCGATAGCTACATTATCAAACGGGGTGCCAGAGGGACACCAATTAGTTATTCATGGAAGGTGAGGGACGTTTTGTGTGCATTTAAATTTTAAGTATGTACCTAGTTGTTCTCAAATGGCGACCATTGAGCCGAGAAACGCAGTGCCGGGTTAGGATGCGCGTCGTGATAATACTCTTATCGGCGTCAAAATGTATGGACAAAATTGATAAAATGGGCGTGTTAACTGATTATCATCATCATCATCCTAGGTCATCCTTCGGGTATCTAACTGGATGGACCGACTATCTCGGATCGTGGGAAGTATCTGGATGCAAACAGTGAAGCATCAGTCGTTAAGGAAATCCTTGAGGGACGCCTTTGTCCGAGGTAGTTGTTTATAAATACGTTTCATTGATGTCTTACAGTGAGGATATTTACCCATGAACTTCAGCAAGCTTGGTTTACTCGACTGACAGAATCTATTTTTGGATTCCAATATGTGCGTAAATTATCAAATCGGAAGTATACTTGGCAACGTTTCTGACGAATAATAACATTGTCTTACCACATATACAATAGTAGTGTTTAGAGAATAAATTACGTTCAGCTGCACAAACCTAAGGCTGAAACATTTTACCCATCGTTTTACCTTATTATAAGACTTATTGCATAGAAAATTCAATAATAGCTTCCAGTGACAAGAATATCTTAATAACTCAGTTTTAATTTCAGTATTCCTTTTATACTCTAGCTACTATTTCCTACAAATCTAACAATGTACCTACTTATTTTATTGACATGAAAGCCTTGAGCAATAGATTTTCACACAATTTAGCTCTTTCAACCATAGTTTCTAGTGATTCAAGCACCTAAAACATGTTGTTATTTGGGCTTAAAGTACGAGTATACGCTAACTCTGGTCAGTAAAGACACAATCAGTAAAGATAGAATAAGTAACAGTTAAAATAAACCTGTACTACTAACCTATCTCTGTTTCTACAAGATTTATTAACATTAGTTTTATAAGTGTTATTTAAAGCAAGTATCGCTCTCTTTGTCAGTTTTGCGATGCCCCTACGGGGTGTCATGTGTGCAAGGTACGGACGACAGCACATCAACCTAAACACAGTGGCGTCTTATCTCATTGTAATACAGGCTATTTTGCAACAAAAATGTATAGGTTGATGTGCTATCGACTGTACATAAATTGTATTTTACCACCTGTACTTACCATGTGACAAGCAAATAAATAAATAAATAGAGAATAACTAATGGTACGCTATCTTTTGCAGATTACGGCCCATGCTGCACTCGTTCGCGGTGGACCTGATGGACGGCGCGCGCGAGTGGCCCGCGCCCAATGTGCACGTGCACGTCAACGTGCGCGCGCACGTCGAGCCGCACCTGCCGCGCCAGCTCGTCGTGCTCAACGCCTGGTACGGCGCCTGGGGGCTTGAGAGGCGGCAGCGCACCGCGCGACTCGTGCCCGGCACGCAGGTAATGCAGAATAATTGATAGATTATTATTATTGACGGGATTGCTACGATGCAGGGATGTTATGGATATCCGTAACGGTAAACTAAACTATCGGATATCAGAAATAAAAAAATATCCGTAATCGTAACCGATTCAAAAGTTTCGGATAAAGACCGAGACTAAATCTTAATATTTGTTACTTGCCTGGCATTCCCTGGCACCACCTAATATCCTCGCCTGTTTTACCCTTATCATAGGTGTCCTCATAGTACATAAAGTGGCTATGTGGGTCGCGCAACTTCTTGCTATTTGAATTTAACGTTTTTAAAATTCTAATATCCGTACCGAAATATCCGAAACTTTCGGATAATCCGAAATGATTTCACACCCGTAACCGAAACCGGTATAATATTATTCTAATATCCGTAACCGTATCCATAACCGAAACTTCATATCCATAACATCCCTGTAGCAATCCCGTCAATAATAATTATTCTAAGACCTATACATAGTCTGAAACAAGTTGGTCTACAATCATGTCTTCATTTAGAATGTTTTGCCTTCAATTGGATTATGGTGTACTACTATTTTCCTTTCATTTATTACAGACCACCTTCCGGATAATCCGCGGCGCCGGCGAATGGTCGGTGTACGCGGACGACTCGATGATAGGCGAGCTGGAGTTCCGTGGCTCGCCCGAGGGGGTCAAGGCGCTTCGGTTCCGCGGGGACTTATATCCTGAGCAGGTGTACCTGTGCCCTGCTACCAACTCGCCCGTTAGAGAAGAGTAAACGACGAAATATCGAACGATTGATCTATTTGAACGTAACGGAAAGCGGGGCTTGGGACGCCGATGACCTCATAAAGGTATTATAGGAAGGCGCTAGATGCAGACCGCTACCAACTGGGAAAATGTTCAGCAGTGGACGTCCAAGCTAAACACTCTAAAACGTGAGCGAGTACGAGCTAAGTTGCGCATCAAGCCGTTAAGTTGCAAGCATGAAGCTAGGAAGTTTTTTGTCAAATCAAAGTTAACATCATGCTATGCACTTGATTCTGCAGCCTCGATGACTCGATAGCTTGTGAACGAATAAAGAATACTCCCAGATGCAATTACCAGGACTTACGACGTGCTATCACAGTACAGATTGTTACTTGCAACGGACAATCAAGATAATTATGTCTTCAATTACTTATCTGACTGCATTACGAATCACCTGAGAGCAACTATAAAATATTATAATTATGTACATATAACTTTATGTGCTTCAAGAATAATGTTAAAAACCAAGACAGACCATGACAGCGAACGAAGACATAGAAACCGATATAAAATCGAAATATAATGCATTTATTATTATCCGATAAAAGTAAATATTTAAGGTGATTAAACTCAAACCGTCCATCAGATTAGATAGGTCGTGCGCTAATTTATGCCTAATTTAAGTAGGCGCGCACACCGTTGATTTTTAGTTGGCCGATAGTTGTGCCCGATTTTAAATTGTATGAAGAATCGGCCAAATCGAATCGGCGTAGTGTGGGCACTCCCATACAGGTACTATTATTATTTATTCTGTGCCCATACTGATCAACTGCCCGACTAAACTATCGGCCGACGAAAAATCAACGGTGTGCGCCTACTCATAGGCAAATATGNTACTGCACTTTTTCGGTATTTTTGATTTCATAGTATGAGAAAAGCACAATCTCACTTTGTTAGTATTATTTACATTTTATATTTGTATGTTAACGTACTTTATAATTCTATTAATTTGTAATCGTCTAATACTCTTTAATTTAATGTAAGTGTACCTACTTTGTTACCAATTTATTGTTGTAAGGCACAAAAGTCACGTGGCTTAACATTGTTTATTCAAATCTTTATTATTTTATTTCAACTTACTAAACTAAGTAAACGATAATCGAATCTATGTAGAATGTATTATGTGTTGTGTTTAAGTTCAAAAGAGTTAATTAGTAGTTCTGTTGCAACAGAACTGCACTGTGACGTCAGAATTAGCATTATAAAACTATAATCTTTAATAGCTAAATCTATGCATCCCCTTACCCTTATACACATCTGCTTTCTGAATACTATTCTATTCTACAAAATCTAGATGTATGAAAATAACAGCCAAAGTGATCTAGCCATTGCTAGATCTTGTACATTTTTTTATAAAATAATAACAATTATCACATTAAATTAATCTAACTCCACTATTTATGGATGGACAGTTGTATGTTATACAGTGATTAATAAATCAATTATGTTAAAATGACACATTGTATTATTATTTTTATTACCATTGCCCAAGATACGAACGCGAAAAAAATGGCTTTATAGAGAAGAATAACAATTATTTATTGATGTAATACACTGCAACATTTTATAGTAAAATCCTGGCTTCTAAACTAGTGTAAACTGTATTTCAGGAGCCAGTGTCTTCCTATTAGGTGAATACAGACAGTCCTACTAANAATGTGTTTAAGTATTTGTCGAAGAGAAATACTAAGGGTTCGGACAATATTTTCATTGAATAATTTTTCCGACAAGAGTGTCAAATTGACTGACATGTTTATCGTATAGTACAGTCCACTATGAAAATTAGCTGTGGTTTGTTTCAACTACCTATTTTAAAGTTTTTTGTCACTTTCTAAGTGTTGAATTTTATGCAATTGGGAAAGAAGTACCGAGTTTGAAGCGTTCATGAGCAGATATTGCAGTTGAACATTCAAGTTCTGAATTTGATTATTGATGAATAATAAAATAAATCCTACTAGCTCGATTGATGTTTTCATTTAATTTATTTAAACCAGGTTACCTATAACAATATTTTTTCGTTAATTCATGAAAATATCAAATTAGCCCGTAATCCTGAATCCTGATACTTAAAGTTAGCCTATTAATTTAACACCGGTACGACTGTACTCAGTGTTGCACTATCAAATGCAATTGACGCGCCTCTATGCCAGGGTTTTTATGTTCCTGATAGACTGACTGAAGACTATAGATCATAGAGTTATAGCCTGACCAGAGCCCCGATTACGGTAACTTTTATAACGTCAACAATCCAGACACGCTTCTCGATTCTGCGATACGATTGGTCGTTCAACAGCGTACGTCAGCTGTTTTGACCAATCGTATCGCAGAATCAGAAACGCGTCTAGATTGTAGACGTTATAAAAGTTACCGTAATCGGGGCTCTGGTCAGGCTATAACTCTATGATCTATAGTCTTCATCTTTTTAGGGGTGATACATAATTATGGTTTATTAATTTATTTAATCAAAATATGTAGATTATATTTTTGCCTAGACCACCTGACCAACTACCACCAAAATAATGTAAATTAAATGAAATGCCATAAAAAATATTTTTTTAGATTATTACTGAGACTGGTACACAAAACTACTACAACGTAGTTTTTATTCATTAGGCTTGCCACACCAATCAGCTGGAAGCTGTCAACGTCAAAATTGTCAAATTCGCCGACAAAATGTCAAATTAATTCGTTCCACTGACCGTATTTTTGTCTATTTATGAGTCGAAATAAGCCTGAAAATACCTTTAGCAGACTTTTGGGGTAGATTTCCTCCGTTTTGGGCCGTTGGCTACCACGAAAGATCTGTCGCCGTTGAATAGAATCCAGTTTTAATTGCCTACATAGTAGTATACAGCTTTGACCTTGTCAAGGTGACCGACACTCAGTTGAAATTGCCTTTAGTCAGGGTTGATATCGTCAACCGGCTGCACGGGTTTTGATCGCTGAATTAACAAGTCAAAATGAGCGTACAATCAGATTCTGAGAAGCGCAAGCAGATCTCCGTAAGGGGTATCGTGGCTGTGGAAAATGTGGGCGAGGTGAAGAAGGCTTTCAACCGCCACGTTCATTACACCTTGGTGAAGGACAGGAATGTCGCGACGCCACGGGACTACTACTTCGCGTTGGCGCACACCGTCCGGGACCACCTTGTTTCCCGCTGGATCCGTACTCAACAGTACTACTATGAAAAGGACCCTAAGGTAAGAATATTTATTAAAGTTAGTTAAAAATTCTCGTTTNTTATCTAAGATTGACAGTAAAACCTTTGATTTGATGATAAGAAAATACTTTTATAGCATGTAGGTAGTCAGTACCATGTAACTTATTTTAATTGAATAAAAAGCAATTTAAGCTGATATCCTTTTCTAAGTAAAACACTTGAAAGTTACATGAAGCTTTTATTTTGACAGCGTGTGTACTATCTGTCCCTTGAATACTACATGGGGAGATCCCTACAAAATACCATGATCAATCTCGGTATCCAAGGCACTGTGGATGAAGCACTATACCAATTGGGTCTGGATATTGAAGAGTTGGAGGAACTGGAGGAAGATGCTGGTCTGGGTAACGGAGGCCTGGGGCGTCTTGCCGCCTGCTTCCTTGATTCTATGGCTACTTTAGGGCTGGCTGCCTACGGATATGGTAAGTAGTACAAAACATTTTGTGTCCAGATTTATTTTTGATTTTTGAGTGCAACAAACTGCCGGCTACATGTTTATGAGCAAAACATAATGGGATGTAAATTGTTTACTGAGAGAAACAATAAAAATACCTAAGTACACCACAGAAATAGTTGACATTAACTAGTGGCAAGTATAAACTAATTGAGGCAGTTGACAACACCGTTGTTGGCATTAAGCCAGTTATAAATGTGTAGGCACACTATATGGGATATCTCAAAATTGTTTTTTTATGTTGGCTACACATGGGCAACTGTAATGATTATGTTCTTGTTTTGTTAGTACTATTAATTGATTAAGTTAAGTTAAATTCCTATTCTAAGTATCAATTAATCAACTTTTCTTAAAATTTGTTTTCATCATGAAGATACTGCACAAATAAAGCAGTAGAGTACATTTCACATTATAATGTATCGCTTACAGTGCAGCTTAGCAAAATTATAATTAATTATCCTCCTATTGTAGATGTTACTATTGTATCCCTAAATGAACTAGAAAACATCTTATTTATTGTCAAAGTGACCTGAATCTGCCTGAGGTCATTTTGATTAAAGTTGAAACTGGCTATGATGGCACCAATAGATCTTGTTTTATATTCGCGAAATACAAAGTATCCTACTAAATTGAGCCCAATTTCAATTAAGATACATTATGATTTTGATACATACAAGATTTGCTTAGTTATTTCTGCTATGAACTAGTTGAGATACACTTGGCAACATGAATGGATCTATTATGTAGGTGCAATGATATTATAGAATATCATTGTGTAGGTGTAACTTCACTAGTTTTAACAATTAAAATTGTTATTCTTATTCCATTACTCAGTGCCATGGTAGATTAGCATTTTCAACAATTGATGTTTGAATATTCATTTTATATTAAACTGCTTATATTAGCTTATAATAGCCAAATTTCCAAATTTAGTTGTAGATAGCCAATACGACTGCACATAATTTGAATGGTTAGTTAGCACAATACTAAGCAAAAAGCAAGTAACTAAGATACCAGACAAAAATGTTGTTAAATTTAGCGATCTCCTGTGCCTTAATATAAAGAATAGACCATAAAATATTGCCGCATTAATTATTAATTTTATTTACTAATTTCCTTGTACAATCAGGTATTCGTTACGAGTACGGAATATTCGCGCAGAAGATTGAAAATGGTGAGCAACAAGAGGAGCCTGACGACTGGCTGCGTTATGGCAACCCTTGGGAAAAAGCGCGCCCGGAATTCATGATCCCGGTCAATTTCTACGGGCGAGTCGTAGACACGCCCCAGGGGAAGAAGTGGGTCGACACCCAGGTAAATAAACTACTTATTCTTGCTACCAGTCATTATTAAAAATTTCTACGTCAGTAAACAGGGATTTCGTAAGAACTAATTGAAATAATTTGGCTTTAATTGATAAATTACAGTGTCATTAATTCTCAAGTACATAAGAAACGCGAACGTTTTTACTAGCATAGCAACAGCAACTACTTAGCCAAGTCTTACAAAGTATTTGATTAATTGTGAGAGCAAGCAAACCCTTTAGTATGGTGGATGGATAAAGTATTGCAATATTTCCATAGATACATGTATAAATAGCGATTTTTGACATTGCGAATCATTCTCGATCCGGCGACTGCTGGTTTCGTAGCCCGGAGTACGCGACCACTAGGCTAGAGATGCATTAACATACCTAATCAATTGAATCTCATCATAAAACACCCTATGATTCTAGAGCCAGATGCCAAATGTTTTAATAAGCTTTTCGTTCTAAACGTGATGTCAATGACATTTGATAAGTATTGCTTATTTATATGCTTGTAAGATAAATATAGATAGCCCATTCAGAGAAAATGTGATCGGCATGTTTATCTAACAAAAACGTTATTCTAATTAGAAGATTATCATATTCATTAATATTTATTGCTTTATAATACGTTTTATCAATAGTCTACTTCTACAATAATAATTTCTTATTTATTTCACTTTTAACTGTTGTTTTTCGCACTTTTTTCTCTATAATCTTCGTGTTTTTTACAAAAATTAATAACCGGTAGAGATCGCGTAAAATAAAATAAATGCTATTCACATATTTTGGATAGTACCCAACGCCTACTAAAATAAATGATGATTTCATCCCGAGAAATGTCTGGTTGGATAGTACCGACCTATAGGCACAATAAATGTTGGACTATATTCTTATCTCGAAACAAAAGGCATAGGTCGCGTATCATTCACGCACATTAAGGGCACGTGAAGTACTTTACGTAAACTGTTTTACTATTAATTGAAACCTGGTTTTAAGATATCGAAATGTCACGTGACATGGTCAACTGGCCAATGAATGATCTTAGCGATAGTATTAAGGTATATTCATTATTCACATTGATTGGTCGCGTGAGCGGGACGTGACCCGTCCATGCGAAAACGGTAAACAAATACACTGACGGGATATATGCACGTCACTTGGCAATGTAACATGCTATACATTGCAAAAACAATTACACGTGTGTGGTGCAATGCTTTTGATTTTTGATTGATGATATTTTAACAGGTGGTGTTTGCTATGCCCTACGATAACCCCATTCCTGGATATAACAACAACGTGGTGAACACTCTGCGTCTTTGGTCCGCCAAGAGTCCCATTGACTTCAATTTGAAATTCTGTGAGTAACCAAAGATTTATTTACGATCATTCAGTCCAATAAATGTTATCAACTAGTCACCGATTGAACGAATTATTAGCCATCTGTTCCAATAATTTTGTTTTATTTTCAGTTAACTCCGGTGACTACATTCAAGCTGTGCTAGACCGTAACGTCGCTGAGAACATTTCTAGAGTCCTCTACCCCAATGACAACTTCTTTGAAGGCAAAGAGCTGCGTCTGCGCCAGGAGTACTTCATGTGCGCCGCCACTCTCCAGGATATCATTAGGAGATACAAAGCATCCAAATTTGGCAGCCGGGAGGCTGTCAGGACCACCTTCGACACTCTGCCTGAGAAAGTCGCCATCCAGTTGAACGACACCCACCCCGCCCTGGCGATTCCTGAACTGCTGAGAATCCTCATCGACATTGAAAAAGTGTCGTTCGATGAAGCCTGGGACTTGGTCATCAAGTGTTGCGCGTACACCAACCACACCGTCCTCCCCGAGGCGCTGGAGAGGTGGCCGTGCTCCATGTTGGAGAACTGCCTGCCCAGGCACATGGAGCTGATCTACCACATCAACTTCCTGCATCTTCAGGAGGTCCAGAAGCGCTTCCCTGGCGACATGGATCGCATGCGCCGCATGTCCCTGATCGAAGAGGAGGGCGAGAAACGCGTGAACATGGCGCACCTCTGCATCGTCGGCTCGCACGCCGTCAACGGCGTGGCCGCCATCCACTCCGATATCCTGAAGGCCACCATATTCCGCGACTTCTTCGAGATGTGGCCCGAGAAGTTCCAGAACAAGACCAACGGCATCACCCCTCGTCGCTGGATCCTGCTCTGCAACCCTGGCCTGTCTGACCTGATTTGCGAAAAAATCGGCGACGAGTGGACCGTGCATTTGGAGAAGCTGCAGGGGCTGAAGCGCTGGGCCAAGGACCCGGCCTTCCAGCGCGCCGTCATGAAGGTGAAGCAGGAGAACAAGCTGCGCCTGGCGTCGCTCATCGAGCGCGACACGGGCGTCAAGATCAACCCCGCCTCCATGTTCGACGTGCAGGTGAAGCGCATCCACGAGTACAAGCGCCAGCTGCTGAACATCCTGCACGTGATCACCCTGTACAACAGAATCAAGCGCGACCCGTCCGCTCCTATCACGCCGAGGACTGTCATGATCGGAGGAAAAGCCGCTCCCGGTTATTACATCGCTAAGCAGATGATCGCTTTGGCGTGCGCTGTGGGCAATACCGTAAGTGAAAAACATGTTGTTGTTTACTATTACGATTCTATTAATAGATTATATTCTAAAAATATTTATTTTTTTATAGGTAAACAACGACCCAGACGTCGGCGATAAGTTGAAACTTATTTTCTTGGAGAACTACCGCGTCACCTTGGCCGAGCGGATCATGCCAGCGGCTGACCTCAGTGAGCAGGTTTGTACTTTAGTTAGACAACTTTATTTACGGTTTAGGAATACACGTTTGACTCGCCTGATCGCCTGCTATATGACTAATGATATTTTTTTACAGATTTCAACTGCCGGTACGGAGGCCTCTGGTACTGGCAACATGAAGTTCATGTTGAACGGAGCCCTGACCATCGGCACAATGGACGGCGCCAACGTCGAGATGGCAGAAGAAGCCGGAGAGGACAACTTGTTCATCTTCGGCATGCGGGTCGATGATGTAGAGGCATTGAAGCGCAAAGGGTAAGTTGGAAACTCAATAATGACACTGAAATAACTGAAAATCTGAGGAAATCTGAAAGGGAATAGGATTGTAAATTCACCGTGAACCATGAATCTCGCGTAGATTTAATATAGCAGTACAAGCCTGTAACGTCACTATTTAGCTAAACTAAATTTTATGTGATAAATAGAAACTACAGTACATAGGATACGAAGTACATAGAGTTTTTAGGACTAGTTAGAATGAAGAAGTTGTGTTCTTTTGTAGAAGTTGTGTGTAGAAATTATTGATACGCAATTACTATAATCCGGGCGTTTTCAAGGCACTTACAGGGCAGATATGTACCATCCTAGACTGCATCTCACTTAACACCAGGTGCGATTGCGGTCAAATACCTGCCTTGTCTAGCATAAAAAACTCATATCTATGTTTTAACGAGCGTCTGTCTGTCAGATACAACGCGTACGAGTATATGTATTACTCCATCGAGTAATACTATGTTATAAAAGCGTATACCTCACAGATACAACGCGTACGAGTACTACGAGCGCAACCCTGAACTTCGTCAGTGCGTGGAGCAGATCCGCAGCGGGTTCTTCTCGCCCGGCGAGCCCGGCAAGTTCGCGCACCTGGCCGACGTGCTGCTGCAGCACGACCGCTTCCTGCACCTGGCCGACTACGACGCCTACATGGAGGCGCAGCAGAAGGTCTCCGACGTCTACCAGGTACTGTATGGCCGGTGAGGATTGACTTGCACTGGAGGGAAGTCGATCCTTCGACGCTTACTTACGCGTAGCGTCTTTCGAACGCCTAAGCGGTGTCGCACCAACGCCAGCGCGCGCTGATCTATAAATATTGGCGTCGCGGCGATGATGAGCCAGCGCCGCGCCCTAAACTAGCGTCTTTAGAGCGACGGCGACGTTTGAAAGACGCTAGTGTGGGTGGTCTTTTGTTCTTCTCATTATTTTCGTTGCGGATCCAATGTGCAGTGTAAGACAAACTTGACCTTCATAGGTTGGATTTTTATTATCGGTCGAGCTGTAGATCCTGGCTCCACAGGAGTTGCAGCGGTTTGAACGAGAGGTGAGAAGAGTCTCGTACCAGGTACTGTGATGCTAAGAGCCCAGATCTTCGTCAATGCGTGGAGCAGATCCGCAGCGGGTTCTTCTCGCCCGGCGAGCCCGGCAAGTTCGCGCACCTGGCCGACGTGCTGCTGCAGCACGACCGCTTCCTGCACCTGGCCGACTACGACGCCTACATGGAGGCGCAGCAGAAGGTCTCCGACGTCTACCAGGTACTGTATAGATGACCTACACTGAACTGTCCCACAAAACTCACTGACAGGGAGGCGCCACCATCGTTCAACTACATAGTTTCCAACATGGCAAAAATCGGAACCAGCGATCTGGTATTGACGGTGACGCCCCCCTGTCAATGTCACTGATGGGACGGTTCGTTGTAGTTAGACAATATGTCCAGTGAGGATTGGCTTGGCACTGGGGAAGTCGATCCTCCATGGACCCCTCACCACGTAGCGCCGCGTTGACCTGGCCGACTACGACGCCTACATGGAGGCGCAGCAGAAGGTCTCCGACGTCTACCAGGTACTGTATGTCCAGCAAGGATCAGCTTTGAGCTGAATGGAAGGTGATCCTTCATGGACCCCTAGCGTCTATCGAACGCCTAAGCAGCGTCGCACCAACGCCAGCGCGCGCTGATCTATAAATATTGGCGTCGCGGCGATGATGAGCCAGCGCCGCGCCCTAAACTAGCGTCTTTAGAGCGACGGCGACGTTTGAAAGACGCTAGTGTGGGTGGTCCTTTGTTTTTCTCATTATTTTCGTTGCGGATCCAATGTGCAGTGTAAGATAAACTTGACCTTCATAGGTTGGATTTTTATTAGCGGTCGAGCTGTAGATCCTGGCTCCACAGGAGTTGCAGCGGTTTGAACGAGAGGTGAGAAGAGTCTCGTACCAGGTACTGTGATGCTAAGAGCCCAGATCTTCGTCAGTGCGTGGAGCAGATCCGCAGCGGGTTCTTCTCGCCCGGCGAGCCCGGCAAGTTCGCGCACCTGGCCGACGTGCTGCTGCAGCACGACCGCTTCCTGCACCTGGCCGACTACGACGCCTACATGGAGGCGCAGCAGAAGGTCTCCGACGTCTACCAGGTAATGTACATCCAATGGGTTTGCTGGAGGGAAGTCGATCCTTCATGGACCCCTCACCACGTGCGATGAGTGGGTGCCTCGCGACTGTGCGATGGGCGCCCGCAGTGAGTGTGCGAGCGCGACAGCCACATAATTACGCGCGAGTGATAAGGATGGGTAGCTTGGGGTCATTGGACAAAATTCTACGTGCTCACGGACCAGGCTTTAGATGACCTACACTAAACTGTCCCACAAAACTCACTGACAGGGAGGCGCCACCATCGTTCAACTACATAGTTTCCAACATGGCAAAAATCGGAATCAGCTATCTGGTATTGACGGTGGCACCCCCCTGTCAATGTCACTGATGGGACAGTTCGTTGTAGTTGGACAATATGTCCAGTGAGGATTGGCTTGGTACTGGGGAAGTCGATCCTCCATGGACCCCGCACCACGTAGCGCCGCGTCGACCTGGCCGACTACGACGCCTACATGGAGGCGCAGCAGAAGGTCTCCGACGTCTACCAGGTACTGTATGTCCAGGGAGCATCGGCTTGCACTGGAGGAAGTCGATCCTCCATGGACCCCTCACCACGTAGCGCCGCGTCGACCTGGCCGACTACGACGCCTACATGGAGGCATAGCAGAAGGTCTCCGACGTCTACCAGATGCTGTTCATTTAATGGGTTTGCTGGAGGGAATTCGATCCTTCATGGACCCCCCACGTTAGCGTCTCGTAGAGAATCGTCATGTTGCTAGCGTTTACTAAATAACGCATCGCGGCGACGACAGACCTGCCTCCTGCATACAGTGTGCAGCAGGTCACTAAACTCTGCTAGGCCAATTTTCATTCAAAAGACAATAACACTTAGGATATGTTCTGATATAACACGGCGAGTACTGGTCAAATGTCCCACACCGACCATTGAAAACACTGAGCAGTGATCGCAGTGCTGTAACGGATCATACCCGTAGTGATCGGTGCTNGCCTACATGGAGGCATAGCAGGTCTCCGACGTCTACCAGGTACTGTATGTCCAGGGAGCATCGGCTTGCACTGGAGGAAGTCGATCCTCCATGGACCCCTCACCACGTAGCGCCGCGTCGACCTGGCCGACTACGACGCCTACATGGAGGCATAGCAGAAGGTCTCCGACGTCTACCAGATGCTGTTCATTTAATGGGTTTGCTGGAGGGAATTCGATCCTTCATGGACCCCCCACGTTAGCGTCTTTAGAGAATCGACTTCTTGCTAGCGTTTACACAGCGTCGGCGCGGTGCACCAACTCTTAAAACTAAATAACAAGTCGCGGCGATGATGACCAACCGCCCTAGCAACTTTTATCCTAGGTTCTTCTGATCAATTTTGTTTTAGGTCCAATGACAGTATTATTTTCCTTCGGGACAAACTTGACTTCATTGGTTGCGTTTTATTGGCGGTCAAGCTGTAGATCCAGAGTTGCAGCGATAGGAACGAGAAGTGGGTATAGTCCCGTTACCAGGTTCTATCTGGCGGCTGCATCTCGTGTTGCTACGAGCGCCTAGCAAAGTCGGGTATTTACGAGATCTTTCTAATTTTCTTCCAATTGATTTCGTTCAGTTCGGCTCTTTAGTTGAGATTAACTTTTATTTGATTAGAATGCCAGAACAAGTAGACCTGCCTCCTGCATACAGTGTGCAGCAGGTCACTAAACTCTGCTAGGCCCATTTTCATTCAAAAGACAATGACACTTAGAATATGTTCTGATATAGTACGGCGAGCACTGCTCACTGTCCCACACCGACCTGTGAAAGCACTGAGCAGTGCAAGTGATCGCAGTGCTGTAACGGATCATACCCGTAGTGATCGGTGCTATGTTATGTTTTTAAACCCTTTATTTATGAAACATTATCCCCTAGGATCAAGCGAAGTGGGCCGAGATGGTGATCGAGAACATCGCGTCCTCCGGCAAGTTCTCATCCGACCGCACCATCGCCGAGTACGCGCGCGAGATCTGGGGCATGGAGCCCACGTGGGAGAAGCTCCCCGACCCCCACCAGGTCGCCTAAACTGGCTAGTATTCCGACCTCTATTCCAACACCTTAAAGGATGTTATCCTGTGCAGTATATTCACAATAGGGTAGTTGACACATTAGTCAATTGACTTACTTTTTATGAGCTGCCAAAACGCGATTGGCCACATTTGTATGGAAAACCGAATTGTGACGTCACCAGTTACAGACTATTTGTATGGAAAACCGAACTGTGACGTCACCAGTTACAGACTAACAATTTATCGATCTAAAAACTACTTAGAATCGAATTAACTAGCTCGGTTTTCAGGGATAGATTGAAATGTATTTTTAAAGAAGCGGTGACTTGGAATTGTTGGTTATCAGTGTCAACTACCCAATTAACAACAGTCTAATACCGTTTGAAATTATAAACTAAGATGAAAGTGGTCTATTATAATGGAATTAGTATAAAGAAGATTATTATTAGATATTAAGAGTTTGTCTTCTTCGCTTTAGTAGTTAGATAAATTGTGAACTTATTGGACCGCTTTCTCTGTCGTCAAATGTTCTTCGTTAAGGTCGGAACCTGAGTTAATTGAAAGATTGTATCTGGTAGAAGTGTTGCTTGTTTGTTGCCAACATGTTTGCTTTAACATCAATACCTAACTCAATATTGTTACGATACTATGACCCGTTTTTTATCGCATAAATATTTTGTACTTAAGCACTTATTTACTGCTTATAATGACTCTTCAAAACAATTCCAATGAATGACTGAGATCACTGAGAAAATACACAGAAAGTAACACTTCTATGGAGGAAAAACAATTTGGTTGAATTCCTTCATCACAGAAGATGGGATTTAAGTAAGTATTCGTTAATTTCAAAAAATACTGTTGAGTAGAATATCGAGTATTTAGATGCTTTATTGAAGTTGAGTAAAGTATATTGTGCGTTGATTGTGTACGTTATTCTATTAATGTTAACACTTTGAGATTATGTATGTTGATTATAACTTATAGGTGCTTGTTATTTATTTATTTATTTTGTGCCCTTTTCCACTCTAATCTATCTTTAGTATTGCAACTATTTCTTGATGTCGTTGTACTAAAGTATAAATACTTTATTAATAAATAATAGTAGTGTACTAATTTGCTACACGTTTAATCTACTTACGATAATGCATAATATAGTCATTGAGGCGTTGTACACCCGCGAAATTAACATCAATAACACAATTTATTTTAATTTTTAACGAAGTATTTCTAATATTTATGTAATACTTTCTACAAAACGGTGTATTATTTATTTTTTATACATATTTTAAACGGATACTGAGATATAACATAGATTTATTTATGTGTATTTAATAAAATTATATTACCTACTTACCTGTTTTTATAAAAGTCAAGCCTATTTACACAAATAAAGTATGCTTAAAATTGACAGCTATTATTGTTTTAGTGAGTAGCTTTTAGTTAAAAATACACATTTGTTCCTGTAGATTGGATGTTAGGGGTATTATATTGAATAGTCAGTAAGAAAAGAAATGAATTTGTTTTTGTGCCATATTTACCCTCTGATGGTGTATGTAAACTTTTTCTGGCGGACTAATGTCTGCCAGTTAGGTTAAACCAATCGCCATTTTGTTAAAGAAAAAAATATGGAAATAGAAAAAGATTTTATAACTGTTTAATTTTTCTATATGATTGATTATATTTAGTTTTTCTTACTAAATACTGCCATAAAATTGTTATATCATTTACTATCTTCTACATTATTTTTTAAAATAAACCGTGTACTCTGATATCGTTTTTCAATTATTACTTGTTAAGTTTTCTTCACCATTAAAATGTAAAAAATAATATTTTAGATTTATAATAATTACAATGAAATGAAAATCAACGACGATACAAAGATATAAAAGAGATATAAAAAAATATTCAGTCCGAATTGATAAAAACACTAACAATCAACAATACGACTGATTTCAAACTTCCAATACTGCGTTTTTATAGCAAAAGTATCGCTGCTCTGCGACTAGCAAAATCTTTGTTAGGATACAATTAAGGGGCTCAATAGAGCTCTAATGCTTAGAATTCAAGTGCACGAAGACAATTTCCTGCGCGCGCAATCTGCGGGTCCTGTTTGGTACTCGGTGATATTCGTACAGGACGAATACGAATCCTTCTACGGGGTTTAGTGAAGAGCACAGCACGATACGTCTATCCTTTTTGCTGCTCGGATGTCATCGGCCGTTCATATCACGGCTATAGTATTACTCACTCCGCGTCTGCACCCCGGACGAGTCGGTCGCCGCCGCTCGTCTTTTCGCGTGTGTTGTGGTTTTAAGTGTGCCTAGTGGAAGCTGCGCTGAACCAACACTCCTCTCTACGCAGGTAAATACAAATCAGACCCTTCTTAATCCGTCCCATTATACTTTTGTGTCAAAAACATTTTCGCAAACTAACGCCGGCTGAGCGAATGCGCGACCACGATCGATAGCGATGTTGTCTTTCGGAGTGCGGGGTCCTTTGGGTATTTCTACACATTAAAAGCTCTTTCCTGAAAAAAAGGCTTCCTACTCGCGGAAGTTATGAAACTTAATTGATGTTTTATTTTATAGGTACACAAAAGATAAAAAAGTGAAGAAACACAATCGGTAGAGTTGTGCTGCACATGTATGCGATGTAGAGCGCCCGTAATCAGATTTAATGCACATGTTAAAACAGATAACTATAATAATTGAAGGTGAATTGCGATTATGATAATGTCACGTCCATTCAACAATTCTCAGTGTCAGTTGTTAGAGAACGGCCATAATATAAACGCCGGTGGGTGGAGGATATTAGGAAACTGCGGCCGGTCGGATTTCTCAATTTATTGATCTTATACAATTTTACATCTCACGTTTTCGAAAGAATAAACATTGTATGTAGGTAGTTCTTTAATGAAAAAATATAAATTACACTAAATAATGAAGAATTCACATTAGCGCAATAATAAATAAAAAATATTAAATTGTTAGCTTGAGAGCCAATAGATTAGATACCATCTTCGAAAGTAATTTCAGATACAAAAAATACACTTGGACGTGATTTCTTCACTTCAATTGCACCTGCGTACATCCATGTAGAGTCGGACACTAACGTACTTTTAATGGCAAGTATCATTTGAATTAGTTATTACTACCTTCAAAGAAATAAAGATGATGTATTCCAAGATCGTAGAGTTTGAATATCATTAAACTTTTTTAGAAATAATTTCATCTAAATTCAATAGTAAATTACTTTCACTAATAATCTTTCTTAAATCCTTATAAAAAATGTCAGAATAGAACTTCAACGCTTTTAGACCCACATGTAGCGCTCTACACAGCTTTCGCTACATTATAATGGTAGTAGCGTAGAGCAAGGCTAGGTTACCTAGCTACGGATACGAAAGATATTATTATAGACCTATCTATGCAAAGTAAACCGGAATGCTTGGAAATTAACTTAATAACAAGTCACATTCTATTAATAAATGTTGACATTATGGGACACGTGATTGATGTAGTAGCTACAAGGCACATCTAGACCAATTTTAGATTAACAGAAGTTTTCTATGTTTTCGTAGTTAGTGTAGCTGCGTCGTAAAGGGCGTTTGTAGGGCCATTAATTTTAGGCACCGAGGGCTGTGCCCCGACTCCGGCCCTCGAGCTCATCGACCTTTCCCCATTTACCTATTGCACGCTCAGCAGGGGTGACAAGTCATATAGAACTGCCCTACTTACAGTATTGTGGCGCATTTTATGAATAACTAGCTGACCCCGCGAACTTTGTTCCGCCTTAATGACAATAAATAAACAGACTTTTTTTTTAATTTCGAACGGGATAAAAAGTATCCTATGTCCTTCTCCTGGCTCTAAACTACCTCCCTGACAATTTTCAGCTAAATCGGTTCAGCCGTTCTTGAGTTATAAGTGGTGTAACTAACACGACTTTCTTTTATATACAGTGTGTCCGGGCATGTAGTGATCAANTTAATTCGGTAATTTATCTATGATTAGACTGCCACTAAATTTGGTGCTTTACCACCCTCATAAATTCATAATACAGTTGAAAGCCCAGCCCCTGGTGCTATCAGAGCACTTGTCTATGATTGGAAAGCCACTTAATTTTGTTCCTTACCACCCTCACAATACAGGTGAAAGGCCAGCCCCTGGTGCCATCAGAGCACTTGTCTGTGATTGGAAAGCCACTTAATTTTTAATCTTACCACCCTCACAATACAGGTGAAAGGCCAGCCCCTGGTGCCATCAGAGCACTTTTCAGTGATTGGAAAGCCACTTAATTTTGTTCCTTATCACCCTCACAATACAGGTGAAAGGCCAGCCCCTGGTGCCATCAGAGCACTTGCCTGTGATTGGAAAGCCATTTAATTTTGAATCTTACCACCCTCACAATACAGGTGAAAGGCCAGCCCCTGGTGCCATCAGAGCACTTTTCAGTGATTGGAAAGCCACTTAATTTTGTTCCTTATCACCCTCACAATACAGGTGAAAGGCCAGCCCCTGGTGCCGTCAGAACGTGTCCGCCAGCTGCCCGAGGGCTCGCTGCAGATCGCAGGCGTCGCGCGCGAGGACGCCGGCGAGTACTCCTGCCACGTCGACAACCAGTTCGGAACAGACACCGTCACGCACACGCTCTCTGTTCTTGGTAAGTGATTGTAATCTTTGTTATAGGGCCACAGAGGTAATTTTGGCTTGACTTGACCCCCAAAACTCCGATATCGTCATCAATCATCATTTGTTTACGATACAGATTTGGTTTGAAGCCTCTAGTGCACTACTAGGTGTGAGTAACGCTCCTGGTAGTAGTCAAATACCATATATGCACGTAGCAGAATCTAGTTTTCCTATTAAATGAGACTTGTCAAATTTTATTTACAACTGGGTAAATTCTTATGTTAATGGAGCTGTATGGTCGGAAATATGTTTTTGTTACATCCAAACAAACCCCAGCGAAACTTCAAATGTACTGCAGACATGTATAATGCTGTGACATGTCCGTTACATCACTTGTCACCCCTCCCACGACGTTCCATTATCGCAGAAACCGTCTTAGTTCAATAATGTCACCTCGGAAATCGCAGAAAGCAGTCGTAATAAATGTTTTACTTGCCTTCCCACAGCGCCGCCCTTCCCTCCCCAGCTGACCGTTGCCTCTTCCTCCGTGTCGTCGCTGACCATCCGCCTGAAGCCCTCGGAGCAGCCCGAGCAGTCGCCCGCCGCCGGCTACACCATCCACTACAAGCAGGAGTTCGGAGACTGGGAGACTGTTCAGGTAATATCTTGAAATTGGTATTCTATTTACTGTATTCTTAGCAGACTTCGATCTACTGGGATCTTTTGTGTATCCCAATGACAATTTAACTTTCCCCCGGGACAAACTTGACCTTCACTTATTGGGTTTTTATTGGCGGTAGATCCTGGCTATACCAGGCCTGTTCATCTCCGCGAGTTTACATCGAAAACAAAACACACACGATGGCCCACCTACAGGATACTATTCGACAAGGCCTCGACCTCACATACGAGCGAACATTGACTCACGCACGCGTATTCTTGTGTATGATGGAAGAAAATAAAGAAAATGGTGTACTAAATACTGTGCAGTATTTAACTGCCTAAATAATAATAAAAACACAGAATGTACTTTTTTAAGTTGCCTCAAGACACTGAGAGGTAAATAAGTAGTTAATATTATTCATGATAATTCATGCTAAATCATGTATTTCCTTCGCCATTTTCCGCAGTTTGGCACCTCATGTCACATCATTTTACCGAAGTCAGCCCTATAGCTTCGGCGCAGTGCCGATCACTGACGTTTGTCAACAAAATGGTGCTTGACTCTTGAGACAGGCTAAATTGCACCATATTGTTAATGACATGAGCATACATTTTTTTAAATACCTTCGCGAAGTAAAACTTCTGTAACTTCTTTTTCAGTTATTTGCCAACACAAGAAAAACCAGGTCGTTAAGGTATGTTTTATTTGCATTGTATTATTAGTATTTGAGTTGTTCTACAAAACGAATGTAAATTTATTAGTCTACGTCTATTAGTTTCGACGTAATTGTTGAACAAAGATACCCCTTCCCAGCGGTTTCCATAGTAATCGGAATAGGTTGTGTGATTCTTTCAGGCAGTGCATTTTCGCATGTCGCGTGCGCTATGGAAACCGCTAGGAAGGGGTATCTTTGTTCAACAATTACGTCAAAACTAATAGACGTAGACTAATAAATTTACATTCGTTTTGTAGAACAACTCAAATACTAATAATACAATGCAAATAAAACATACCTTAACGACCTGGTTTTTCTTGTGTTGGAAAATAACTGAAAAAGAAGTGAAAAAAGTCATGTTTTTTTCTAATTAAATTCATTCTTACTCCCTTAAAATGTACGAAACTTGTATCTGTTTTCTACTTCTACTAATAGATAATTTTATTGGCTATCGCATGATATAAAATTTTTGCTTATTAGTGTTAAGCTACCCACGCTATCACTTGTTTTTGAAGGAAGAGGTGAAAACTTAAAATTCAAAACTTAAATCCTTGTAATTTTGCGAGAAATGGGTCAAGCCCCAAATTTGAAGTATTTTCATCGATAAAATTGTCCATAGATTATGCCCTTAAAGTTTGATCACTACAAGCCCGGACACACTGTATATAGATGAATTAAAATTACTCGTGATGAATGGACTGCTCGTTTTGCGTAGGTATACTTATAAGGAATACATTGTTGTTGTAGTAAATACAATTCTTTGTTTGCGAATCCATTGATCGACCATCATTATTTAGCAATTTTTGAAGGATATCATTAGATTTTTGGTAGAGTGAGGATACAAAAGTATCTTAATAAATGCGTAAGGTATACATTGGTACCCTGCCTATTGTGACTTCCTAAACGAAATTGTTCCATTCAATGCTTTTTAACGGACGAATTCGTACGTCCGCGACAGGTGCAAAACGTTCAAAAGCAGTCCGGGGAGTTTGAGCAACTCCGCCCACAGGTACAAGGACGACCCTTTTTTGTAATTTTACAAGTTCGGATTTCTTACTTGGATTTGCCATATGGTGCTTATATCAATATTCAAAATATGACACTTAACTGTAAATATTCTTTGAGAGCTCTCTCCTTTTTACCTGTAATTTGATTACCAAAGGTGACTTACCTATTAAGAAGCCCCACTCTCTCTTTACTGTACTGTACTCTTTTATCGTTGCTCTACCTATCATAACGCCCATCGAATACGACTATTTCAGTACAACACTACCTTTGTAGTAGTATATTTTTAGCTTCTACCTTTAAGAAAAACATTTCTGCTCGACGTCGTAACCTTCGACATGTCGCATGTCTCAGTAGATGTGGGTGTCCAAGACAGCTTCCTGCGTATTAGGGGGATGGGGGGGCCTGACTTCGGATGAACGGAATTCGCCCGTCTGAACCGGGAGCGGGGGGAACCTCCCAGACGGCCGGGTGCTCGTCGATAGCATATACTACGAGTATATACTCTAGTACATACATAGCTGAAGTACGCAGAACGCCGCCCGTTAAGAATTGAAGATTGCATGATATAGCTATCTCTGCAGAGCTAAGGCCGTGATTGTCGGATGTGGGCACTTACAGCAATAGATCTCGTGTTGTGCGATGCATCGTCTAAAGAGAACTTCGATCGGGACCAACCAGAACAATATTCTAACTCATTTGTACCTCTTTTGTTCATTTACTTTAGTGCACATAAGGCGGGGTTACTCCCTTACGCCCTTTCCGTATTCTCAAAGCTCTCGGTAGCTATCCCTCATCTAGCATCCCTTCATGAGTGATTGAGTGATTCATAAATATGAAATAGCGATAGAGAGTAGTCCAGCAGATTATTATCCGATGAATCGGATGAACGAATTTTCTATTTTAATAATCTCCGTGATTAATCGCAAGTAGAGCTGTGCAAGTCTCACAACGAAACTTGCAGACGCATTGATTTATTTGACGCGCAAGATTTCCATTTCAACATTCTACATTCGGCTAACATAAACGAGCACTCTTGTGAAACCCAAACATGAACGCGTGGCCATTTCTGGATAATGGCGCCAGAAATAACCTTCCGTCGCTCATGCCGGTACTGTGTCCGTACTCCGCGGTATCATAGCGGCCGCAATCTAGAATACATGCATGTGTCGCACTCGCATGCCATCACCTTGATACAAATAGGCAGGTAGATCCGATAACGAGTACCAGCATAACATAAACTAGTAGAAATCTATAAATAAAGCTCTTCTGTGGTTGCGCAAATTTACACAACTCACAAGCAACTCGTACACCAAGTTATTTATTACAGCTCTGATCTCCATCAAATGTAGAGTCGTTTATCACTTAAAAAAGGTAAGTGCTCTTTTTTATTTTTAACCAACGCAAATCATACACGTTATCCTGCGCCATCTATGCAAGGTTTCTAATTTATTCGATCTCTTGCCAGACAACTTTAAAACAAGCTTTAATCGGACGCGGTGGCCTTAACGCATTTGATGTTTGGCGTTAAATGTATCTTACTGATTGGTTAGATGATGTCACTATCATTTGCTTAGCGGTAGATTGTCAAATGTTACACAGTCAGTAGGTACGGAAACATTCAACATATTCCAGTCGTTTTTGCAATTTTTAAGTATATTTCATTATCTACTCTACTAGACCTGTTTATAAAAACATGTAACATTTTTAATGCGCATTTACTGCAGCTACGGGCAGAAACTTACTGATAACATTAAACATTTCTTAAAATTACGAGCTATTTGCCTTCCTAGTATATGAAGGTGTTTATCTTAAATATTATTATGCGCTTGTTTTATATAACATAAAGATAATTATAATTAAATCAAAACATGTAATAAACAGAACTTCGTGTCTAATCTCATTTCTGCTAAACCAATATAACATTGAAATTGATTAAAGAGTCCCCCATTTTTAACGTGCGGTAGGGCTAAACTAACATTGTTGGTACACTCATAATGAAAGGAGAGGATCGCCCCCTACAATAACGAATATTACACAGTAGATATATGAGCTTTGTATGAAGCTTCCGTACTGTTTGATTTATCTACTGTGAATATTACATCTGCGCATGAAAGGTATTGTCACGAGCCATATGGATTTCCCTCTTCCGTTACACAGTTTATGTAACAAAACTAAGTGATTAAGTACAACACTTACTACTGATTACTGATTATCTCTACAAAAGGCTCGGTAACGTTGCTTTAGAATTCGTGACGGTAGATGTGCATTAACCAAAACAAGGGAGTTCCTTGCGTGACGACGGTGTACACTTCCGCCCCGGACTGGTGGCGGTAAATGGAGTTGTTTAATAAAAAAATTAGTTGTTTGTAGTGCATTGTTCTTTGAACATTTTAATGCCTTCATTCCTTAAAGACAATTGAAAAAAAAAGAAAAATATGAACGTGCTCTGCTTTACCCTTGATCAACCACAATCTCGCCTAAAGCCTAAAGGCTGCGATGTGATCTATAAATAGAAAGCTCCACAGAAAAGCTTATTGTCTTTATTTTTGTATTCGCTCCGGGCTTACAGACTTTTTGGCTTGTATGAATTTGAGAACAGTCTTGAAAAAAGAATTGTTCAATATCTACAATCCTCTTTTACACGACACGTATTTTCTGACTTTGTATGTTCATTACATGAAGTACTACATTTACTTTTCTTTGTTGCAGATCCGGCTGAGTCCGGCCGCATAGCGGCCCTTTGGATTTTGTTTTTTGTTTGTGAGACAAGTGATCAGTGAAGTGTTAAGTGACAAAGTTAACATGGCGTGTATCCCCCTATTTGCCCTCGTGGCACTGATCGCATTGGGTAAGCAAAAATTTGTCTATTTTTAGATTTAGTTTCAATTTTATAATGCTCTTTTAATAGATTTCGATGATAATCTTAATTGTAACAAAACTACATAGTACGAATATTGAATTACTTGACCTGTAATCGAATTTTCCTTCAATACGAGAGCTAATGAAGTCTCTCCTTAAAATTAGGGAAAGTCTAGAACTCTTAGACAATGTCATGAGTTAATTGAGTCTCCACCACGTTATAGTTTAAGTTAAACATGATATAATAAGTAGGATACTACCCACATTCTAAGAATACAATATCATGTCGATTAACGGCAAATGTAGAGCCACTAGCAAGTTTAATATAGGAGAAATCATTTAAAATTCAAGATTAATTTCGTTATACGGGGAGGTCATAGTTACTAAAAGCCAGTTACTACACCAAATTCATAGAATAGTGCGAACAAGGCTTTAGAGCCGTAGAGCGTCTAGCCAGTAGCTTCTGCTATGGCGGGGAGGTCGCTTGTAGCGTGTCTAGCTACTAGTGCTAGCCAGCGAATAAACACCAGACCGTTGGCCTGGCGCCTGAAGGTCGCGGCCGTGAATGTCTTCGAACTAAAGTTCATGAACTTTACATACGGCAATGTACTAGAAAACCTACGAACGTTTATATTACGAATCAATAAATTTATTTTGATGTTCAAGGAGTATTCGAATTATTTGCTTCTTTAAAATTATGATGGCGAGAAACCACATAAAATAATGAATTTCTCTAAAAAAACAAAATTAAATAAACATGAAAAATATCTGTATTTTCTTTTAACGTAGAGTCAAATAACCATCCTACTGAAATACGAATACGGTTCGATTCAGCCAATTACAAGCTAAAGGCCTAAATTGGTGGAGTTTTATTTCCGAAGTCTATGTTTAACTCAGCCACAACTTACCCGTTGCCGTATTAGTCATATTTTATTAGTAACGTTTTTATGATGAATCATTCTAATCTCTTTGAAGTGACCTTAGACGAGGGAAATAAATTGCGGCATTCATACAATTTACTTATTGCAGCTGTCTCAAAAAATTCTTAACTTTAATTTAGAACTTAAAAGCTTTATTTATGAGTGCAAGTAGTCCTTCCTATAATTTGCCTTCACTTTGTACCTACCTCTTGTTTTACCTCAATGCAGTACATAATAGATAACATTAGAGACAAAACAACAGTTCTTTGAAGAATTTTTAGAATGCGCGTGCGCTGCTCGGTGCCCTCTTTAAGCGACAAAATTCCAGCGCTTGCAACATCTTTACAAACAAGCGGAGACATCGTTGGATACCATTATCATCACGCAAAACGGCTTATGGTGTAAAGAATTTCATAAATGTCCATAGTCCACACAAATATTGTACTTGAAAAACTCGCAGCGGTAACCTGTCAGTTACGGCTAGAGCTTTACGGAGCTTATCATTTTCTTTTAACGATATAATCTTAATAGCTCTCTCATTACCCATTTTATTTAATATTTTTTAAATTTTATTTATATTTAAATCAAGAAAGGTCTATTTTTATCGCTACAACAAAAAAACTAAACTTTTTCATGCACATAGTCACCGCCGCCATGCCTTTGGCTCTACAAAATGTGGTTTAAATGGCCAATAAACTTACAAAACAGTACACTGAATACTTGAATAGTGTGATGGTAATGCATTTGGAATTACCTGACTGAATATGCATGAATGTTTAACCTACTCAATGAAGAAACATGCGGCCCATTCAAAGCATTTTAACTTTTGTAGACAGCTCTAACTGTGCTGTATAGCATTTTAAATGTAGTACGGGATAGAATAGTTATTTTTTTGCAGGTAACTGTAGATTTTGGCTTACTCGTAGAATTAATTCTGCTTTTAATCTCTACTTCACCAGACTGTGATAAGATAGAGCTAGAAGTTACAAGTTATAAAAACTTTTTTAACGTACTTACCCGGCAATCTTTCCCAGTTAGTGGTTAGTTACAGTAGCCGTTACATTATGCTATGTACGTGTGATCAAGATCACACCCGTGTGGGGCAACACAGATAAGGATAGTTTAAGATTACACGAAATTCAGCGTCGGTAGAGACAGGAGCAGCGGGTGAACGACCGCAACTTTTATGGCCGTGTATAAAATTCTCACCAAACCCTCTGCGTGCTAATTGAATGATTCCATATGGCCAATATGTAAGTATGGTATTCGCATGTTTGTTCTACATAATTTTATGTGGCCTGAGTTCGCGCGAACCATTCTGCATCTCGCAGACAAAATGTTAGAGTTGTTATAAAACACTGAGCTTCCTTAGGTTAGGTTTGGTTTTTGCCTAATTTGTAATGTCATAGAGTTTTCTTCAGACTACGTTTCCACTGAGTCGGGGGGAGCCTGAGCAGTGTTTTCATTTGCACATTTCATACGCTGCTTCCGCCGGAAATACGTTGCGTTACGTGAAATCTATGAAAAACCCACTCCGCTCCGACAAGCTCCGCATCAGCTCAGTGGATTAACAGCCAGTAAATTGAAATTAATGTTAGCCAAGCTAAATTGAGATTCGCCTTGCCTGTAACCGTAGACAAACAGCGATTAAAAGCGCATAGCGTGATAATTGCATTATTACGTTTAATTTATACACCGCCACTTATTCAACAGTTGTACTGGTGTTTGTATCCCAACTAATATTATAAATGCGAAAGTAACTCTGTCTGTCTGTCTGTCTGTCTGTCTGTTACGCTTTCCCGCTTAAACCTCGCAACCGATTTTGATGAAATTTGGCATAGAGATAGTTTGAGTCCCGGGAAAGAACATAGGATAGTTTTTATCCCGGTTTTTGAAACAGGGACGCGCGCGATAAAGTTTTTCTGTGACAGACAAAATTCCACGCGGGCGAAGCCGCGGGCGGAAAGCTAGTAGTTTTATAAGGGTTTGATATTTATTGTGTTCTAAATAAGGAATCAGATCTAAACATGGCGTCACTGCGCGCCGTTCGTTTTTTTAAATCTCCACGTGCGTCTTACTACTTTGGAATTTCAAGACGGATGGCTCCCGGTTGAGTCCGTTAAAAATTAGTCAACTTTTGTAATGTGACGTGAATTTTGAATGTCTTATTCATTGTGTGTATTTTGGTCACAAAGCTTTAGTATCCATCGCGTTTTTTATTACCTGTTCCTGAAATTATGGAGTTCTCTACATACTCGTAGGTAATTTATAAATATTTTTGTTTATTCTTACGGTTATGTAGACACTTAAGTATTTGTAATTACTGGTTACCTGTCTACTAAAATGGCATGAAGTTTTGGCTCATTGCCGTATGAATAATTAATACTACTACATTCTAGCACACTTACATAACATAATTTTTAGATCCTGGATATATTTTCAATCTTTAAAATAGGTAAGTACAGTACATGGTTTTTTTACAAAAAGTTAGTGAGAAGCTTTAAACCGTAACACACTGTGGAAATATTAAGCAGGTTCTCAACCGTGAAAATATGATAATAAATAAGCTCTTAATTACCGACGGACCGTACCTACGTTCTTTGTTATTTAGACCGGTTATAATTAAGACTTTGTTTTCATTGCCGTAGAGACAAGCCTACAGCTAAACAACTTCCATTCAATTCTATTGTGTTTAATCAGCTCTTAATTGTTGAATGATGTAATCCGAAAACGTATCATATTGATAGTAGTATAGTAGTTATTTACCTAATCCTATGGTGATGAATAAGCTTCTAAAAAGCTTTCTTAACACTAACATAAAATGGCTGATCCGATGAATAGAGTGGGCGGAGAAACCACTAAAGTAAACAAAGGAACAAAAAGCGGTTCGCTAGAGGGTAAATTAATTATCTAGTTGTTTACATAGGTACTAGTCAAAATCTTTGGATGTGGATAAGATTGTTTGTATTTTTAATTAATATTAAAATAACACTGTTCATCACTTCACCAGCAGAATCATAGATGAACCAACGCCCATTTAAATTAGAATGGAGTCCAGTAAATAGGTCGGCTCGCCGGCTTCGACTAGCAGACAATCACCCGGCGGAATATGCATTCGCGCATCAATAAGATTATTTGTAAATTAACTCATTAACAATCACATGTTATAAACTCTATTGTGGATAGTGAACCATGTTGGAGAAAACGCGCACTTCGATTGTTAACTACTTAGGTAGAGCATTTTAATGTTTGTAGACTATAGGCATAATATTATGAGTCCTCCGCACATTCTGCAGTCAATGTTGTCTCTATTCGCTGTTAAACTTGTGCCTTTTACCGTTTCGGCATAAACAAATGTAATGTTAGTAAGGCGTACCTACGTAGAGATTTTTTTTTTTTTTTTTTTATTAGTGCTACTGAAATGCACTTGCAACTGGTGCTAACGGTTTACTCCAATTGCAATGCGGTGTTTTAAATGGAGATTTTGTGGGTGTTCATACTGTTCATTTATTAAAATCTTTCAGGCTGTTTACTATATAGGTTATGTATATTTTAAAGCTATTGGTAGTTTCTTCTTTTTTGGTTATATCTATTAGATTGTAGGGATTTACGTTAAGCAAGCGAGAAGTGGTTTCATGGATGTGGCGTTGTGTGACGAATCTAGGGCATTGTGTAATTTAATCAGTACCTACGAGTACACAGGTTTTATTTATAGAGTTCCCCAACCCAGTCACTTATTGATTTGTTAAGGTATTATCATCCCTACTATAATAGTTTTGTTATCCGATGTGATTGATAGTAAAAGCAGTAATGGAGACAGTGACAACTTTAAAATTTTGAATACTGAAAAATTTTCAATTGCACGTCTGAAAACGTGTGATTGAAAATTTGTTGTTTTGAAACCAATCTTGATTTTAATGATCGCATCAAAAAATCGCACTCACACGACCTATATTCTAGTCTTTAATTGCAATAAATCAGTAGTAAGTAATTTAGTAGAATGTCAACAAAAATGAAAATTGTTCGTGATAATGATAACACAGTAGAATGCCGTTTGTCGATGATATCACGCGTGTTTCTTATCTCATTATGTACAGGTTACGCGATAGTATATCTATTGCTAACTTGTAGTTTATTTTTGTTTACTTTATCGACATATCAATACGTGTGAAATGATGCAGAAAGTAGTTTAGGGTTGCTACTAGTTTTTACATTGTTTTTGTGTCCCAGTAATCTATTTATCTATGTATTTGAAGGTAGTTTTTAGCGTTTTCTTAAAATTATACAATCAGTCCTATTTGTTCCCTGTTAGCTTTAGCTCCTCCTCAACAGATTTTATGCTCAAAGCTACATGGATGTCTGAAGGTAGAGTTAAAATGTTTTTCTTGTGCCGCGGTTTCAAGACAACATAAAATTGATTTTTGATTTGATTTCCTGATTGGTACGCTTTTTCTTTCGTGACTTTATCGTATGATAAGAAAATTTGAACAAAAATTGCATTAGGTGCCAAAGAAAGTCAAAAAGGTTGAAATAATTTTGTATACAAAGAAATCAGAAAGGATCCTCGCTCACACCTGACGAGCTGCACTGGAAATCGTTGCAAGTCCGTGATCAATCGTTTACAGTCTACCGCGAACATCTGTCCCGCGCGGCCAATCACGCGCGCCGGCGCACATCTGTCGTCCGCACCACGCACGCCGCCCGCACTTTTTGTTCCTTTGTTGTTATTTTTTTCTGTCTCCTACTTTGAATTGGAATAGAAGAGGGATTATTATTAGCATTCAAGTGAGCTTTTCGAGCTTACCTGAAGTGCTTTCTTAATTTAATATGAATTTATCGCTTTTGTTTTGTGCAATTTCTTTGTTCCATCTTAGACTGCATCTTAATTAATATCAGGTGATTGCTCTACCAACTTCGGTGTCAAATACCTGCCTTGTTCTGCATAAAAAAAAATGTTACCATCCGTTGTGACTAGGCATTTTAATAGTAATTAATTAGTGAGGTATTTCAATAAATAAATGTAAACAGTACAAATACTGAAAATAGAGTTTACATTATATTCTCCTTTCCAATCAGTAATTTCAAAGATAAGCATCTACTTGCAGTTTACGTGGATAACAAACCGGAAATGAAATATAAGATAATTTTTGAAACCCATTAACAGTATTCTTTTTAATGAGACCATTAATTAAGAGTTAACTAGTGGCGTACTCTTCCATTCGTACATCTGTACAGGGCTACAGGGTTGTATGTAGCATGTAAATATGGTACTACCTACAGCTAATGCGTCAAACGCTTTTATTTTCAGTAGAAAACAAAGTCATTTATAGCGTACAAATCGTCATTGACATTATTCAGATATATTTTTCCGAGAAATTAGTAGGAGGAAAACTCTACTAACTGCGGTGTCGGTAGTAGTAAAACTAGCTTGTTAGTGAACGGTTTAATTTAAGACAAAACCGTAGAAGTTCCTCCAATTGTTTATTTTGTCTGCACGATTAACTTCTGATCCCAATTGCCGAAGCACTTGTAATCGTACATCTGGCAACCCTATCAATGTGTGACGGTCGTTAGCCGAGGTCGCGGCTTCCACTCGCCGTGTATTATTTTTCCAGGCTTCATTACAAACTGGGTCGAGTCCCGGCCCGCAAAGGGCGAGCACTTGCTTATGTATGCTCGACTCGTGCTAGACTGCACAAAGCTAGATTTAGGCCTCCATTTTACGAGAGTACAGCATAATCGGCTAAATGAAAATTCGTACAGCCATAACTGCATAAAAATGCGGGCTTTAAGCTATAATAAAACCGCAATATAATTGTTTTCGTATTATAGTATCGGTTGAAATGAAACAATCTGCACGTGACTTGATGAAACCAGCTTCACATGATCAAACTTGAGGGCCTTGAGGCCTTTAGCAAACAATATATAAATATCTGAGAGACTTAAACATTTAAGAACGAACAAAACTACTTTATATTAATACACCTATCGACATCGACAGTAGTACGGTATAATACTACAACTTAAAGGCACGGCGTCAATATTATACGAGTCCACCAATAGAATAGAAACCAAGTTGTATCCAGATCAAGGTCTTAATTGCACCATTTTGTTCGCAGGATCAGTGTCATGCGAGGACGAGACCATAGGCCCGATATTCATGAAGGAACCCCCGAACCGAGTGGACTTCAGCAACACGACCGGAGCTGTGGTGGAGTGCGCAGCGAGAGGATCCCCCGTGCCCGATGTGATCTGGGTGCGATCCGATGGTACTGCGGTTGGCGACGTTCCTGGATTGCGACAGGTCAGTAGAGTTACAAATTTTTCCTCAAATTACCTCCTGAAAATTAGCTATTATTTACATAGTGGTTAACCTGAGTTTCGATCTGGCAAGAATAGTGGGAAGCACTTTGATGCGGACAACATAGGAACGGTTGTTGTGGAAATCTATAGGGAAGACTTTTTTTCCAGCAGTGGACGATATTAGTTTAAAACGAATCAGGTGTCTCGATGTAGAGTCGTTCTTCAGGTGACAATATCTAAGCAAATTAATTAATTATGTCCTGCTTTGGAGGGGGTTTATTAATTGGATAATTTAATAATTATAATTAAAGCATATAGCGGCTGTTTTGTCTGAATAGGCTAATATAGACCACACGATAGCAGAAGGTCCAATAAATAATCAAAGCTACACTTGCACAGTGTTAGCATAAATGATTGTAACTTATCTTTACTAAATTGTTAATATGTTGAAGTAAAGACATATTATGTACTTATTAGTGTTTTAATTTACAAAGTATTAAACACAGACATAGGTTTAATCGCAGACTCTTGCAGACTTTGAACTAATTGGAATTGTCAACACTAGTAATCAGTGTGCGCACCGATAAATTCGTGGATACCTACTAAATTCTGTTTATTCTAGCAAAATAATTAGAATAATAACTTATTAATATTTTAATTAAAAGATTCGAGTTGGTTCTGTGTTTGCTTATTAGGTCACTAATCCCCTCATTAGCTATTACCTTTTTGTCTGTGAATTTTTATGTTAATATACTGGTAACTTTTGTAATTACGCCAATTTGCCTAACAGCAAATTATTATACGATATTTTCATTTAATTAGACTAATTGCATCAGATCCTAGCACGCAAATCGTGAGAAATCCAATATCTTTTTGAGGTATTGTTCATGTTGATGACATAATAATATGGTTTTGCAGGTCTTGCCCAATGGAAACTTGGTATTCCCTCCGTTCCGTGCTGAGGACTACCGGCAAGAGGTCCATGCCCAGGTGTACGCTTGTCTGGCCCGCAACCCCGTTGGTACTATCCATTCGCGAGACGTTAACGTGCGAGCTGGTAAGTCTGACTACCTTTACGAATTATAAATGTACAAGCGTTAAGGTTCAAGTTAGAAGCAGCCAGAGACGCGTCGCTGCGACAGACTCTTTTCTATGTATTTCTATGATATAATTAATATACCTTCAGGCAGAGCAGATACCGTATCGCTAGCAATAGAAGCTATTTCATAGAAATACATGGAAGCCTTCCCAACCCGTATGGCCAACGTGGGAAGGAAGGGAAGTGTACGCCAAATTCTCTATTTACCTCTGGTACACTAGAGGTTCGTGCTCTGGTACAGTACAGTATTGTGGTGGTGGCACGTCGCCTGCGTGTAGTCCGCTTCGAACTTGTACCTTTATAGTAATAACGAGCGTGCGTATGAATTCAATCCAAAGCAACTAGCCCACGTGTATACGCGGGGGCGATAAGCAGCGCAGGCGCAAGTTGAATTACGCAATTTCGTTCTATTATCCCACGTTCANGAGTTTCATGACCCTCGCTGATGATGTATCAGCAGCATTGAGGCAGGTATTCAACTAAATTGAGACCATGAGCTCACTTTTGACTGCCAACAATGTTGAAAACCGTTTGCGTGAAAACAATTTAATTAGTAAACAATTTGGTTCTAGTCCTATCTTTACTTTTATATTACACGCACGCTCGTTATTTTGATAAAATGTGACTTTAAACTAACTTTCCTAATGGAACTATTATCGTAATTAAAAAGAAATGTTCAATATACGAGTAATATGTAGTTACTTGCATATTAAAACTCCGATCTTAATTTTTGTTTTTTAAAGAAGTCATTGTTTTAGATCTCTATATTAGTCCTATAGGAGAAGTTAAAATAATAAGACTAAGTAACCACACACTAACTTGATTAGTTATTACTAATTTTAAGATCACCTAACTAAGGCTGAGTTGCACCAGCTAACTTTGACCGGAACTAAACGATAACTGGCGTTTTTTGTATGAAGTTTGATAGATTTTTGACGTTTGTCAAAGTTAAAGTAAGATGGTGCAACCCAGGCTTAGTATCGTTGACACAATATTTTTCAACCAAATTCGTAAATCACTTAAATCGTCAAGAAAACGTTTTTGAACTTCTAAACAAAGTGAACATAAGTGATACATGGCCCCGTAATTTAATATATTTGAAAGTTCCACTGTAGTAGACCTTCTCAGTCCGTGATATACTCATTACTTACATCTCTTGACTTGTGACCTGCTGTCGTTTGTAACTTGATATCTCACTGTCATGTCGGGATAAGAATTACTTATAGCCTTTCTCATTTATGTACCTCGTGTTACGATGTACCTATGTCTGGTTATTGTTATGCACTGATAGATAACCACAAACCACAATTCACTTGCATGTAGTCACAAGTAAACACAATCTTTGTTAACTCTACAATGTATTTAAAATAACTTTTTTACGGATGCACACCTATTCAACGATTATTAATACTTGATGAAGATGAATCATGGTTAGTTCACGTAACCAAATGAGTCAAGGATACCTAATACTACACCATACTAACAGAATACTTTACACACTGTGTGACCTAGTGTTTTCAAATAATACTGAATGTACATTTCACCGATTTAGCTACGTACGAGTATAGAGATAGTCCACTAAACTCGCATGAATGGCACATTATGATGTTACGGCTCTCGTGAACCTTTGGGCTCGTTTGAACGGTTGATTGCCCATAATAGGGCGCTGCCCTTTACAGCCTTGGGTCAAATAAGGGCAATTAGATAATCAACCAACACTTCTTCACTCAATCGATTCATTCAACAAACTGTAACAAGCGGCGGTCTTTCTTTACAATCATTTTACGATGTGCCTACAACACATTATGAGAATCACTTATTGAATAACGAATTTGGTTGAAAATTAGTTTTTGTGATAATTAAGAACATCAATGTAAAATGTAAGTATAATGTAGAGTCAGATTTCATACTAACGCAGTAGTATTATCAAGTCTGATTCTACATTGACCTGTTGATTGTATGATTTTATACTCGTTATTAATTAATTCTACCTATATTTACGATTAAGTAATACCTTACAGACAAACATGTACCAGACACTATTTTAAAATGTTTCTTTATTATTCTGTAAAGACTGCAGAAAATTTATGGTATATCGTTAATAAACTGTTCATTAATCTATCAGTGGTCGCTCAGCATTACGACACAGATGTCAACAAGGAGTACGTAATAATGGGGAACAGCATCTTGTTGAAATGTCAGGTCCCGTCGTTCGTCGCTGACTTTATCGAAGTGCTCTCTTGGCATACTGATGACAAAGAAGATTTCTTCCCTGGCGACAACTACGGTTAATCCTTTAGGAATTTCAGAAATCTCCATTTCTCCTTCATAAATATGTCCTTTCCCAATGGCTCTACATTCTGTTCAGATCATTTTAACATTCACAGTGGTTCAACAACAGTACGAATCTGAAGTAAACAACGAATACGTAATTCGCGGTAACTCCGCTATCCTCAAATGCTCTATCCCCTCTTTTGTCGCGGATTTTGTTACTGTGGTCTCCTGGCATGATGAAGAAGGCAATTCCTTTGCTCTTGATGGATCCAAAGCAGGAGACGGTATTTACATACGTGCTTCATTTAGAATATTCCCTAAACAATTCCCGACCTAAATTACATTCCTATAAAACTGAAAGCCTTTTCGTCCACATTACAGTTGTTACCCAGTACTATGAAGCAGAAGTTGTATCTGAGTATGTCATTCGCGGGAATACTGCTGTGCTCAAATGTAACATTCCATCGTTTGTCGCCGATTTCGTCAAAGTGGAGGCCTGGGTTGATTCCGATGGAGGGCAATACTTACTCACTGACGACATTGGTATTGATGTAACCAATTTCTTTGAACTCTCCCTCCTGTATTTCCCGTCTTTATCCTTTCATAAAGTATTCATTATCTCATAACATATTATCTTACAGTGGTAAATCAGTTCTATGAAGCCGAAATTCTGAACGAGTATGTAATTAGGGGAAATGCTGCAGTCCTTAAGTGTTCCATTCCTTCATTCGTATCCGACTTTGTAAAAGTAGAAGAATGGATTGATGAAGAAGGCACAGTGATTGGTCAATCCAATAACCTCGGTAACAATGGCTTCGCTAAACAATATGTTTGCCTATGTCCACTTCCCGTATCTAGTCACACTTCATATCCTTACACCTCGAAGTGTCGCCACATCGTTGTCCCTAGCTAAGTACCTATTTATTATTCCTCAGTCGTATCACAGTATTACGTGACCGAAGCCGAAAACGAGTATGTTATTAGAGGGAATGCTGCTATTGTTCGGTGCAAGATTCCATCTTTTGTTAGTGACTTCGTGTACGTAGAAACCTGGATTATGGATGATGGACAAATTCTTACAATTAACAACACACAAATTGCACAGGGTATCTACACTTAAGAATAACTTTCTATAATTTATCATTTCCCTAAATCCCGTTATCCTTTAAACTAACAAGTACCAGCTATTACAATCAACTTTTTTACACCCAGTTGTAGCACAATCTTATGAAGCTGAGGCTGATAACGAGTATGTCATTAGAGGAAATGCAGCAATTATGAAATGTGAAGTGCCCAGTTTCGTATCCGACTTTGTGTTTGTTGAGATGTGGACGGACAGCGATGGCGGCACATACTATCCGGGAAATAACGAGGGTACCCCATTCTAACTAAAATAGTCCTCAATCCTGATATTCCTTACTTTTATTTTATCCAGCGGTACTGCAGGCTTACGAAGCTAGAGTGAATGATGAATTCGTCTTAAGAGGCAACACGGCTATTCTTAAATGTATTGTACCTTCCTTCGTTGCGGACTTCGTCCATGTTGTGGCTTGGATAATGGATAATGAAACTGTTACTGCTCAGGAAAATTCAAATATCGAAGCGGGTATACCTTTAATGTTGTTACATTATGTTATGTTACTAGATACACCCCTTTCCCGTGTCCCCAAATTATTTATTACTTATTATTGTAATAATTTTGCATTAACAGTTGTCCATCAAACTTATGAACCGCGTGTAACCGATGAAGATGTTCTGCGTGGAAATTCGGCTATAGTTAAATGTCTCATCCCATCGTTTGTTGCCGATTACGTGCATGTTGTGGAATGGGTGACGGAGGAAAAGTCCCTGTCTGCGTTTTCGTTGAACCGCTCCGAGGGCAATTACGGTAATCGAGAGCGCCCGCGCGACCTCAATTGTTCCTATCCGCTCTCATCCAAATTCCCAAGTCTGCTTCTAAATCAGTAGTACTAGCTTCAATGTCACATGAAATATTTCAGCGGTCAACCAATTCTACGAGTCGCAGGTTTACGATATATACGTCATCAGAGGAAATGCTGCTGTATTCAAGTGCCATATTCCCTCGTTTGTGTCTGATCATGTTCAAGTTGTCTCTTGGCACGACACCGAAGGCGGAGAGTATTTGATGACCGATAATAATGGTATAAATCGGGTATCGATATGAATCATTGTCCTATCTTTCCTATCCCGTTGTATCTCATGAATATCATAAGATCTTTTTATAGATTAGATGTTTGTATGCTTAAATTTCAGTTGTCTCTCAGGCATACACAGTCAATTTAGTGGAAGAAAATGTATTACGAGGCAATGCTGCTATCCTAAAATGTCTTATTCCAAGTTTTGTCACTGAATATGTCTCGGTTGCTTCATGGATAATTTCCGAAGGAGATGAGGATGGGGAGGAAATTAAATTAGAAAATAGTGTTGATGCAATGGGTAAAATGTAATGTGCTTATGGTCCAATCCTATCCATATTATTTTCCTTGCAAACCTTTTGCAGTTGTCACGCAGGCTTATACGGTCAATCTTATGGAAGAGAGTGTGCTTCGAGGTAATGCTGCCATCCTCAAATGTCATATTTCAACTTTCGTCACGGAATACGTGAGCGTATCGTCTTGGATTGTGTCAGAGGGAGACACTGACGAGTTAGAAATTAAAGCTGAATCAAACAATTTGGGTACCTTTGTGTTCTTAACATTAGTAACGTATGCATAGTCCTTTGCCCTATCCTGTCCTGTCCTTTTTACTCGCTGATAAGGAGTCTTTAGCTCAATTAAATTCTTTATATTTCAGTTGTCTCTCAAGCTTATACAGTTAACTTAATGGAAGAGAATGTTCTTCGTGGCAACTCAGCGATCGTTAAGTGTCATATTCCTAGTTTTGTAACTGAATATGTAACCGTCTCATCCTGGATAATATCTGAAGGGGATGTTGATGAGTTGGAAATAAAATCAGACGAAGCTTTTAATTTGGGTATTCATTTACATATGATTTACTTCCCGAAAAATCCTATCCTCCGAAAAAAATACATTTAGGACAAACAGTTTGATACGAATGGGTTTCAAGTAGATAACTAGTTAGGTATGTGAAAGTGTTATGAAAGTATTCAAGGCATAGTTAAATATTTGTTTCAGTTGTCTCCCAGGCGTACACAGTAAACCTATGGGAAGAAAACGTTTTGCGTGGGAATGCCGCTATCCTGAAATGTCATATTCCAAGTTTCGCTTCTGAGTTTGTCATGGTCACCTCATGGATAATATCCGAGGGAGACGATGATGAAATGGAAATAAATTTAGATTCTAAATTCAATTTAGGTAACGCTCGAACATACCGCCTCGTCTATCCTTCCTGCATTTCCGCCTCATCCCAAAATAAATCAAAGTCCGACGGCATTATTCTTGTTAGACTGCTGGTTTACCGACACATAGTTTCACTAGTTTAAATATTTGTGCTCTTTCATAAACACAGATACTAAGTAATTTTAATTTTGCTTTCAGTCGTATCACAAGCTTACGATGTCAAATTTTGGGAAGAATATGTTTTGCGCGGTAACGCGGCCATTCTTAAATGCCAAATCCCAAGTTTCGTTTCTGAATACGTGTCTGTAAACTCCTGGATAATTTCTGAAGATGAGAATGAACAGGAGATCAAAATAGATGAATCTGTTAACTTAGGTATTTTGTTAAAATTTCACTTCTTCTAACATTTCCTTTCCTGTCCATGTATTCCTTCTTTTTCCAATGTCTGCTAATTCAGAGGTGGCCAGAGATGTATTTGATAGGGACTTCAGGAAAATAACGAGAAACTTTATGTCCTGTTCATTGAGGTCGTCTTGTTTCAGTGGTTTCTCAAGCTTACGCTGTGAATCTAATGGAAGAATACGTTTTGAGAGGCAATGCAGCTATTTTGAAATGTCATATTCCAAGTTTTGTATCCGAATATGTTACGGTCATCTCTTGGATCATCAGCGAAGACAGTGAAGAAGTTGAGATTAAGCTCGATTCCGCAAGTAATGTGGACGGTAGGATCGCATTTCTTTTACCGCGCTTTACCGATATTGGTACAATTCCTTATGTCTAAATTTTAGCATAGGGCGGCAGTATTCTGTTTGGGTTCCCTCCGCTCCATGGGCCTCACGGCCTACCTTATCCTCTATTCCTCCTTCCTTGCATGATTAATTTTATAAGTAACTGGCAACCCTACGTTGTCTTGCAAATGCTTTTGAATAACATTGCTTTTGATTTATTGTAATGAACAACACGTATCTATGTATAACTTATGGTTAATTTTCAGACGGAAAATACTTGGTTTTACCCTCTGGAGAGTTGCATATTAGAGATGTCGGACCCGAGGATGGTTACAAATCGTATCAATGCCGAACCAAGCATAGACTTACTGGCGAAACTCGATTATCCGCTACTAAAGGACGTCTCGTCATCACCGGTAAGTCGATTAGCTTTAGTTACGCGCTACAGCAAAGCAAAAATTCGTCCGCACCTTTTCAATTTGTGATGTTATCTGAAAAATAAACAAAAAAATAGACAACCTATTATTTTAGCTTTGGTATACTAAAAAAATGTTAAGATAAAATAAATAGCATTTTCCACACGGACGAATTTCTACTGCTGTTACAATTTGCCTTTAATCAAAATTATATTTGAAAAAATAAATTAATAGTTTTTTTACATTCATTTTAATACAGCATAGTTTCTTGTCATTTAATACATATTTTTTATGGTCTCATAAATTTGATTATAGGCTTTTTTAAATATTTGCATTTTTATTGATGCAGAAATTATTTGAATAGATTATTAATCTATGTTATAATTTTATACTGGATCAAATCGATCATACATATCTATTAGTCACATAATAATATTAAAATCTTATTGAAATAATTCTGCAAATTATTAAATTAAACTATGCAACTTTTATAATCTCCACAAATAAAAGTTAATTCCTCGTAATATTTGCTTTCTTTTAAGATTTTACTTGTTCGCTTACCTACTGTAGAATTTTATTTTACGTGGAAGATTATAACTGTTGTTGTATTGTCTTTGTGATTATAATTTTCATAACAATTTAAAGTTTATAGATACAACATTATATCTTGTATCTGTAATCTAAATGAGTAACAATACGACTTGCCTGAATGTTGGGATAGGGTACCCTGCAGAGCCTTGACTCGCGTTATGTTACGTACGATTAATGCCCAAGTAGAACACAGAGTAAAGTAGGGGTGTATCTTGCCTTGTCTGCTGCGGAATCCATCCTCGTGATCCCGCCTTCTCCCAACATGCGTAGAGCCAGTGGGCCGGGTGCCTCCCAAGTTTCCTAGTGCGCAGACGACCAGCGGGTTCCAGTTCACGGTGAATACCAGTCTCGCAGTACTATGCTCTGCTCAGGCTTACCCTGCACCCACGCACCGGTAAGGCGACTTTCAATTAACCAATTTTACATAATTCCTTAGAGCCCATAGGGCGCGTACCACCTAAGCTATCGACCTCCCAAGTGGGCATGATGTTTGTAACCACGTTGGATGCCTCTTTCGCGTTGCAATGCCCTGCACGCACAGGCATTCCCCGTCCCCGTATTCAGGTAATTTTGATGTTGTTTATGTAACGATCGAACGCTCATTTTTAGAACCCGTTGGCCGCGTACCTCCCAAATTCGCCACAGTATTAGCTGGTATACAATATGAAGTTATGAAAAACGATTCCCACGCATTGCAGTGCCCTGCCCAAGCATATCCCACTCCAATGTACAGGTAATTAAGAGTATTTTAACATACTCATTATTGCCTTTGTAGAACCAGTAGGAAGAGTGCCACCAAAATTCGCATCTGTTGTCATGGGAACGATGATTGGTGTCAAGAAAAATGATTCGTTTGCTTTGCAATGCCCTGCGCAAGCGTTCCCAGTCCCAGCTTTCAGGTATTCTTCCTAGATTATTAACGAACTTATAATCCTAAGTTACCGTTAGGTTCCGGGCTAAACTGCAGTTTGTTTTTCTGCAGAACCTATGGGGAAAGTATCTCCGAAATTTCCAAGCTTAGAAAAAAGTCGATTGTTTAATTTTGATGCCAATCAAACTATCTCAGTATTGTGCCCCGCCCAAGCTTATCCCGCCCCAATGTTTAGGTAAGATAGTATTAGATTTTTTAGTAAATTTAAGTTCTCATCCTCTAGAACCAATGGGAAGAGTATCGCCAAAGTTCCCTACTGGGGACATCAGTAGGACATTCATTGCTAACTGGGGCGAAGGTGTCCCCTTACTTTGTCCTGCACAAGGGTTCCCTGCTCCAGCATTTAGGTAAATGTCTTTTTTCATAACAGAACCGATGGGCAAAGTATCTCCGAAATTCCCTTCGATGGAGACGGGACGCAGCTTTACTTTCTCATCAAATTCTTGCGTGACAGTACTATGTCCAGCCCAAGCATATCCAACTCCATCGTACAGGTATTTTCACTCACATTATGTTGTATCTTTAGAACCAGTGGGTCGAGTTTCACCAAAATTCCCTTCGATGGATAGTTCAAGAAGTTTCAGCGCTAGTCTGAACACCAGTCTGCCTATATTGTGCCCAGCGCAGGCCTACCCCGTCCCAAAGTTCAGGTAAATAATTCGAAAGGTTGACTTTACTTACATAAAATCTCTTCATAGAACCTGTTGGCCGCGTAGCACCAAAATTTATCACTGGTGATAAAAGTCGCGCGTTTGATGCTAACGGCCGTGACAGTATCACGCTGCTATGCCCCGCGCAAGGTTACCCTGCCCCGTCATTCAGGTATTGTCCTGTCACTAATTTTACTAAGAAATTTATTTTTTTCATAGAGCCCATGGGTAGCGCTGCTCCAAAAGTAGCAACAAAAATGATTGACATAACAGAAGTATCACACAAAATACAGTAACGATACTATGTCCGGCACAAGCTTACCCTGTTCCAAAATTCAGGTAACTTCTTTGAAGTAAAAAATAGAAAACACTCTGTTTATCTTCAGAGCCCATAGGTCGAGTCCCACCGAAGTTTCCCACATTGGATAGCGTCAGAGGGTTCAGTGCGCATGTTAACGCTAGCGTAACGCTGTTGTGTCCCGCTCAAGCCTTCCCTATTCCTCTATCCAGGTAATAAATAAAATTTTTCGTTTTTAGAACCAATTAATAGCGCACCGCCTAAAGTCCCAACAAAGACAATAGAATTTGTGGAATTCGCAATGAACTCCAGCGTTACTCTACTCTGTCTGGCACAGGCGTTCCCAGTCCCAGCATTTAGGTGAGTCGAGCATCATCTTTATTGAGAATAATTTGTTATAGAACCTATTGGTCTAAAGGCCCCTACATTCTCTACGGATTTTAAAATGGCTTGGTACGTGAAGGACGTTTCACAAGGCTTTGCTCTACTTTGTCCAGCGCAGGGATTCCCAGCTCCAATATTCAGGTATTAATATAAGACTTTTTTCTATTTTAGAACCCATTGGGTCCAAAAGTCCCTCATTCTCGACGGGCTCGAAATTGGCTTGGTTTGAAATAAAGACTGATCAGTCCTTCGCGTTAACATGTCCAGCTCAAGGGTATCCTGTTCCTGCATTTAGGTGAGGATCCTTAACATATGATTATTTTTTCTGGATTTTACAGAGCCCATCGGTTCCAAACCGCCTTCATTGCCTACTGATGATAAATTAGCTTGGTTCATTTTGAGGCCTGTAGGACACAGTTTATCTTTGCTTTGCCGGGCACAGGGATACCCCGTTCCATCTTACAGGTACTTTGACAAATATAAATATTTCTTTTATGTTCTATATTTTAGAACCAATCGGAACGAAGTCACCAACGTTCTCTACTGACAATAGATTTTCTTGGTATGTGAGGAAAATTGGACAGAATATAAATATCTTGTGTCCTGCCCAGGGCTTTCCTGTGCCAGTGTTCAGGTGATTAAAATCGCTTATTTTAACTTGTAGAACCTGTTGGCTCAAAATCACCCACATTCTCAAACGACGTTCAATTCTCGGGGATAACACGTAAAACCGGTCAAGATTTTGCACTTTTATGTCAAGCGCAAGCTTTTCCTGTCCCAATTTTCAGGTAAGATTATGATATAAAATTAGACGCACTTCACAATAGTATAATAAAGTTAGTAAAAAAATTTAGACATACAAAATGTCTTCATGTCCTGTATTCCCTTTTGGTTCATGATATTACGATTAGCCTACCATGCCAATACAAGTGTGTATTGTTGTCACAGAACCAATTGGATCAAAGGCGCCGACATTTTCTTTGGAATTTAAAAGCACGACCCTCACTAAAACGGCTGGTCAAGGAATAGTTCTTTTATGTCAGGCTCAAGCATTTCCCGTTCCAAGCTTCAAGTGAGTTCCGTATTCATAACCTAATTGTTTTTCAATTTAGAGCCCGTAACTGCGAAGGCACCCGCCTTTCCCACTACTGCATCCTCGTACAATTATGACATAGAAGCAAATTTGGGCGGTTCATTGCTTTGCCAGGCACAAGGGTATCCCCAACCATCATTCAGGTGGGTTCTATACTCAATCGCATTTATAATTTAAATTTTAGAACCAGTCGGGGCAAAGGCACCTTCATTTTCTTCTGATTCTAAAGGCAGTATATTCGATAGAGAAACTGGGCAAGGTTTTGCATTACTCTGTCAGGCTCAGGCGTTCCCTACTCCAAATTTCCGGTAAGTAGAATATAAAATAAGTAAATTTTCCTCTGTACAGAGCCTGTGGGTTCCAAGCCACCGACATTCTCAACCGATTTTACTTTGTCGGCTGTAACAAGACACGCGGGTCAGAGTTTTGCAATGATGTGTCAAGCTCAAGCATTTCCTGTTCCAATTTTCAGGCAAGTTTAGTGCTTTATTCAGACTGTGGTTCGTACCTCGTTGGTCAAATTATGATGATTTTGTACAGAGCCCGTTGGATCCAAAGCTCCATCTTTCTCCACCGAATCAGCAATCTCATCTTTGAAACGGCATGAAGGTCAAGGCTTTGCTATGCTCTGTCAAGCTCAAGCCTTTCCTGTACCCAAATTCAGGCAAGTCTTGAACATCTTATGCTTTGCCTATATGTCAAATCCGACGAAATATTTTAGAACCTGTTGGAGCTAAATCGCCTACGTTTTCATCTGAATCCATGACAAGTAGGTTCAGGAAACGCATTGGACAAGGTTTCGCACTTCTATGTCAGGCGCAAAGCTACCCTGCTCCAAACTTCAGGCAAGTTGAATATTCACACAACTTAACACTGTAAATGGCTTTTCAAATCACAGAACCAGTCGGCTCCAAAGCTCCAACTTTTTCAAACGATGCTCGTAGTTCAACTTTTGTGAGAAATATTGGCCAAAGCTTTGGATTATTATGTCAAGCGCAAGCCTTCCCAGTCCCAATGTTCAGGCAAGTGTACTTTTTTCTTCATATCTAATTTTCCAATAAGACACAGTTCAGTCTATAAATCACACTACCCTCAACATATTTTAGAACCTGTTGGAGCTAAATCACCAACGTTTTCATCTGAATCTATGGGTAGTATATTCAGAAAACGCATTGGACAAGGTTTCGCTCTACTTTGTCAGGCGCAAAGCTTCCCCGCTCCAACTTTCAGGCAAGTGAATTTATCTAATTAAAATTAGCACTATGAATGGGTTTTTTCAATCGCAGAACCGGTCGGCTCCAAAGCGCCTACTTTTTCATCCGACGCTAATAGTATAAGTTTTACGCGGACTATTGGCCAGAGTTTTGGGTTGCTATGTCAAGCTCAGGCCTTTCCAACTCCAATTTTCAGGCAAGTTTTTGATCAAATTGGCTATTATTATAACTATAAATTAATTTGATAGAACCGATCGCAACTGCGACGCCGAGTATCACTGCCACACCAAAAGCTGCTGTGATGTTTCCCATAAAGTCGGCATTAGCTCTTTTGTGTCCGGTGCAAGGATTTCCAGTGCCGATGTCAAGGTGCGTTGAATTTATGCTTTTCCCGTATTACAGAACCAACGAATAAAATCGCCCCCCGTAGTGACAAAAGCAGGAAGTTCGAAGGCGGTGAAATATTTTTAGTTTCTGCAAGTGAATCTGTCTATTTGACCTGCGAGGTAGCTGGCTACCCTGCTCCGACATTTAGGTGAGTGGATTAAAAATATTATCCAGAAATAGTGTCGAGCGTAAATTTTTTGTAAGTACAAATATTATTTATTTCGTCTCGTCAACAAACAGTAGCAGTCAAGAGTAGCAGTGATCAAGACAGACGACAAGATGATAAGTATTTGTAGGATAGCTTTAAGCAACGTCCTCCCAAATCCTCTCCCAAACACATTATTGTATAATTAAAAGCTTTAAAAGCTACATTCATAATTGCAGAGCCAACCAATAAGATTCCACCTAGAAAAGATTCCACTAAACATTTCGAAGGCTGGGAAGTCTTCTACGTGCCACAGTCTGAGATAGCATATTTAACTTGTCAAGTTTCCGCATACCCGGTGCCCATGTTTAGGTGAGTGTACGAGTACGTTAGGAGTATGAGATAGTGATAGTCGGTTTCCATTCCAGAGCCGACTGGTAGGACTGGCCCAAAAATGACTGGTGATGGGCTCAATCGGCAGATAGGTCGAAGTAACGAGAGTCTCGCGTTACTCTGCGACGTCCAAGCCTACCCTGCTCCTTCCATGAGGTATGGCCTTACGAACGGTCGGCCGCTGGCATCTCACGCATTCATTTATCACGTAGTGTGTTTCATATCATCCCAATGTACTGATGTGCGTTGTTATTGCAGTATGTTGCGGCGGCCGCTCCGCCACACGTGACATGAAGGCGTGACGAACCGCGGCCGGCCGCGCCCCCTAGTACGGTTCCCAGCCAAAGTAACGATTGAGCAACATAAACACCTCCTGGTAAGTGTCAGGGTGTTCTTGCTTTCATTCAGAGGCTTTTAATCTTTACTTTGTGCTTTCGTGAGTTAAGGCTAATCCTGTGCATATTTCATTCAACAATGGGATTCACGCGGAACCGTGTTAGCTTCTGTTTTATTAATTTTAACGCTAGTGTTACACATTAATTTGTGCACATTCTACTTTGGGCACTCGGGCTACTTCATGGTGATGTCGTCTTATCATTTCGATAAATCTAACATGGTTGTTATAAAATTTTGTTTAAGAACCCACAAACAGTCTCCCTCCCAAGCTTTCATCTGCTCGTTTACAAGAGGCTGAGGTGTCTCTAGGAGCAACAGGAACTATACTTTGCTTAAGTCAGGGTTTCCCGGTTCCTGGTTTCAGGTGGGTGCCTCTGATAAAGATGATTTCCATCTGATAAATAACTATTTCTGTGATGTGATATTATCTGAAGGTGTTTAAGACATACATGCTTCTATTGGATTTCCTGATAATAGCTAACTTTACAATCAAATACAGAAAATCATATCCCCAGCATTACTAAACCTAAAAGAGCGTTACCCTAGCGGAGACGTCTTCATCTTTATGGGCAGTCTAAAGACCAACCAAGTAGGTAAGTTGCATATTTCACAAAGTCTAAACTGATTCTCCATTGTTTCAGATGGTACAAGTTTATCGATGGCACACCCAGAAAACAACCAGTTACGCTCAATGATAGAGTAAAGCAAGTGTCTGGAACTTTGATCATTAAAGAGGCTAAAGTTGAGGACTCTGGAAAATACCTGTGCGTTGTGAACAATTCCGTTGGTGGTGAGTTATAGAAACATAAGTTACAAACATAAATATGAATTTTCAATTGTGTCATTGTAGTCCTGCAAATGATTTCTACGAATATTAAGAAAATATTCTTACAAAATGAAAGGCTTCCAGAAAAAAATATATTTGCGATTTCCAAATGAGCTAAATAAAGCATAATATCAAGTTTATCAAAATTTTCTGGTTCTATAAACCCATTCTAACTTTCAACAATACCCTAACATACGTTGCTATGTCCCCTTCACCACACTAGGCGAGTCTGTGGAAACGGTGCTCACCGTGACGGCCCCACTGAAAGCGACTGTAGAGCCGGCCACGCAGACCGTAGACTTCGGAAGACCAGCCGTGTTCACCTGCCGCTATGAGGGCAACCCGGTCAAGACCATCACGTGGCTGAAGGATGGCAAGGACATGAAGCACCATGACCCTGTTCTGAGGTAAATGCCTTCGAGTTGTTGAACTCAATGATCATGTATGTTTATTTAACTCTCAGAAAATGGAAATATTACCACAATGCCTTTTGGTATAAGATAACATTTTGAACTTGCATACTCCATTAAGGAGTAATAAGCTAAAGCCATAGCTAATATAGGTATGTACTCATTTTGGCCATCAAAACTCGTTATTTGGAATTTCCGAAATGCCAAAGGATTGCTACATCGACCATTTTATTTTTCCTGTAGCAAAGTCGTAAGTCACTCAATCTACCTTCTGATAAGATGATAAATACCTTATTTATGAGTTGTGAATGTAGTTTAGGAATCTTACGCTTGTATGCAAACATCACTAACACAATTGTATTGTTAATTCAAGGATCGAGTCTGTCAAGAAGGAAGATAAGGGAATGTACCAATGCTTCATCCGCAACGACCAAGAGAGCGCCGGCGCCAGTGCTGAACTTAAACTCGGAGGACGATGTAAGTTTCTTTATTTAATGTTTAACCTCAAGTAACTTGTCAAAGTACAGTTAGATAAAATATGCAAAAAGCCGTCCCACTGCAGAGCACATTAGGTCTCACCCCAACTGCGAAGTGGCTCGGTCATACTTTACTACGCGTGCTCAGTGCGGGTTGGTTATTGTCAGATGTTATCAAATCGACCTAAGTTTCTAACTAGTCTTAACTATAGCCAAGTGATGGAAAACACGTTTAACGTGCTTTCCGAAGCATGGGAAACTTTCGTTAAATGTGATCACCGATCCATTACCGACTGTGTTAACTTTGATCATCGCTACTAAAGCGCTGTTGCTAATGACGCTGCCGCTGTTTAAAATTCCAGTCGAACCACCCCAAATCCGCCACAGCTTCGGCGAGCAGACCCTTCGCTCCGGACCCTCCCTTCGTCTCAAGTGCGTCGCATCTGGCAACCCCACGCCCGACATCGCTTGGTTACTGGACGGTGAAAAGCTGAGCAGCGGCGAGCGACTTCAGATCGGGCAGTTCGTGACGGCTGATGGCAACGTGGAATCACACCTGAACATTTCTTCTGTGCACACCAACGACGGCGGCTTGTACTCCTGCATCGCTTCTAGCAAGGTGCGTGTTATGGAACTACTGAATCCTTCACAGCTTTTGCTCTAGTTCATCACGCCGTCTTATTTGAGAACCTGTGCGGCGATGAGCGCCTTCATTATCCGCCCACTACACTGGTGTCAGAATGTCGCCCCAGCTGGACCATTTTGACATACCCCTAGCTCTAACGAACAATTTGGTATGCAATTTGAATTATGGTGGTTCAAAAAAAAGGCTCTAGAGCCACAATGGTACATCGGAACATTATCTTTAATAGACATAAAGTTTATAATTCAATTTCTTTCTCCTCAGGTCGGCAGCGCCTCCCACTCGGCCCGCGTGAATGTATACGGTCTGCCCTACATCCGGCCCATGAAGAAACGCCCCGTAGTCGCTGGAGATACGCTCATCGCTCACTGCCCCGTTGCTGGATACCCCATCGACTCTATTGTTTGGGAGAGAGACGGACGGTAAGTTCGTTATATCTCTTGTTTCTCTTGCTGCTAAGAGCCTATGGTTTATAAGAAACTCCACGTAGTCACTGGAGACACTCTCATTGCTCACTGCCCCGTTGCTGGATACCCCATCGACTCTATTGTTTGGGAGCGAGACGGACACGGTAAGTTCGTATATTTCTTCTTTTTCCTCTTGCTGCTAAGTAACATTTCTTAGTCGCTAGAGTTTGGGAAAGAAACGGACAGTAAGTTGTTGGCTAAATCTGTTTTTGCTCTATGGCATTGGCAGCCTATGGTTTTTTAATCCTCAAGCAGAGACAAAGCACGTTACACGTTACTTTGAACTTTATTTCCTTGTGTTAAGGTCTAAAAATGGTAGCCGGCTACCGCTACTTGTCACCTTTAGGTTACTAAACCGACACATAAATGGACGTGAAAATGAAAATAGACGTAACGTTTACGTGATTTTAAACGAATGGGATCCCGCGCCCTTCTCGTATTGAATACATACATTGACTTTTGTAATTCATATTGCCTCGTTATTTTTCAGAGTACTGCCAATCAACCGCAAACAGAAGGTGTTCCCTAATGGTACTCTGGTGATCGAAAACGTTGAGCGCATGAGCGACCAGGCCACCTACACTTGCGTCGCCAAGAACTCCCAGAGCTACACTGTTAAAGGAAATCTCGAGTTGCAGGTCATGGGTAAGTTCGACCATTTTTATATCCTAGATAAAACCTTCCTACATACTGATATACTGTCAGGAAAACAAGTGACTTTAAAAAGGTCCCTGGTAAAAAAAATATTTGGTCCGTTTGTTATAGGCACAGAATCGGGTGCAGGACTTTTCTTATACCGAACGCTGAAAAATAATAATAATCAAATATCAGAATGATGGAAGGTTTAATTATTAAAATTTAAAAAATGCTAACATTGAACATTTCGATTGAAACATTTATTAATGATGTTTTTTTCCTTGAGAGGCATTTATGGCTAAAATTTTCGTAATTTAAAATTAAAACACAATTAAAATGTTTTTGTTGACTATTCAAAGTTGGCTCATCAGAGGTAAATTAATTTGGGAGTCAATAAAATTACAATATTTTTCATAGAGTCCATGTACCATCGGCAACAGTGTTAACTATCCATTGTCTGTCATGTCGTCTCGTTCTATCGCAAAGAATCACCATTTGATGAGAGCGAGAGCAAAAACGGAAATGGATGGTTAAGCGTGGTCGTGTGTACATACTTACTTATTTTACTCAAAAATAATCTTTTTCCATGCATTTTTTTCAGAATAATTAATACACCTCTGATCATATTATAATGTTACGAGTATATGCAGATGATTGCAACACAATATTTATAACTAAATTTTAGTACAGAAGTTAACAGTTAAGTGAAGTTTACAAGATAAGAAGTACAAAAATATTAATGTGTTGGAATCAGACGTTTAAACGAATTTGAAAACTTTTTTATAGAGCAGACCGGTATCCTTCCGTTTGGCCAAATTACTTTTCGCCAAATTTCACTTCGCAAACAACTTATCGCCAAAGTTTCATTTCCCAAATGAACTTTTAGCAACTGTACTTTTCGCAACTAATTCATTTGGTCAAATTATCATTTGGCAAAATTTTACTTGGCAAATGTTTATATAGCAAATGTTTTATTTTGCCAAATATTATATCCCAAATAATTTGTTTTGTCAAATTGACACTTCACATACTTACCCACCGTTACCCACAAATCAAAGCATAAGGCAGATGATCATGGTTTTCGNGAAACGTTGTTTGCGATGTGAGAACTTGGGAAACGTTTTTTGGCCAAACATTAGTAATCCGAGCAGACCATTTACTTACACATACAAGACCCTACTTACTAAATTAATATTAAATGGAATACACAATATTTAAATTGAGTTTATTTATTATAAAAGAAGNACGGTAAATAAAACTTTGAAAACAGTAAAGTAAGTAAATGGTTTAAGTCTGAGATTTCATATTGTTATTAAACTCTAAATTAAAAGAAAAGAAAAGAAAATTCACTCAGAGAAACTCAGTGGCTCATCAGAAAAATAACGTTGTCATTCAAGTACATATTACTTCTCAATGTGGGAAACCTATACAAACAATTATTTAACATGCCCAAAGAACTGAAGTTATGCAACGTTATTTTTAATTAATATAATGTGTACTAATGTGATTTATTTTACAGAAGGAAACTATAAACTATTGTGTAACTAATAATCTTAAATTATAGGCATAAAAAGTTCGCGTCAAAAATAATAGGATATTAAACTGTTTATGCCCGCCAAAGCTACATCGTTTGCCACACGCGCCCCTCACGTCACTAGTTAGCTTACGACTTGTTGTCACGCAGTGCCCCCACAGATATTACCGTTTGAGTTCGGCGAAGAGCCGGCGAACGCTGGCGACATGGCGTCCATTACCTGTGCCGTCAACAAAGGCGACCAACCGCTTAACATCACCTGGATCCACGATGGACAGATACTCCACAGAAACAACGATATGGGAATCGTTATAACAAGCATCAACAAAAAAACCTTCCATACTGAATATTGACTCGGTCAACGGAATACACAGGGGCACCTACTACTGTGTGGCGACGAATCCGGCCGGCTCCTCCAACCATAGCGCTATACTAAAAGTCAACGGTATTCAATCACAAAATTATCAGCTCGTGGGCTTATTTTTCTTTTTACGTATTTACGTAACCCGAACCCCTTAGACATCCCAAGTTTTAAAACAACCCCTTAATTTTCTAATAGTCCCACCGCAAATCACACCATTCGAATTCGGCGAGGAAATCTTAAACGAAGGAGAAACAGCATCGGTGTCTTGTGTCATGAGCAAGGGCGACCTGCCCGTCACGTTTAAATGGCGTTTCAACGGAGAAGAGATTAAGCCGCGAAATAATCTTGGGATCGTTTTAACGACTATTAGCAAGAAAACATCCATCTTGAACATCGAAGCCGTGACCTCTGTTCATCGTGGTTCATACACATGTGAAATTAAGAATGAGGCTGGAGAAACCAATCACACCACACTCCTTAGTGTTAACGGTTCGCTTCTCTCCTTATTCCTTTCTTTTATTTTAGTAATGCTTTTTATGTCAATACAGTTCCTCCCCAAATCTCACCCTTTGAGTTCGGCGATGAACCGGCCAATGCCGGCGATACCGCTTCAGTCCAGTGCGTCATGAATAAGGGTGATCTGCCGGCTAACTTTTCGTGGAGTTTGAATGGAAGGAGAATTTCACAAGTCAACTCCTTGGGCATTGCGATTGGCAGCATGAGTCGGAAAATGTCCATCTTGAACATTGACTCCGTAAACGGCACCCATCGTGGTGTCTACGCGTGTCATGTTGAGAACCTGGCTGGTCAAGTAAATCACAGCGCAACGTTGGAAGTTAACGGTTCAGATTTTATAAAATTCTAATAACATTTTCCTGTGATAGACCTTAGTTTACGTATGTATTTGATATAGTAGTGTCCTCTCGCAGTTTTACCTCAAATCCATCCTTTCACCTTCGGGGAGGAGCCAGCCAATGCAGGAGACACTGTTGGCGTGCAGTGCATGGTAACGAAGGGCAATACCCCAGTGAACATCACGTGGTTTTTAAACGGGAAACCCATTCAAGATGTCCGCGGGATCACAGTCACTAAGATCGGGCACAAGTCCAGCAGTCTATCGATAGATTCCGTAGCTTCCACACACACAGGAGTGTACACTTGTTTTGCATCCAACCAAGCCGGTCATGCTAACTACTCAACTGAGTTAGCAGTCAACGGTAATTTACAGCAGAGAATAATAATCGTGCTTCCTTTTTTCAATACGCATATTCTTTTCTTTCCCATTCCTTTCTCTTTATTCGTTTTGTAAATGACTAACGCGAGGTTAAGCCTTACGTTAGTTTCTTCAATGTCCTATTGTTCGTGAAAATGACATTATTATACACTATTAATACATCTTTCTTATTCCTGTCATAGTTGCACCGCAGGTCACTCCCTTCGATTTCGGTGAAGATATCCTTAACGCAGGCGATACGGTTTCCTTAACATGCACCGTTGGGAAAGGGGACTTGCCCATAAAAATCCATTGGCAACTCAATAACCAGATTCTGAACTCCGGCAACGGTGTCTTTATTAATAGAAATGGAAAGCGAATATCGGTTTTAAGCATAGAAAATGTACAACACGAACACATTGGCAATTACACTTGCATAGCCGAAAATGACGCCGGCCGCAGTAGCCATACCGCCGTCCTCAACGTGAATGGTACCAAATAACATGCAGCATTAATCAACACATTATTTTGATCGCACGATTTTCCATAATAATATTTTATGTATGTCTTAGTAGTATACTTTTGATATGTATATTTGTAGTTGTATATGTCCCTTTCATCTCAAATACCCATGAGGGTTTCCGTCGTGTGTGGCAATTTCGTGACTAACCACCCAATGTTTTGGCGACCTCAGTTGGTTTTTATTTGTTGCAAAAACTCATGGAAGTTTTATAAAATTTTCTTTAGTTGCACCGCAAATTATGCCCTTTGATTTCGGCACGGAGCCAGTGAATGACCAAGAAATGGTTGTCGCAATGTGTACGGTCAGTAAGGGTGATATGCCGCTCAACATCCAATGGTACTTCAACGGGAAAGCTATTCATTCTGGAGCTGATGGGGTAGTGCTCACGAACACTAAGCGGACCAGTCAGCTAACGATAGAGTCGGTCACTCATCATAATCAAGGAAACTATTCTTGCGTCGTTAAAAACCAAGCGGGCACAACAAATCATACCGCCGAACTCTATGTCAACGGTACAATTAACGATGATGGTTGAATTACTAGCTCGTTATTTATTTAGAAGTTATCCTAATTTAATTTGCTTTCTGCTTATACCAATCTCCTCCACAGTCCCTCCACAGATCATGCCGTTTGAATTCGGCGAGGAGCCAGTTAATGCCCAAGAAATGGTTTTGGTCACCTGTACGGTCAGTAAGGGAGATCTTCCATTGAAAATAGAGTGGTACTTTAATGGAAATATTGTGAAATCTGGTAACAATGGAGTAAATCTAATGAATACCAAGCGCACAAGCCAACTTAGCATAGAATCAGTTACTCATCAAAACCAAGGAAACTATACTTGTGTAGTTAAAAATGAAGCAGGACTTATGAACCACACAGCAGAACTGTTCGTTAACGGTATAAATATGAAACCATTGAAAATCTCCTAGTTTTATATTAGTGCATGTCTAAAATGAATGCTTACCAAACCTGCTCCTGTCCTGTGTTGTAACTTTGGCGGGTCATAATGTCAGGTAGTAATAATATAATCACTAAAACATAAATAAAAACCTACCATATTAAAATAATTTACCTACATCAAAAGACATACATTCCAGTGGCCCCAATTATCACTCCTTTTGAATTCGACGAATCTGTATTTTATGGAGAAGGGGTTCAAGTGATGTGCCATGTTCCTAAGGGGGACAAACCTTTGGATTTCCAATGGAGTTTTAGTGGAGGAGATGTGAGTTCATTAGCTGGGGTGAACATCATGCGGGTCGGGGATAGGGGATCAGCCCTCATAATACCCACGGTGACTGCTAAACATTCGGGCAATTTCACATGCACAGCCTCCAATGTTGTCGCCAATGCTAAACATCACGCCACGCTCAATGTGAAGGGTGAATAAACAAAGCTTACTCGTCTTCCTGTACTCTCCTGCACACACTATTATTTTGCAATTTATTATACGTGTAATCAAGTACAATTGCATATATTTCAGTGTCACCAATTATATCCCCTTTCGAATTTGACGAAGCTGTTTTCTTTGGAGAAAGTATTCAAGTCATGTGCCATATCCCCAAAGGCGACATGCCATTGAATATTACATGGTCATTCCGCAATAAGCCTTTGAGGAAAAATGACGCAGTCAAAATAACAAAACTAGGCGACCGAAGTTCCGTTTTGGCTATCCCATCCGCAACAGAAAAACATTCCGGAAATTACACCTGCACAGCTTCTAACATAGTAGCCAGCACCAACCACACAGCCATATTGAACGTCCAGGGTACACTTAATTGTTTATTTGCGTTGCGTCTTCATTATTTTTGTTTCTTATTTTGGTTATTTCCTTTTGCCAGTTCCCCCGCACATAGTTCCGTTCGAGGCTGAAGAGCCTGTTTTTGCCGGAGAGTCTGTTCAATTAACCTGTCACGTGTCTAAGGGCGATGCTCCACTGACTATAACTTGGAGTTTTCACGGGGAAGAATCATCTTCTCATCAAGGAATTACAACAACGAAGATCGGCGACCGTACATCGTTGCTGACTATACCTAATTCTATGGCTAGCCACAGCGGCGAATACTCGTGCCACGCCGCCAATCACGCCGGCACAGTTGTTCACACAACAACGCTTAACGTTCACGGTATTCCCATACTCGTTAGCTACCCTTTGCCTCTACTGCACGTTGCACGCTTGCCTCGGCAATAATCGGCCTTCTGGATTAACAGTAACGCCACACATCGTACCATTCGAAGCGGACGAGTCGGTGTTTGCTGGCGAGACGGTTCAACTCAACTGTCATGTGTCAAAGGGTGACTTACCTCTTGATATTAAGTGGCAGTACCCCGGATTTGATAATCGTTCTTCGCATCATGGCGTCATGACAACTAAAATGACTTCGCGCACATCCTTCTTGTCGATCGCCGCGGCCACTGCTGATCACAGTGGCAACTACACCTGCATTGCCACCAATAGTGCAGGCTCCGCTAATCATTCCACTGTCCTTAATGTTCATGGTCAGTTTTATTTATTAACCATCATCATTATTGTTATGTTTCCAACACCAGCGATTCGATGCACGTAGATGTGTAAATAGAATCAGCATGAATTCTATATTCACATCTTTGAGCAGCGTACGCTTCTTCATTTTTAAGTTTCATCATATTTTTATTTGTCTTCTGATTATTTTTAATTTATGTCACAGTTACGCCAAACATTTTACCATTCGACGTTGATCAAGCATTATTTTCTGGAGAGTCAGTTCAAATGATGTGCCACATATCAAAGGGAGACACTCCTTTGGAGGTTTACTGGGAATTCAACGGGCGTCAATTGTCTAGAGAGCTAGGATCGTTTTCGAAAGTTGGTGACCGATCATCGGTTTTGATGTTGCCATCCGTCACTGGCGCGAATAGTGGAAACTACACATGCATCGCTAAAAACCGTGCAGGAACAGCGTCATACACAACAGTACTTAAAATAATCGGTACTTGCAAATATGTATTAGCGCAGTTAGTTGGATTAGTTGTATTTTTTTTACTTTCCATGTTTCCCTTTTAATCTTATTTTATTTTATCCGGATTCAAGTGGTTCCACACATTATCCCGTTCGAAGTTGAAGAATCTATCTTTGCTGGTGAATCAGTACATCTCACATGTCACGTGTCGAAAGGAGATCGTCCTCTTCAGATAACATGGAGTTTCCAGGGAAATGAAATCCCTTATCATAACAATATGGGTATCACGACTACTAAGTTAGGAGAGAAAGCATCAGTACTGAGTATCCCGACTGCAATGGGGCAGCACAGTGGGAACTACACGTGCACTGCCAGTAACCGCGCCGGGCGCGCGCATCACTCTGCTCTCGTCAACATCCATGGTATCCGACCACCTCGACCCCTTCTTCCTAATAGAAAATTATATACTTAAATGTATAGATAATGCACGTTTAGATTTTGTCTTAGAATTCACTATTTATTTCTTTTTTGATCAGTTCCTCCTCATATAATGCCGTTCGAAATTGAGGAATCCATCTACTACGGTGAATCTGTTCAAATGACATGCCACGCTAGTAAAGGAGATCGTCCCATGTCTATTACTTGGACGTTTGAAGGCCGTGATCTTTCCACAAACATGGGAATCAAAACTATGAAAATGGCGGAGCAGACTTCATTTTTAACCATAGCGTCTGTAACGGGTGCTCACAGCGGCAATTATACGTGTATTGCAAAAAATAGAGCTGGAGAAGACAGATACACAACCTCTCTTCATGTTAAGGGTATTATGTTATAAATATTGCAGCATGTTTATGTAAAGCTCCCCCTAACGTTATTGCAATTTTTGTTGCTCAGTCGTCCCACACATCAAACCTTTCGATCTGGACGAGGCCGTATTCGCAGGCGAATCTGTACATCTTGACTGTCATGTACCAAAAGGAGACACACCTTTGAATATTTCATGGAGCTTCCAAGGCCAACCTGTGACTCCAAAGATGGGGATGAAAACAATGACAATAAGTGGCCGAGTATCTATCCTTGATATTCCAAACGCGATGGGTCATAACAGTGGAAACTATACCTGCACAGCAAAGAACATGGCAGGCAGTGCAAGCCATACCGCTCTTCTCAACGTTATCGGTACACAAACTCAGTAGCTCCAAAAATGCTTGCTTTTTGTTCAGTTCCTCCCGTGGTCCAACCCTTCTCGTTCGGAGACGTCGCGATGAATTCTGGACAAGTCGTCACGACTCCTTGTTCGGTTATTGAGGGAGATCATCCCCTTCAGCTACGATGGCTCTTTGATGGCGAACCTATCAAACCAAGATCTGGCGCAACAGTATTCAACATCGGAGAAAGAAGTGCCATTCTTAGTATCGCCTCAGTATCTCACAATCACGCTGGAAATTATACGTGTGTCGCGGAAAACGAGGCCGGAACCGATTCCCATACAGCAACTTTAATAATTAACGGTGCTTAATTTATTTCTCTCATTTAAAATGAAACACTGTCCACAATTTTATTTGTTGATTTGTGTTTTGTATTTTCGGTTGCCTTTATTTCACTCATAAATGTAGATACTGTGTAACAACGTTCCAGTCCCGCCTAACATTCTGCCATTCACGTTCGGCGAGAAGCCCGCAAACGTTGGAGAATATTTGCAAGCCTCTTGTACTGTTAACTTGGGCGACCTTCCTCTAACAATAACTTGGATGTTCAATGGACAACCTATTTCGCAAAGAAACAACAATTACCTTATGACCAACTCGAAAAGGAGTAGCTTACTTATCATTGAATCTGTGGATGCAAAACACGCCGGCTCTTACACATGTATTGGAGAAAATCGTGCGGGCCGTAATTCATATGCAACAGATCTAATTGTATACGGTTAGTCGGTAATGAAATTGGTAGAATCATATTATTTTGATCATTTTAGATAAAGTTTGTTTCAGTTCCTCCCAAGATTGCACCTTTCGTTGCTGGTCCTGAACCAGCTTTTCTCGGTGATTACTTTGCTCTCCAATGCATTATAACACACGGCGATCAACCGGTGCGCATTGAGTGGACGATCAATAACCAAACGGCAAACGTTGTGCCCGGCACCCGCGTCAGTAACGTCGACCGAAGGAGTAGCGTCCTCACAATAGAGTCGGTGGATGCCAAGCACGCGGGCCTCTATAACTGTACTGCGGCTAACGCAGCCGGCGTGACGTCTCACACTACCGAATTGGTCGTAAAGGGTGCGAGTAACAACCATGTCAATACACGCTTCCGATCCTTTTTCATCGTATCTAACTCTTGTAGATAAATCGCTTCATTGAAAGATGTTTTATTGTCCTAGTTCCACCGTTGATACTGCCGTTCAATTTTGGTGAGATGCCATCCAACCCCGGTGATGCAGTGGTAGTAAACTGTGTCGCCACTAAAGGAGACCTGCCTCTTGACATCTCTTGGACATTCAGCAGTGAAACGATAGATTCGAGACTTCCTCGAGATATCTTAACCATGCCGCTAGGTCCACGTGCTTCAGCTCTTACCATCAACTCCGTCAGCGCAAACCACCAGGGAAACTACACGTGCATCGCGCAAAACGCGGCCGCCCGCGCCGAGTATGCCGCTACCCTCGTCGTCAACGGCACGTTTATTTTACTATTGCAATCTGAGTCGGGAACTAACATCACAAAATCGCACCAAAGAAAGATAAAGTCATCCACTATCACTGCTCTTCTCTTCATACTCTACTAGTCGCTAACATTGCCTGCCAGAATCAGATCTAACCCTATATCTATGGTTGTTTCCAGTAATACCTCGTATAGTTCCATTCTCGTTCGAGACTCCGCTGTTTGCGGGGCAGGCGACTCAAGTCACTTGTTTAGTATCAGAGGGCGATCTGCCCCTGGATGTCCAATGGTACTTTGAAGGACAACCTTTGAAGGAGAAAGCCGGAGTGTCGGCAACTAAGATAGCGCAGAGAGCTTCCTTGCTCCTAATCGACCCGGCGGGGTGGTCGCACAGCGGTGCCTACGCGTGTCTCGCGCGCAATGCCGCCGGCTCGTCCAACTATACCGCGTCGCTTGAAGTCCACGGTATACCGCACCAAGCCTCTGTGTACCCTCACTCCTAGCACGGACGAGCTTTGCGTAGTTTATATTGTACGCATAAATCTATATTAGCTACTACAGGCAGTATGCCATATATCCATAATATAGCAGTGATTTTAGTTAATGTTACACGTACCTCTATTCATGTTCAAAATATACTCATTTTTGAAATCTACACAACCCACTCGATACAATGGGCAGATCGATAGTAATTGTCGTTTTAGGAATCGGCTGCGGCTCTCATCGAAACCATCCCCTTCCATCCTTGCACACTTTACTATCCTCTCCTATCCGAATCCTTGGGATCCTACCTTTATTATTTATTTATGTATTGATTTGCATTTTTGGTTTACATGCTTGGATGCTTGCCTTACTAATATTATATCTGATGAAGTATAGATTTAAATTCTATATTTTTAATCAAGAACAAGTTGGTTTACCTATCTACCTACTTAATTAAATTGAAATTAATGTCACCCAATTTCACTCTATTTCATCAGATATGAAATGAGCTTTATGTTGCAATGTGCTTGTCATTTATGTTATCACCGATTTTTGTAGTTGTCAGCTACAAATTTTATTTTGAAGCTAGATAATGAACATATCTTAAAAGCTTCGATAGCGAGCTTTGCCTCATATGTATACTCTTCATAATAACCTGTTATTAACTACTAGTATTATTCACAGTTAATTATAAAAAGACAAAATTGTTATAGGAGCTTTTAAGTGTTTGTAACTATTTAAACTGATAACATTTCGAAATAAAATGTTTTGATGTTTAGCTCTTGGTTAATTATTTAGTTCTTTTACTTGTTTGTTTTGTATTTGTTACTAGCCAGTATCAGTTTGAGTAGTTTTTTTACGAATATTAAAAATTTGTTACAAATTCTGCTTTCGAACAGCAGTAAACCAATAGTTAAATTAATGAGAAAAATGTTTGCAATTAAAGTAATTCAAAGACAGCATTTTTGGAATATTTCAACATTTTCTTGCTAAAGAAATACAAAATTAAAATAAATTAAATATTTGCACTAGAGAAAATAATTAATTTTGCATGAAAATTGAAAAGCACGACGATAAACTTGTCCCCAAATACATGGTTTTATAATATTTATAACGTTTTTAGTTCCCCCTCGTTGGATTTTGGAACCCACTGATAAGGCTTTTGCCCAAGGCTCAGATGCTAAGGTTGAATGTAAAGCCGATGGCTTCCCCAAGCCTCAAGTGACATGGAAGAGGGCTGAAGGTATGGATGATCATACATTTGTATTCTGTATGTATTCATACTAATAGGTCTGTTTTTCTAATAATTTTTATCGTGTTATTAGGGGACACGCCTGGCGATTACAAAGACCTTAAGCCAAACAACCCTAATGTAAAAGTTGAGGATGGCACTCTTACGATTAATAACATTCAAAAGACGAACGAAGGATATTATCTATGCGAGGCCGTCAATGGAATTGGATCTGGACTGTCTGCTGTTATCTTGATCAGTGTTCAAGGTAAGATGTTCAAAGGTCTTTTATTTGATTACATTTTAATTGCAGTTCTATCGTCAGATCATTACAAATAAGTTTGTAATTCCAGCACCACCCCAGTTCGAGATTAAAATGAGGAACCAAACTGCCCGCCGAAGCGAACCAGCTGTACTTCAATGCCAGGCCAAAGGAGAGAAGGTACTGTTTATAAAATTTAAATTGCACAGATATTTTGGATTCCATTGCAATATTCAAACTCAAACATTTTTTTTGTCTCTTTCAGCCTATTGGAATCATTTGGAACATGAACAACAAGCGCCTTGAACCCAAATCCGACCCCCGATACACAATCCGCGAAGAAATTCTGCCTGGAGGAGTGGTTTCCGACTTGAGCATTAGAAGGACTGAACGATCTGACAGCGCTCTGTTCACTTGCGTCGCTACCAACGCCTTTGGATCCGATGACACAAGCATTAACATGATCATTCAAGGTTAGTATATCTTATAAAATCCTTAAATAATTTTTACAATGAATTAAAACAAAAAAACTCACCAAGTTCTAATTTGCAGAGGTCCCCGAAGCGCCATACGGTCTGAAGGTATTGGACAAATCTGGAAGGACGGTTCAGTTGTCTTGGGCTGCACCTTACGACGGCAATTCTCCCATCAAGAAGTTCCTCATTGAATACAAACGCGCCAAGGGCAACTGGGAAAAAGATATTGACAGGTTAGTAAAATCAAACGTAAATCATATAAGGCGGATTTTTAAAGTTAAATAAAAACTAGTGGACGCGTCGATGAGCCTATAAAACTTTCGTGTTTGTACTGTTTAAATAAACCTTGTCTCTTTTTCACATAGAGTTCTTGTACCTGGTGACGCGACTGAAGCCGGTGTATTCAGCCTGAGACCTGCCACCGCTTACCATATCAGGATCGTCGCTGAGAATGAACTTGGCACCTCGGAACCATCTGAAACTGTTACCATCATCACTGCTGAAGAAGCCCCAACTGGCCCACCGCAAGACGTCAAAGTCGATGCCATTGACAAGCACGCTCTCCGAGTCACCTGGAAACCACCCCCAACTCAGGACTGGAATGGCGAACTTCAGGGGTATGCAAAATTTTATATTTTTAAAATGGGTTATTCGGGTTCTTATAGTTTTCAAATATTTAATTGTCTCTCAATTTTTGCAGATACTATGTTGGCTACAAACTGGCTTCAAGCAACAAATCATTTGTATTCGAGACCGTCGACATCTCTAAGGAATCTGGCAAGGAACACCATCTGGATATTCTGAATCTGAAGTAAGATAGATAAGTTCTTTTATAACATGTGGCTTCATTCATTTGTACATAATTTCATAAAACTCATATCTTTTCTAGAACATACACGCAATACGCTGTCGTAGTCCAGGCTTTCAACAAGATCGGATCAGGACCAGTGTCTGTGGAAGTCCGAGCGTATACTGCCGAAGGCGCTCCCTCTGCTCCTCCCCAGGACGTTCTCTGCACTACCCTCACTGCCCAAACCATCCGCGTTTCTTGGATCTCTCCCCCTCTTGCTGCCGCCAATGGACTCATCAAGGCATACAAAGTTATCTATGGACCCAGCGACACCTGGTATGGTATGTATCACACACATCCAAAAACTACATATTTTGTTACATATGTCCTATCTTTATAATTTTTAAATATTTCTTAGATGAGAAGACCAAGGACACCAAGATCACCGCTAGCAGCGAAACGATTCTCCACGGACTGAAGAAATACACTAACTACTCAATGGAAGTGCTCGCTACCACGAACGGTGGAGATGGCGTACGATCCACACCTATCCATTGTCAGACTGAACAAGACGGTAAGTTGGTATTGAGAATTTTGAGAATACTAAGTGTAAATAAATGTCGACGTTGTACCTATAATGTATAAGAATCCAATTTAATTTGCAGTACCCGAGGCACCACGCGCCGTGAAAGCTCTCGTCATGGGTGAAGACTCTATCCTTGTCTCGTGGAGGCCCCCAGCGCAGCCCAATGGTGTCGTCACTCACTACAACGTTTACACGCAAGCACAGAACGCTGAACCACACCCCAACAAGGTACATAGACTCACTTTCCCACTAAAGAAAAAGGATAGAAAGAAGACCAAATGAAAAAAACATTACCAGTTTTTACTGTTCTATAAAAACGAACGTCTCTGTTAAGGTGCCCGCATCCCAAACGAGTTACTCTGCANCGAGCTATTCTGCTACCGAACTGAAAAATGGCCGTTACGACTTCTGGGTGACTGCCTCCACAATCATCGGAGAAGGACAGCCCTCAGCCACCGCCTCTTGCAGCCCAAGCGACAAAGGTAAATAAATGTTTTTAACACTTAACACGCTATTCGGGAGAATATAACTTCAACTGCTGTTTCTGCATTTATTTGCTAAGCAAAATCTGTATATCTTCAGAATTCTTAGTCGTCCCAGAAGCCGTGTTTACCGGTCAACTTATTATTATTATTAATGTCTGTTTATTCCAGTTCCCGCTAAAATTGCTTCATTCGACGAATCCTTTACCGCGACATACAAGGAAGATGTAAAACTGCCCTGCCTCGCCGTTGGTGTGCCATCGCCCAACATCATTTGGAAGGTGACTATATTTTTTTCTAAAAAACGTCTGCTTTCATAAGAATGAATGACACTGTTAATTCAATGTTTAATTCGTTAATTTATCTATGATTAGACTGCCACTAAATTTGGTGCTTTACCACCCTCATAAATTCATAATACAGTTGAAAGCCCAGCCTGGTGCTATCAGAGCACTTGTCTATGATTGGAAAGCCACTTAATTTTGTTCCTTACCACCCTCACAATCACAATACAGGTGAAAGGCCAGCCCCTGGTGCCATCAGAGCACTTGTCTGTGATTGGAAAGCCACTTAATTTTGAATCTTACCACTCTCATAATACAGGTGAAAGGCCAGCCCCTGGTGCCGTCAGAACGTGTCCGCCAGCTGCCCGAAGGTTCACTTCAGATCGCCGGCGTCGCGCGTGAGGACGCCGGCGAGTACTCCTGCCACGTCGACAACCAGTTCGGAACCGATACCGTCACGCACACGCTCTCTGTTCTTGGTAAGTGATTGTAATCTTTGTTATAGGGCCACAAGGGTGATTTTGGCTTGACTTGATCCCCAAAATTTCGATATCGTCATTTGTTTATGATACAGATTTTATTTGAAGCCTGTAGTGCACTACAAGTTGTGAGTAACGCTCCTAGTAGTTGAAGATTCCATACAAATATGATATTTGTACACACGTAGCAGAATCTAGTTTTACCTAATAAATAAGACTAGTCAGATTTTATTTACCAAATGGAGGCCAAAGCGCACAACTGGGTAAATTCTTATGTTAATGGAGCTGGTAGGAAAGATGTTTTTGTCACATTAAAATCCCAGCGAAACTTCATATGTGCTGCAAACATGTATGCTGTGACATGTCCGTTACATCACTTGTCACCCCTCCCACGACGTTCCATTATCGCAGAAACCGTCTTAGTTCAATAATGTCACCTCGGAAATCGCAGAAAGCAGTCGTAATAAATGTTTTACTTGCCTTCCCACAGCGCCGCCCTTCCCGCCTCAGCTGACCGTGGCCTCCTCCTCCGTGTCCTCGCTGACCATCCGCCTGAAGCCCTCGGAGCAGCCCGAGCAGTCGCCCGCCGCCGGCTACACCATCCACTACAAGCAGGAGTTTGGAGACTGGGAGACTGTTCAGGTAATATCTATAAATTTGTATTCTATTTACTGTATTCTTAGCAGACTTCGATCTACTGGGATCTTTTGTGTATCCCAATGACAATTTAACTTTCCCCCGGGACAAACTTGACCTTCACTTATTGTTTTTATTGGCGGTTAAACTGTAGACCCTGGCTATACAGGAGTTGCAGCGGTGCGAAAGAAGAGGTGGGAATAGTCCCGTTATCCCTTTGTTGATCCTAATTGGTCAGTCATGATACATTTCGGCGCTATTTCGAAACTAACATTAAAATTACTTTTTAATATGATTTTAGATCCCAAGCAACACTGATACTTACACTCTGGAGAACTTAGTTTGTGGTACCAGATATCAACTGTACGTCACGGCATACAACAGGTAACTACACACATGATCAAAATTCTAAGTGTAAATGCAGTCTAGTATTAACCTAAAGGATTTGTCACACGGAATGCGGTCTGCGGTCAGAGATCAAAGTGAATGCAGCCATAATGTATAATTACTTTGGCCTGACCGCAAAGCGCATCAAGTATGGCGAATCCTTATTAGTAGACGTCTAATTTAGTTTTGCTGTCTTATTGTTCAGGGAAAGACTACTAATTAAATTATATTAATTAACTAAAACGTTATTAAACCAGCATCGGCACCGGCGAAGCTTCAGACATGGTGGGCGCCCGCACCCGCGGCTCCAAGCCTCCAGTGCCCCGCGCGGCTGACTTCATCGAGGTGGCCTCTACGTCCGTGACCCTGCACTTCAAGCAATGGCTGGATGGCGGCTGCTCCATGAGCCACTTCGTCGTCGAGAACAAGAAGAAGTGAGTGCTATTTGAATAAAGTTAGTCAACACTTGAAAATATCGTGCTCAAAGGACCAAAACTCCTAAGAATAGCTGATAGCAGCTGGATGAAAAAAGCGGGAGTGCCGATGAGTGTAAGTGGAGAATCGCCATTACTTAGTTGAAATGATGAAGATGTTAACTTGCCTATTCTTAAATTCAAATCACATATTAAAAATACTTAAGTAAAAATTAAATCTATAGCACGCTTTTTCTAATCTCAGGGGCGCTGTTGAATGGAACCAGATCTCCAATAACGTCAAGCCTGCCAGCAACTTTGTCGTACTTGGTAAGTTATTTTCACTCTCTCGTCACATTCTTATTACCTAATCCGCACGCAATCATCTAATCAAAATCAAACCTTTCAGACCTGGAACCGGCTACTTGGTATGTCCTGAGGATCACGGCCCACAACAACGCTGGATTCAACGTCGCCGAATACGAAGTCGCTACTCTCACTGTCACTGGTGGTAAGTTGAATCATTTAATTAATCATTTAATCATCAATCATATTTTTTAAATCATTTTATATCCGTTGTGATTATTTTATTATTTAATTATTGGGCTTTTGGAAGCATTAATAGTCAAAATATAAGCAAACGAACTAGTGACTTGATTTGATTACTTTGTATCTGAAATCTGAAAAAAAAATGCGTTATAAAACAAAAGAAAAAATACGAGAATTATACGCAATACAAATGCATACTGCATAAAATTCTCGTGCCAATAAAGTACCTGAAATGCATCGCCTTATTTCGAATCACTTTTATTTTTGGTAATGGTAACTGTTGACTCCCAATAACATGGCGGCTTGCATTTCAGGTACTATCGCGCCCGCGCGCGAAGTCGGCGGCGGCTCGCTGACGACCGAACAGACGCTCAAGATCATTCTGTCGCACCTTAACCTTATCGTGCCAGTTGTCGCCGCTATTCTAGTCATCATCATCGCGATTGTTGTCGTGTGCGTTGTGCGAGGCGCCCGCGATCATCACAAAGGTATAATTTGAACGGGAATGATTGAAATTCTAGGAACTATCGCTCCCCTGCCCGGCAATATCGACGGTGACAAGGAACTGCCTCCCTGGGTAAAGGCCTGGCTGGAACCAGAGGTTTTGGTGCCAATCCTGGCCACAATCGTGGTATTCATCGTGGGCGTCGTGGTGATCTGCCTGACCCTCGCTCGCAGGAACACGCCCCACCGCCTGCGAGGTCAGAAGGACGGTTACTGTATGTATGGTGCAGCGCGCCGCTTCATATTTTATTTTTACCATTCGATACTTTTATTATACACCACTCGAATCAGATTTCGAACGAGATGTTGTGATATCATCCATATAATATGGTTTATTCAAAATTCATCTTTTATATATTTTTTGCAACACCAACGGTCATTTATCATTTAGATTACTTATAGCAATGGATAAAACATTATTTATTCGAAAAATTGGTTATTTGGTTCAAAAGTTTCAATACAAACCAAACATAAAATAACACAATGGTCATTGTTACACATAAGGGATGGGATTGGAATAACTAACTTAAGATCTATTGCTATTTCCAATCCCAATCCGCAGTGCGCTTATTGTGTTTATCCATTAGAAACCTGTTATAGACTTCATGATAATATTTTTATAAATGTTTCTCTCTCTCTCTCTCTCTCTATAATATTCTTAAGTGATGAATCAAAATATGCAAAATACTCCAAACACAGACCGAATTTTACTGCGATACTCCGAATTTTACTGCAAACTCAGTATTATTTTGCCATTCTACTACTCCCTCCCACTTTTCGAAGCATACAGGGTGTTTATCATTTCCAAACGTTGTCCAACAGACGATGGTGTCTACAACGCATCCCAAGCGGCTATGGGCGGCGGCGGAGGCACCCTGGACAAGCGCGGCGGCCTGCGCGACGAGCTCGGCTACATCGCACCCCCCAACCGCAAACTGCCCCCTGTACCCGGGTCTAACTACAACACTTGCGACCGCGTGAAGAGACAGGCTGTCATCAGTGAGTTTGCAACCCCGCTCTCTCCTTTTCTACTGCTACTAATTACGCAATTCAACAGGTTCTCACTATCTTATTTACTACTTCTTAAACGCAACAGGTCACTTACTTNACTTACTACACACAGGACCGCAACCTCAAGTAACAAGCGCTTGCGTACTAGAACTTCGAAAAGAGATCGTTACACGTAGCGAATTTACTTAAACTAAAATATCTATGGCAGGGGTCGTAACTCAGTGGGCCACTTGGTCTACGAACACTACTTATAATAACATTTACGAAATTGAATGCTACAATTTTAGATGAAAGAGGCGCGCAATGTTTGACCGCGAAAATAATTTTCACTAATATTCATTTTTTTAATAAAACTTGAGGTTCAACAATATTACAGCTTTATCATGGGAAGGCGGTATTTATGTGTTAATTATTAGATTATGGTGATGGTTACAATGGTCTAGCTCATAACAACTACAATAATGGACACGGGAAGTGGGCCACCAGATTAAACACCAGCACAAAGTAAATGAGGTTTTTCATATTTTTTCACATTTACATCTTTCTCTTGAAACGCTTACCCCTATATGCACGGCGTTCATTCTTTTGCACATTTTATTACTTATAATAATCAACATTTTACAGGATTTACTTGTAGAGGTGAAAGCTTACATCATAATTATTAGCTTTGTTGTCCTTTAGTTGTTTCATTTGTCTGCATTTAATCCAAAGAAAACTTTGACGTCGGATTTTTTGTAGACAAAATGTGAAGTCAATGTTGAGACAAACAAACAATGAATTCTCTCAGCATTGATAAATCATTGAATATTTTAATTACATGTTTATTCTTCCTTAGCTTTGTCAATTTGTTGTCTCCATGATTGTTTCTTTGTGTTTACACTGGCCAGAAAACATTCGTTAATTCAATGTTATGACTCTAGTGTAAACACGCCATGTCCCTTGTAGATTTTATGTTATTGCTTCCTCTCAGATACCGTCTCCTCTACCTACAATTACGGCTATAATACAAAAATGTATAGTGGAAACTTCTGAAAATAAATAATTTAATTGACACTTGATGATATTTCCTGGAATGATTTTATTAAAACTGTCACCTGCTTAATCCTTCAAGGCCCGCAAATCTAGACACAATAGATAATCAATTGTTATGGCATTAATGTATGCCGTCTGGGACTTTAAAGGNTCACCTGCTTAATAAATAACATTATAATATTTCGGTTTACCACTAAGAACGTACAACGATTATTCCGTACAAGCTAAATGAAAAGAATAAATAATTCCGAATTTTCCACCATAATGTCATAAATATTGGAACCGTTAAAGGTCGTGTTGCCAATCATCCATTTGCCTCTGGTAAAGTAGAGACTGCAGTGGAGAGAGAATGGTGTGGAGACGGTATGCGAGGGTAGGTTGTGCGCGCATGCGTAACGCAGTAGTGTGGTCCAGTGGGCGCGCACTCCACGTGGGACCCGCGCCGCCACCACTACGAGCGCGTGCGGCGCCCGCGCATGCGCCGCGCCGGCTCCGGCGACACCGTGTCCATAGGTCAGTGCTTCGCTTGCACGTCCGCCTGGCTGAATGAATTGTTTTAACGCACTAGGAGACCGGTGTCTCGAGATTTCGCTAAACATTTCTTAGACCTGTATTCTAGAAACACTCAAGCGAAAGATTCGCTTTCAACTCAAAACTTGGGCATCACAAGATTGAGAGCCATCTGAGTTCTCCTTTAAAATTGAGGAGTCTTTTGCATTTAAATCTCCAATAAATATCTCGATACAAATGTCACCTAGTGCGAATTTTTGAAGCATTGTATCTAAAAAACTACATACTTCATAGACGAGTGCTACTAACCGTGCCTGCTGAGTGTAAGTACTTTCTATACGTTTGTTTGGACGCTTTTTTCTAACCCCAGTTATTTTTTATTTGCGAACCTTATTTCGCTACAATAAATATTTACAGTGTTTACTTATTATTGGATTATACGTCTTTTGGGCAAAACAGAAGTTCCGCCCGCAGCGGTTAAAATGAATGATGTAATCGACTAACAATCACAGATTTTTGAATGAACAGACTGCGCACTTTAATCTTTAAACAAGAAAATAACCGACTGATAGCATTGTTGCTTGACCACCATAAGCGTAGGTATTCTTCAGGCGATCTGTCAATTAAATGGAAGATTAAACGCCCAAATCTGATGACGTATTAAGAATACTTGCGCTTTTGGTTAAAAAGCTATTATAGAGTCCAAAGTAATTACTCCAGTCGTTAATAAGACATTTGAACTGGCATTACCAATTCGCATTTTTGTCAGTAAATCAGAACAGCTCCAGACGATACCTCCTCATAAACAGCCTATATTTCAAATGCCAAATAACGACTCGACCCACAACAAACCAGAGTTTAACTCGAATCAAACCCTCAACAGGCATGGAGGACGAGATCTGCCCGTACGCGACCTTCCACCTGCTGGGCTTCCGCGAGGAGATGGACCCCAGCAAGGCGCTGGCCTTCCCGCACCACCACCCGGCCCACGCCGGCACCCTGGCCCACCCCCACCCCCACCACCCCGCTCACTCCCGCGCCGGATCTCAAAGCATGGTTAGTATACTTAACACATTTGAGCCCAACTTCTTTTTTCGTCAGGAAATGCATTAACTTTCATACTCACTAGCCCAGGGCGTGAGTAGGTTAAGTGAGGCTCTCCCTGCCATCTGGCGCTACTTACTAAAACCTGACGGTGTAATCCAGTCTTTGGGACGGAACTGCGAGTTATTATCCGGGCTAAACGGCCTAGACATTCTTTCGCGGCTCCGCCCCAGTCTGTGGCTTGCTCAGCTGGTTTGAATCTATGATAAAAGAACATTGACCCAAAACTACATTGAACCTGGTGGGTCGCACTACAAAGACCAGAGGCCGTCAATATATGTCATAAAGAGAAAATCTACAACTTTATGCTCAAGTTGACCAACACTAACTAAGAAGTCAACTGAAGTTTCCAAATAAATCAGTAAAAAAATATAAACCCGTCTATTCTATCTTAATTTTATTATTGTGATCGTTCCTAGCCCCGTGCCAACAGCCGCTACGCCCGCAAGAACTCGCAGGGAGGCCAGAGCGCCATCTACTCCACCGCGCCCGAGTACGACGACCCGGCCACCTGCGCTGAAGAGGACCAATACGTCAGTATTCATACGTTTTTATTGTTGAAAAAAGATTTTTACAAATTAGCAACTCTCTATTAATTGTGCCTTCAAAAAGTGCACATTGTGCGAAGTGCTCATTTTGTGAAGTGCACATTCTGCGTGTATAATGTGCTTTTTGAAATAGTAGCGGTTCAAAAATTGGCATACGTTGCTTCCTCCATTTGTGTTCAAAGCAAAAGGAAATTTAAATTTAATGGCAGTTGATTGAAGAGCTCGAACTCTTTATTTCTAAACACTTTGGACATCTCCGCTTTGTTTAAGTCCGGGCCTTAAGCAGGACTCGGAGGCAAATGTAAGGAAAATTACGGCGATCACAACAGATCGATGATGGTTGCAGTGATACTATGACTTTACTGAACTAACATAGCCGCTTAACAAAAAAAAGTGCGGGCCTTAGTCTATCCAGAACTTGAGTGAAGGCCGTAAAAAATGGCCACTATTTCTCTATTTAAATTGTGTGTATCGCAGCGCGCCCGTTATTCCCGCCCCATGTACGCCTGCGGACCCGAGTACGATGAGCCTGCATGCTGCGCGCCCGAGGATGAGCAATACACTGGCGCTTATGGAACCCCCTACTCCGACCACTATGGATCCCGACCCAGCATTGGTAAGCTCACACTATTCTTGCGATTATTAGCAGTTCCCTCTATCATTGTCCCCGGGTTTACAAAATTTCCTGTTCCTTTCCGATTCGAACAGAGGGGACAGCTGGTAACGGAAATGGAAATAGAATAGGACTATCTTCTTCCAGTGGATGACGTAGTGGCGAATAATATATGCGTACATCAGGCCTCCTTAACCCGTCTGGTTAATGTGGTCACTGTGGAGAGTGTTGACCAAATTCTCCAGCTTATACACTACAGTCACGCAGCTCAATCAAAACACAAGCTTGCTTTAGCAGAACACGGCTTCATAAGAAGGCTAAGTTATAATAAATTACTTATTTATGTAATAATTTTGTATGCCAGAATCAAATCAAATTGTAAAAAGTAGGTAACTTCTTCAGTTACGTTCCTAAGCTGCGACCTTGTTTTCCTCACATAACGAAGAACTTTGTACTTATTCCTCAGTCCCAAAAGAGTATAACACAGAAAGGAATAACACTAGATGTAACAGCAAAATACACTTGAAAATGTTTCCATGGCTGAGAAAACTAGTCAGACCGGTCACCCGGCAATCGAAATCTGGGTTCAAATTCCACTTGAGGCATTCCAGTTTTTTCCAAAAAACCAAATGAACATAACAGTACCTATGTATTTACTTCAATACGTCCACCAATGAGCCCTCTGACTAGGAACCCGCAAGTGCGGCGGCTCTCCCGAGCCTCCTCCACCACCGCCGCGCAACGCTAACACCGACAACAACTGCTCCTCGTCCTTCAACGAGAGCAAGGACTCCAACGAGATCTCCGAGGCCGAGTGCGACCAGCCACGCAACTACCCCGGTATGTGACGAGTTGTACTATGATCATCGCATCTAACCCATTGTGATACTTATATCGAAAATATCGTAGTATGATCATGATGTCTAACTCATTGTGTACCATTTGCAAGACGGTACTAAGCTTAGCGATAAAATCAAGGTGATACTTATACCGAAAATCTCTTAGTATCATCATGTAATCTAACCCATTGTGTACCATTTGCTACACAATGCTAAGCTTAGCGATGAATTCAAAGTGAAAATTACGATGAAATATAAATGAAACATCTTTGGAGATAATGATAAAATGATTTGCACACCTTATTATCGCTAAGCTGCTCCATCAAAATAATGCATACGTTAAATTTACCATGCCATACCATAATTAATTTATTTATACGATCAAGTACATGGAGATATTTATCGTGAATGATTGAAATATCGAATGCTATTCTGAAACTCGGTCAGCTTTTCAAAAATCATACTAAAGGCAACTCATTCATCTTCTGACAGGGACACATTTCATACGAAAAAAATCGAGTCATACTTTTTCAATATAACTGGGAATAAAAATATGATCATTTATGGCTTTATAGCATGTAATTTTTATTCCTGGAGAAATTCACTGCTTGCTAAGCAAATATAATATTCGTTTGTCAGAAATATTGCCTCTAATAAATTGCATACGAAAACGCTCAATCATTTTCAGTTGGCAGCTTTTGTATTATAGCATCTGAGCATAAATCGTCACGTAGCACAATATGTATTAAATGCGAGCATTTAAAGAACTAGTAATTAACAATCGTAAATACCGCGTAGATGTTAAGCACGCATAAAATGCACACGTCAATTCGTAATGCAGCTTTCACGGTATTATGAAATTGCTAATTGCTTCAGTTTGCGCTCTCGCTCTACAGTCCACTATATTGATTTGTTACAAAAAGTATGACGTCACATTTCATTTCGTCTAATCATAAAATCATACTAATTGTGTTAATTTAATAAATTGAAATGAATTCTGAATTGGTCCATGCGCACGCGGGTGTCACCTGAACAGAAGACGGTAAAACAGTTTTAGACCAATAGTTTTCTCGGTTATTTTATGTTATTAATTTATGTCACTGACAGCATGCATAATGGTCTCATTGTCAGTAAATAACAAATTGGATTTGTGAAAGGCTTATTTTATCACTAGATTTTTCGGAATTGGCTTACTATTTTTATTTTTCCAAAAATTTCTTATACTTTCTTCTTGTTACACACCTGGCACAATTTCATTTGAACTGGTTTCATACAAAAAACTGAAAAAACACTAACAAATTTTGCCAAGTGTATTTCACGAAATTCTAATTTTTCCTTTCAATCTAAATTACCTATCAATTATCTTTCTATGTGCTTAGACGTGATTGTGTTACTAATTCTCCTTTGATTGATTCTGTAGATATAGTACGTGTTTTATGACCACCTCGAACACTACCCATAGCTTATTTAAACTTATCGAATTACTGTTTAAGGTTTATTGATTTAATTGAAATAATAACACCACTATGGGAAGATTGGCATGTAAATGAAATGGTTATGGGTATTGTGCGAGGTGGTAGTAGGGGGCAGGCGGCTCCGGGTCTCGTGACTAGAGTAGAGCGCCTCGTGACTTGTGTGTTGTTGCAGTAAGGGCCCACACTGCCAAGGACGGCTTGCACAGCGAGGAAATGAGGAAACTCATTGACAGGTCAGTTCGATAGGCCTACCGCACATACACATATCGACTCGTGACGTAACTACACCCTAATTGTACGTTTTCATAACTGCATCATATTAATAACGAGTCATTATTATGAATAAATATTCGTCACTGATATTATGTACTGTTTTAACTTAATCCCTTTAGATTTGTTGCATATCTAATATGAATATTTAAACTATAATAATTAATTTCTGAATGAACAATAAAGTCCTACATAAGCGGCACAAAGCCCTCCTATTTAACAGTCAAATTTCCCTACGCACTACCTACTAATACAGACGTTAGCCGACTCCTTGTGTGTGTGCTACAAGTAAATTGTGTCATGTTATAGAGTTATACTTACATTTAAATAATGCATTATGTTTGAATAGTATATGCTCGAAATTTAAGCATGTGTTATGTTCTGCATACGTGATCTCCAGGAAACAGTAAGTCAAGTATGTGAAAAAGAAAATATTTAATAAGTTAACTTTTCTGTTTGCCTTAACTTTTTGATTTATGTGATTAATCTTATGTGGCTAACACTATAACCTTTGTGCACTACTTTCATTTGCTGTGAATGGTAAGGACATTTTATCGACGGCTATGATTTATGATTTATAATATCCATTTCAGTTATGCGTAACCAGGCATGGTTTTTTCGACGATTTTATGTAAATAATTATTATATTATGTTGATTTTACCATATTTACGAGATAATGTCAAATTGCTCCCTTTGCATTACGTACTTAGCTAACAACTAGCTCCCTGTCCCTGGCACATGTTTAGCAAACAAATATCGCTCGTGATCGTTGTAAGTCAACTGTAGATCACATTTGAAAACAAGTGATTAGCAGTAGTCATTCTCACCCTCCCAATACATGTAGTCGAGCCCTGCCTACAAAGCCTGATTTTTGTTGACAAGTCGAACATCCTCGGGACAGTGCACCACTAATGGTTTCGATGATGATTGCAGACCAGAAGCAGCCACCCCAATCCCCCAGCAAGCAGTCCACGGGCGGGGACTCACAGCCTACGATACTGTGGCAGTGTAACCTGTAAAGGGTCACGCGACCACGCCGCGGCACACGGCCACACCTAGCTTTCATTTGTGAACCTCCCGTTTACGGAACGTCGCTCCCTCGCTGAAGCAATCGTCCGCTTATTACTACACTCTCGTTCGCATCGTAGCTTTTATTTTCGCGCTCTTTCAAACTACTTTACGCCATTTTACCAGCGACAAATTGCATCAGCGAGGCAGCGACCCGCGTGCCAAAAATGTTATTTCAGTTTTGTGTGCCGCCCTTTGTGTTGCTGTTTTTTTTACATTTATCCCAACTTAGTTGGCTGGATTTCTTTTTAGTTTTTAACTTGAACGCGCACATTTGTGCCATAAACGAACGCATGACCCACGAGTGGGCCTAGGTTGTCTGTAGTAAACATGCCGATGAGTGATTTGTAAAATTAAAGTATATCCAATCCCTTGTAGACCCCAACGCGTCGTAGTCGTACCAAAATTCCGAAAATGATGGTTGTGGTAGTTATTTCAAATTGATAAATTATTATAATGACTTTATTAATGTGACGCGTTAAAACCATATAATCACAATTATATCGCTCGCAAATTGGCATATTCACTATAGATAAAATCCGTACCCTTCTCAGTGGATTGGTACGTTACTGTAGTTAACCTTTTTTGATCTTATTTGTTTAGCTTAATTTAAAGAAAGTTTCGAAGGAAAGCTGCTTTGGGGTGATGGATAAGGAATCGATTTAAATTAAGCTCAACATGTAATAATGTGATATTTTGTATTTTTATCCCATTTTAATTTGTATTTTGATATACTAACATGATTGTTATTTATATTTTGTGTATGTGTAGAACGATAATTTTAGACTAAACGACCTTACGGTTGGAAACAATGCTTCCTTTTTTACAAGATGTTATGTACGGTTTTCATAATGCTTTTACCGACCTAGCTTTATTTTTTCGGCGTAATATTTTTCATTGTTTTTTTGCACATAACACTACATAGGCTAAGAATAGGCGTAAGATTATTCTAGTAATTAATCAACTCTTATAAAATACCTACTATATAATCCGTAGCTAGTTAGTAACATGTGTTATGCAATTAAAGTATATTAAAATTAATCAATGTTAGTTATACCGTAAACCGTATAACAGGACACGCCCGTACCATAACACAAAAGTTACCTAATGAAATGTAATATGGCCGGGTTGAAATCGATAATATCATCCAAAACGTAATAGACTATACTACAGACACGGAATTTAAATGCTTTTTAATATTACTCTAGAATAATAAGGTGCATTTTTATTACTCATAATCGTAATTTTACCCTCTATATAGTAAACTATGCAAGTGACTAGGTGTAAGACACGCGCGTGTCGTTTTCTAGATGTTTCCCTTATATGTTGTGCATCGTCGTGTAAGCTTTGCAAGTAGGCGTAGTTAGGTTCTCGCGACTTCCTAGCAACAGGTATCTTCTCTTAACCTTCCAATTAGAAAATTCTGAATATAATTAGATAAAAATTATATTGAACAAATTATGTAATAATGAATTAAAATTCAAAATTATAACTAGCTATTTGATCGAAATTAAGAAAAAATACCGTAAGCTGAATAATGCTGGAATTAAATATATTCTGAGTGTTTTTGATGGTTTTTGCTCGTATAAGGTATGTTTGGTTTGCTAATAGTTGCAAATTACGTTATCTTCAATATTACGCAATGTCATATTGCTAAACCGCAGCTAACTGTTTGTACCAAAGTGTTTGATTTGTGTTGAATAAATTATTCAAATGTCAACTACAAAATGTTGTTTCATTTTAAACCCTTTTTGCCCTAATCCTTAATTTAGGCAAAACTAAATTATTTTCAAGTCTCGCACGACTTCATTTGAAAGAAAAATAAAACAATCATTAAATAATGAAGTATGCGACACAACCAAACCATGACATAAGTATAGGCGGCGGCCTAAAACTGGCGGTGGTGTGAAGAAGACCCCATACAAATCCAAGGGAAGCTAGTGTAAAAGCAGTACCGCTCCACTGACGTCACGGCATAGTGTGTAAGGGAATCCGCTAAACCTCGAGCGCAGTCGAGTCGCACGCATGTCAGTATCGAGAAATAGTACGAGCAGCGCATGCATGTAACGGATTTCCACACGCTCAGCGGTAGGCGGATGAACGCTTGCGAGTTTTAGCGTAGGCCCTAATACTTAAAAAAATCCTGAAAAGTCACTGAGCAGATCATCGTAAATAAAAAATAATATTGATCTACGGGAAGTAACTTTTTTATTTATACATTATGAAATAATTAAATAGATACAGTTTTAACACTAACTGTGGTACTGCGCTCGTGGTGCCTTACGCGGACGCGGCCTTCAGGATCTCTTCGGCGACTTCCACGGCGATGGCGGCCTCTGCCTTGGCCTGAAGTAATTAAAAACATATTTGTTAAACGCAATAAAAAAATAAGTAAGTACATAAAATGGTGAAATTGCATTGGAGGAGATTACACAAGTAAGTGAGGTCTATAAAACCACTAAAAATGCAATTTTGGGGATTCCTTTTTATTTGTAACAGACGTTTGACGCGTATTGCATCTTGTGTAGCTTCAGGACACACCGTGTAAGTGCGTTAGTCATCTTCCGTCGCGTCAAGGCATCGTCGTGTAAAGCCTGAGCCCCGATTACGGTAATTTTTAACGTCTCCAATCCAGACAGACACGCTTCTCGATTCTGCGATACGATTGGTCGTTCAACAGCGTACGTCAGCTGTTTTGACCAATCGTATCGCAGAATCAGAAGCGCGTCTGGATTGGAAACGTTAAAAGTTACCGTAATCGGGGCTCTGGTCCGTGAGCACGTAGAATCCCGTCCCGTGAGTGTGCGAGCGCGACAGCAACATAATTACGCGCGAGCGATAGGGATGGGTAGCTTGGGGTCATTGGACGGGATTCTACGTGCTCACGGACCAGGCTTTAGTATCGTTTGTTAGTTTGTTTTAACCAAATGACGTCTACTGAATGGACAAAGGCCTCCTTAAAGATTTCCACGACGACGAAACCTTTTTACTATAATTTATTGAAATCAACAATAATTAGAATATGCATGATTTAATTTTAAATCATCACTACTACGGTATATGTATTTTAGTACCTTATCATTAGCCGCAGAGTTGAGTTCGGACTGAGCTTTGCTGAGGGCCTCCTGGGCAGCGCCCCTGTCAAGGTTTTCAAGGGGATGTGCCTCTTCTGCCAAAACCTGAAATATTGAATTTCCTTGTAAAGTTTCATATTGTACAAAATACACTTGTAACACAGACTAAACCAATATTTTTCTATGATATGATATATCAGGAAAAATTGTGCAGATTGATCAGTTTAAACATTTCTTTAACCACATCATTTTAGAGCTAAAAAAATTTTTACCTGAACTGATGAATCATCATTGACGGTGACAGTGCCAGAAGAAACAAAGATTTTGTTTTGCTTGCCATCATTCTCGAGGACTGTGACTACACCGGGGCGCAGAACAGCTGAAGGAAAAATAAATGAATTTAACAATGCACCAAAAAAATATTATAATTTATCAGTCAGTATGTTATCAAAATATAGGTATTCAATCAAAATAAGTAGTATTATTTATGGTTCTAAGAGCAATTTTAATACAGTAATAGTAAAAAACATTTTGGAATACTTAAGATTTTTGAAAAAAAATACTGGCATCATAAAACAACAAAAAAAAACTGTTCTTTTCTTACCTAGAGTGGGCACATGTTTCGGCAGAATACCAAAGGCACCGCTGAATGATGGCACATCAATCTGCTTTACAACTTGCTTGTCATAGAAAACCTAGAAGATAGAGAATTTTATAAATAAGTTCAATGTTTAACCTACAAATAACTAGTATGCATCCTCAGTTAAAATCAAGGAAGGATTTAGAATGAAGTTAAATAAATACAGAACTCAATAATATTTAAATGTCAAAGTTACAGTTTGCCTTTATCAGCGATTAGTTTGAAGTAAACGCATAACAAATAAATGAATAATAAGTCAGTTAATACAATTTCCTAACTTTATAAGTACCTGAGTAGAGAATATCTTAAAAACATACCTTATTGCCAGCAGCAAATGTAAGAGCCATTTCACCCTCTTTGGGGGCCTCTGCTGCGTAGCCGCGGACCTGCAGCCTTCTGGCAGAGCTTCTCAATAGGTTGCGGAATGCCATGGCCATTCTAGAGGTAGGAATAAAGTACACTTTCAGCCAAACGAATTAAATATAATATTTTTTTAGTTCAACCCGTAATTTTAATATGTACTCTCTTCGTAGACACATTTCATGATACTTTATTAAACGAAATGAGAACCAATATTTAAGATGTACTGTGCTGTACTGTATACTGTAACATAGTTAGGTTATGTTTTAATTTACAAGTAGATTTTCTAGAAGAAAAATTATTTAACTACCGGCATTTATGGAACCTTAGAAAATAATACATTACGTATAAATTGGTGAAAAACCTTCCTGTTTTCTATTAGTACATAACCTCCTATGATGTCCTAGGTAGATTATGTAATATTTTAATAAAATATTTTCTCATGTAAAACATCTCATAAATGCAGACTAAAGTCCTTTATTTAGGATATTCATCTAAACTTACTCTGATTGCTATTGACGGCCTATAAATTTTAATTTCAAGAATAAATTGGAGAATTTGCACTTCCCCTTTTGACAGCTGACTTTAGAAGTGTTTTTTTTAGGTCTTCGTAAGTCGATAGTAGCAAAGGCGTTGCCTTGTAATGCCTCGTATAAAAATCATTTATAATAGACCNCATTCAGTTCCGAAACCATAAATAAAACAATTAGAGATTAGCAATTTCTTTAAAACCCAAAAAAAATGCAAGTCTTGGTGGTTGTTGTTGTTAAAAAAATCACTTGAAATAACACCGTGCAATATAAACCTATACCTCCTCCTCATGTTTTTTGCTCGAAGACCACGATGTTGTTGCGTCAAACTGACAGCTGTCACCAGCAAGACGCAAAACTCATCTGTGCGCAAAACCAAACAATTTTGTTTTACTGCGGGCGGGAAGAAAAGAAATTGAGAATTTAAGATATTACCAGATAATTTGCAGGCCTATTTAATCTTATCGGCAATATAGAAGGTTTGTTTTGTATTATGTTTATATTTCTATTAATATGATAATATAATATAAACCAATATTGGTATGTAAAGATTGTTGACTGAGTTTTAGTAGGTATTGCATTTATTTTTAAACAACCTATGGAATGTGTTAGGAGGAGCCCCATAATCATCATCTTTCCTATTTAAAGTGTATTATTTATTTATTATAACATTATGTGATTAGTTGCAATTGTAATAGTTGAATGGTACTGGTTTTTATGTTTCCAGGTTATGTTGTCATGCGAAAAAGTTATGAAATGAATTTAAAAGGATTAGATTTGTTTTTGTTGACAAAACTAACATCCCACCAGGTTGATCATGTGACATGTTTGGAGTGGTAAGTTTCTTATTAGAAAAAAAAAATTAAAACCTATTTATCTGGATGAATTACATTGTTGGAAATCATGCTTCTGTATAATTTTATTGTAAGTAGTATAATTTATATCTACTTTAAGATTCAGCATATACTCCACAAGGACTTAAATATGGCATTGGAAAAATAAATAACTAATTTATTCTTGCCTACTTTAGTTTTGAAGTAATGATTGTATGTTTTAAATTCTGCTCAACGATCCAAAGCATTCAATAACAGATTATTGCTTACATTTGTATGGTAAAATCTCAGTCATAACTGCAACATTTCAGTTGTAAATACTACATAGCGCCTGAGACGGCCCCGTGTGGCCACTCGCTCTGCCACACTTGCTGGCGGGGCCGGCGTACCTGCCCCTCCTGCGCTGCTCCATTCGAAAAGAAGTCCTTGAAACTGAACCTGCCTCTACAGAACCTCACCGAACACATACATACACTTGGTGAAGCATTTGAAAAGGTGTTCAATGTAAAATGTAAGTTAAAACTTTTTCTTTATTTTTCCTATTTTTCAGTTGCAAAACAATACTTTTGCAATAAGAGTTTTAGACATATAATTAAAATTTTTATTATACTTTCTTTTTCAGTGGATGAATTTGTCCTTGATGTAAGCAGTAATGAACTAGAATCAGAAAATCATGCTACTAAAAATGTGAAAGATTGGTTATCCAGCTCCCAAAACCAATTTTCAGCGCCAGTACTAAGTTCTGAACAATTTCCAGAAGAAGTTAATAATCAAATTGAGATTTCAAAAAGCAAAGTTCAGTTACATGTGGAGTCAAAAAAAAGTGTAAGTCCTGCAAAAGTGGTTTATGTCCAACCACCCCAAGATGATTGGGACAAAATTGAACAATTGCCAGATACAGAAGAACTTTGTGCAAATAACAAAGAAAATAGTACTAATCATACAAACAAACCATTTGACCAAAACAAAGAGTATTCCATGGAAAATCCTAGGAGAAGTTCAAGGAAAAAGGAGTTAGGTTCAACTGATCCAACAAATAAATCTCATGAAGTCATAACTGAAAAACATAACAGTTCTAAGAACTCAAGTTCTGAAACAGAAAAGAAATCCAGTATGGCCAAACAAAACTGGAGTAGTGTAAAGAGAATGAGAAGGGAATTCAGCAAACTTAATAAAAAGAATAGAAGTAAATTAAATGTTTCAATTGAAATGTGTAAAAAAACTCAAAGCACTGCTAAACAAAACATCGATTTGTTAGGTCATGTAAAAACAACTGACAAAGAATCTCAGC